TATTTCGGAAAAGTCGTGGAGAGTTTAAAGAAGTCTCTTATTAGAAATTGCTCAAACTCAGTTGAGACTCGAAGAATGGATGCGTCATTGTTCAACCTTGTCGAGAGAAAAAAAAATCAAATTAATTTCCACCGAACTTCAAATCCATTTAGCTTTTTTTTCAGGAAGAACTAAAAGAAAAAGAATTTCTTTCATTTGAAAACAATTTTCTTACATAGATTAGTTAGCTTCTTGCGGCGGCTCTGCAATAAAGTTCAGAGAACAACAAAACAAGGTTGAATGGGAAGCCGACATCTGCTGGCATTCTTTAATATTTCTCACCTCGAAATTTGCCTTCGATTTGTTGATAACATTCCATTTTGAATTATTCTCTTTTCTGATTCTTGATCATTTTTTTGCGAAAGATATTGAAGCTATTGAAACCGCCGTAAAGACGTTGCATTGTATATGAATTTGATTGAATGCTAACTAACTATATGTGGCATATTCAGACGAAATGCGGGAATCGGTCGTCTACATCAATATAGGCAATTCAGAAGCAGTTCGGCTTGTCGAACCAGGTTAGTAGCGCTATTCAATTTCTGCAATGGAATTCGAAAACAAGACTCTCGAGTCGTCGTCGTACGCCTTCTTAATCGCGGTGTGGCGCACACTCAAACGCATCTTTGACGTGTGTTTTTTTTATTCTTTTTTTTTTCATTCTTTTTTTTTGCTCATCTCGAGCTAAATTTTTTCTTTCAAAAAACTATACTAATTATAAGTGAATAAAGATAAGACCACTTGGGGACAAAAAAAATCCACAGAAGCGGCTGACGATCAGACTTCAGTTTTCACACCAATTATTATGACTTATATTATTGTTTCTCGACACTTGTTGTCAACCAACTTGTCGACGAATAAAATCGAACCGAGTCGGCAGATTATTGCGAGACGTTCGAGATCTCTTACATTTTCTGCTATTTTCTCCCTCGAAATCCTTTGAATTCGCTTTTTTTCGATTATTCTTTCAATAAAGAACATGTTTTTGAAGATAAAATATCTCATTCTGAAATGAATGTTACTATTAATTGGAATGACATTAATTATTGAGTTATTGAAGGCAAAACGAGGAAAATTGAATAGAACGAAGAATTCAATGCAGTAAAAATAAAAACAACGATTTTTCATGTTTTCTTTTCTTTCTTTTTATTTTCTTCGTTGCCGGTTAAGAAAAACAGAAAAAAATACAGAATTTCAATTGTTTTCTGCGAGGAGGGACTAACTTTATATGGCGGCCGTGGCCGCCTAATATTAGGCCATCATTACTTATTTTTTTATTCCTCGCTTATTAAGATAAAAGTACAATTAGGAAATGATGGATTGAGTTTCTCATAGAAAGTGAACAAATTTAAATCTAAAATTGTACTGCTGCGTAGAATGATGGCATACTTAGAAGCACATTTTGCAAGAATTAATTATTCATTTGTCTCGATATATTAATAAAACTTTCATTTTTTTTTTCTTGAATAAAACAAAAAAAAGCTTCTGGGTGACTCCAGAATAAACCCTAGACTTCGCTTACTTCTATTCAATCAGTTTGTGAGAAAAAAATGTGAGTCTTCGTTCATACTTTGGTTTCTCATGGTCCGTGATTTCTAGTCCCATAAAATCTATTTTCACCCATCATTTTTCCAGTCCATCTTTTGGTTTCCAACACAATTCAGCATCTTTTCTCATTATTTTACTCTTTTCAGCGTTTGCTGTTCAGAAAAATAAAAAAAAAAGACGAAAGTGTCGCCTTTCAAAAAAAAAGCAACAAAAAATTGGGTGGCGTTTATGCTTGAGCGATTCGTTTCAAAAATCCACTAAAAAAAGTATCATAGCTACCTTTGTGCCAACGTAATTCGATACTTTTGCACGTTTTTTGTTTTGTTTTGTATTTGAACTACTTTCGATTCCAAATTACACCACATATCTTGTAACCCGAGCAGAGGTCTCTCACAAAACTGTAAAAATGAGATCACAATGTTTCGTCAGCAAAAAAATTGAGGAGAGAGGGAGAAGCTCAAATTTCGTTTTATGATCCATTAGGTAAAATAAGCATCCATTCTCGAACATTATGAAATAAGGTAATCAATTAGATGTAACAATAAAATTTCAGAGGCCTTACAGATAGAAGTCTTTCTTTTTAAGATATTATCGATAAAGAAAAATCACGTAAGGAGCACAATTTAAAGGAACATTATCGTAAATCTACACAGAATTTGTAAAAATTCCAAATTATCATAATTTCTACTAATATGTAGATATTTTTTAAATATTCCAAAAATCTCAAAATCATCCAATAAAATTGCGAATCCAATAATTTGCCTTTCAATGATTGAATTTTAAATTTGACAAAAAATGGATGATTGGAAAATATCTTTATGTGATGAAAAAAAAAACATCAAATATGAGGACTCCCATGAGAGATAGTTCCATATTAGGACACCAAAAAATTGGTCATATCGCGATGTACTATTTGTCGACAAAATTTGCTTCTTCTTCTTCTTCTCCTTCTTCTCCATCCTTCTTCTTGCGAGTTTCTCAGACACGCCGCTCAATTGTTGACAAATCACTGCAAAACACCTGTTCAAAATAAATTTTTCCGCTTTTTTTTTATTTGTCGGCTTTCGAGTGGACAATTGGATTCATCGCGTCATTTTCCATTCTGAGCGCTTGTTTTTTTTCGTGCTTGATGAATTTTCAGCATCCCTTCGCTTCAGTTTTTGTTTTGTTTAAGAGCTTTGCCAATCCCACCACAATTCTTTTCATTTCTTTTTTCGCCGCTTCTGATGCTAATACATATTGACGAGAAAAAAAGCCTATTGAGACAGCTCGACCATATGTATGATTTTTGCTGAAAAAAATTAAAAAAAAAAAGAAGAAGCATATTCAAACAGATGATTTATGAATGTATGTGTGTTCAGAAATTCGCAGATATTTTATAAGATTAGGAACAAAAAAAGAATGAAGCTTCGCGAATATTCTTCAAGAACTCTTCGAATAATCATCTTAAAATAATCTCTATTGATATGAGTCTGCAATTTTCCCCCGTAATTGTTGAACTAGGATATCGAGCTCAGCTGACAATTTTCATCCACTCATATTATCATCAATCATTTCGAGCCAAGATTATACTAGAAAACTTGATCTAAATTAATTTCGAAATTCTGAATTAGTTTAAAATAACTTGGTATATTGCTAAATTCCTTGTTAAAATTTGAATGAGAGCTAGAATTCGTATTTTTTGGCTATGAATTAATTTACACGACAACTGATGAATAATGAGGAGATATAAATATTTGGAGGGACAGAATATTAAATTTGTCGGAGAAAATCGTGAATGGGATTGTGAATGATTCGGCCAATTAATATTCGTGGTGGGCTTCATTTGGCATTCAGATGAATTGGCATCCCAACGCAAATATTTCATTCAATTTCTTTTCCCCAAAATCATTTGATCAGCCCTTTGCTTGTCCAGAGACCTTTTAAAAATAGCCGTAATCGTCGAATGTTATCAGCAATTGGGGAGGGTTTATTTTAAGAGTGTTTATCATGTTATTAGTTGGCCGGTTTGCCCGCAAATGGACATTGACAATCGCGATTTTTGGAGCCCCGCTGCTTATCAATCAGGAATTCTCAGTCGGAAAGTTCGTTATGTTTTTCTAGCAAGTCATATGCCATATTTGGGCTCCTCCACAAGCGGCGCCAACTTGATGCTTGAGTTTTCTTGTTTAATAAGAACAATTTTTGAGTAATTCATCAAAATTGACTGAATTTTGGAGACGATGTCTTTGGAGAATTGAGGACGGCGTTTTTCCTTTAAAAAAGCGTATGATATGAATGTTTCATTGTCAAAAATGGTTTCCTGCTGCGGACAGTTTTCCGGTTAAACTGCATTGTCTACCGGCGAGATTCGACGAAAAAATGTTTTTATAGCTCTAATTATTTCAGAAATGTAGTTAGCTCAGTACAAATTCAACATTGGATTCTTGGAATCCATTTGCGCAACAAAAAAAGGCGGAAGTTTTCAAATTGCAATAAAAACGATTTCAATTGAGTTCTCCAAATGAAATCTGCTCGTTTTTGTTCTTCTTCTATCCAAATAGGATGCACTTTCCTCCAAAAATGGCTAATTGAATTGGCGAGCTTCACTATTAAAGCTCAATAAAATCATCTGCGGACATTTGTCGAGGCCGAAAAATGCGCCGCAATTATACACAGCAGGTGGCTTATTTTAATAGTCGCGAGTTGTTCATCGATAATGGGGCAATCTGGAGAGAAGCAAACCCACAAATTGTCCGCATATGAAGATTATGAGCAATCATCGCCAATTCATTTACAACTCGAGCAAACTTCTTCGATGAAGCTCCAAAAATGTTCAAATCCTCTTTTCCTTTCGTCGCACTTGAATTCGATTAAAACAATTCAATTTGTGGGACAATAGGTCTCCTTTGGGTCTATTCATCTATTCAATTCTCTTGTTGGAAATTGAATTCGATCTAGGCTCCGCCCATTTTCAAATCAATACAGTAACACGATTCGTGTTCGTGTCGAAAAACGCTGGGGACCACGAACACGGTGAAATTCAAATTTTTCGAAAAAGGCGGACCCGTCTGCCTGTCTGGCGGTGCCCTCTCACGCAAGTGTGCACATGCACACTGTGCCTCGTCGGGTGTCTCCTCGCTTCGCACGACGCATAGCTCGGCCGTCTGACAGCCTCGTTTCGCTCTGCCCATCGATAGAAAGGGGGTTCGCCGATTTTCTCACTTCGCCATACTACGCGCCACGGCGACAACACACTAACACCACACACACACACACACACACACACACACACACTCACACACTCAGCTCAGCATTGCTCACCGGAGCACAAGAAGAAGACGGATCCGGCAGCAACATTCTCATCTTTGAACCCCGTTTTCATCATCTTGTTCGCCGGTTCAATTGTTTGCCGTGTGTTGTGATCTACAATTATGGCGGAATCCGGCGGGCGATTCCGCGTGCAGAGCGTGATGACCGAAAGCGTCGGCAACGTCTCGACGCGGTCCGACGATCTCACGAAATCTCAAGTCCTCGCGCAGCCCAACGGATCCATCGGTATAGCCGATTCGGACAAGAGTGAGTCCATTTTTTTTTGAATTTGATTTCGACTGGAAATTATTGTTCCCATGACTACCAATATTATTTGAAATTTTTTATCATTTCTTATTCCATTTTTCATTACTTGTTCTTTTTCTGAAACAATCCTCTTCTTTAGCGCTAATGGTAGATCATTGCGCAAATTCGCTCTAGTGATAATACTTCCTTTGCGTTTCTGCAAATCGCAGTGCCTTTAAAATAAAAAGCCAACGAAAATATCATCTGCGGACACATTTTGAGAGTCTTCGCACAAAGATATTTGAGTATTTTGCGTAGATTCGCTACTCGGGTTACGTCAAACCCGCAAAGTGTCCGTAGCAGACTTGCTTGTTCCAACAACTCGGTCCATTTTTAATAATAAAAAGAATAACGGGTTTCGCCGTTTTTAATTATAGCCTCTTTCTCCTTCGTCTTATGGGCTGTACGAATTCTCAACGAAAACATGCTTCTTCTTCTTCTTCATCCAATCATACTGTAATTGGTTTTTGTAATGAGTCGTCAATTCAATTTTTAATCCATTGATAGTCAGCTCCATTCGGCTAATGCGCCAATCCGAGCTCGTACTGGGCCGGACCAATTTGTCGAGCTCGAATGAAAATGGAAGAAGAACAAAAAAAAAATAAAAAGAGGAAAGCGGGGCACGCGCGGATAGCTCATCCCTATCCGCATTTTTTTCTGTCTTCCACTTTTTTTTTCATTCATTAGTGGACCGCTGATGATGCTGATGATCGACGCATCTTGAAAGCGCATCGGCGTAAACAAATTCTCGTGGTCCCCTCCAAAAAATGAGCAACAACAAAACGAAAAAAAAAGCGCAAAAATTCGCCGAATTTCCGGTCAACTTCCGGGTCCCTTCCGTTGATGCATATTAATGTAAATCAAAAAGAAAAAAAAGCGAACGCCGTGAGAATCAGATGAATCAACCTTCTTCTTCGTATTCTTATTCTTCAAAAAGCGCCCAATGTCATTTTTTTTTCTATTTCGAGTTGAGCAGACACGCGTTTCCTGACACGATCATAAATATTATGTGCACTTGAAAGGCGGCTCCAATAGCTGGCAATTGTTTCGATAAACAAACCCAAAGAAGGGAATGTTGAAGGGCACGCGATCCGTTTTCCTTATATGGAATAATTCAATTGGAAAAGTGCAAAAACTCTCGAGGCTTCTTCTCAATTTTTTCGCTGAAATTCCCTTTTTCGTGTTAAAATGTCCGCAGCACCCCCTAGCCCCCATTTTTTACATCGTACTGTTCGCATCGACTGTGTGAAAACTTTTAATGTGCTCGATTGTCAACGATGTGATTCGGCAAGCCTCTTTCGGTTTCGTGATGACTCACACATAATGTGGTTTTCGCTGGCCTTATAGGGATGGGTGATTGCAATTTGATCGTCTCTCAATAGGCCCTCAAGTTAGTGGTTTCAGGAATCATTTCCTTCTTTTCAAACCAATGTTCATTTCTTGCAAAATCCGAGAAAACAATTGTTGAACACTCGAAATTATTGGGGCGATCAGAGTCAGCCATTTTTTCTCAAACATTGGTACTCGAGTTGTGGTGGGCGACGATTGAAAGTAAATACACATCAACCGAATTTTTATCACAACATGTATTGCGGGTTTGGGTTGGATTTGAAATCGCCGAAATTGCGCTTTTCCATTCCTCAAAGCCGATTTCAGCCGTTTTCCCTCCAGAAGCCGTCAGATTAATTTTCGAATCACTAATGCAGTCAGTCAGTCCCACTGACATTATTTTTCCATTCGGTCCCGCTTTTTTTCAGGTTTGCCCTTCTTCTTCTTCTTCATTCCCCCCAGTCTCGGCTCGACGAGCTCTGAGAAGAAAATTGATGGGGCGGGGAAGGGTGGGGGACACTAGGAATTCACGAAAATTAAATTTGTAAAGCCGAGTTGCAAACAGAGTTGTCGACTGGAAAAAAAAATGCGGAGAAAATAAAAACGATAGGGAGTTCTCGGCATGAGATAATAGAGGCGGAATCCAATACAAATCTTTGACTTTTTTTCTCAAATTGACATCAAAAAACAAAAAAGAAAAACAATTGCAATAAGAGAAAAACGGGATGAACTTTGAGCGAATCACCAACATTTTTTGCGCACTTGCCAAAAGCCTATAATTCCTTTTTTGACGTTTTAGGAGAAGCTTCAGATTTTCGGGATGGCCATGTTAAAAACCACTGCAAAATTTGAAAAATTAGTTTCTTTGTAAGAAAAAACTTGAGGGAAAAGTATGGAATACCTAATGTGATTGAATGGCTGACTAGAAATGAGCAGTCTCTTTCCTTATAGGGAGTTTTGGGTCATTAAAAATCAAGCTGAGACAATATTTTTCTAATTTAATCGGCAATTTGAACATTCACATATTTTATTAAGTAATAGTCTTTGAAACAAAATATCCGCAATTTTTGAAATTCGATGAAAGTTGAAAATTATTTTCTGATAAACGTCACGACACGAAACTAGTATAAATAAGTCATATTTCCAAGCATCTCTACCAGTCATGATTGTTTTCATAATTTTTTTGTTTTTATTTTTTTTTTGGGGGGAGAAAAAATGGAAATAAATTGAGAATGTGTTCAATATATTTGATGAAATGGTTCTTTTTTATTTTATTCCAATTTTCTTGATTGAAACGAAGACTTTCATTTGACGAAGTGAATATGTCAAATCATCAAGGTGCTCATGCAGAATGCGAAGGCACAGTTACCTTTTGTGGCTACATTTTTCTCCCGAGAATGCCCTTGAAATACCAAATAAGTCCGCATTTATGCTTTTTTTTTTCTCTCGCCTACCAAAAAAGATTATTGCATATTTGATTTGATTCTCTCGACATCCAATTTCCGCTCAACAAATCGTCGTAGTGGTTTTTTTCAATGGTGCGAGAACGAAAAAAAAAGAAGAAATGCAATTTTGCAAAATCGCAAGAATTTCTTTTTTGCGAGTGCACGCGAACTCAATTCCATTTGTATCATCCCTCTCTCTCTCATGGCACTTTTTGATCTACTCCCGCCTCTCTCTCTTTATCATGTCGTCACAGTCGGTGTAAACGCGATGCGTAATTTGCTCAATGAGCATCGAGTGAATAATTGATGGGAGCCCCCCCCCCCTTCAACTAATTGACCAATTGGCCTAATTTTCGTCGTCAACATACGCGTTATGAATTGTACAGTACTCATTTGAGCCAAGAAATCGTACATTTGTATTTGTTCGAGGGCACGTGCCATCCAATAAGATTAATTGAATCTCGACAAACAACCAGGAATGTAATGAAAAATCGAGAGAGAAAGAGAGGGATAATAGAAAACCATTAAGAATATGGGAGGTCTTCTTGAATTCGAAAACAGCTGATTAAAAATAAAGTTTTAACATACTAAAACCGTTCGATTAAAAAAAATTAACGAAGAATCTCAAATAATTGACACCAACAGCATATAATTATGGGCAAAGTCCCAAAAAAGAAAAAGAAAAAACATTTACTGGCATGGCCCTTCTCGTTTGCACCCTCTCAATTATCCCCCCATCACTTAACCCACCAAAGAAGCACCAAAATCATGCCAAAATAATGCAACACTTCAATGTTTTTTTTTGGTGGCTTTGCTTCAACGACCGTAATCCAATTTCTCAAGCACATTTTCTTTCTGTCATGGAAAAAAACGGAAAGGAAAAAAAAGAAGAAAAAGAAGTTTTGAATGCTAAGATTCCTCTGCGCACCTCTTCAGAAAACCTTTTTTCACACCCATCTGCTTTTCGTTTTTTTCCTCCTTCTTTCTTTTTATATACATATAAAGAAAGATATTCTGTCGTCGTCGTCGCCTCTAGTTCGCGGAGTTCGCGGTGGGGCGTCGTCGTCGTCGTGTTGCATTTTTCTTTCATCTTCTTCTTCTTCTTCTTGTGCGTTTGCTTCGTCCTTCGCCACGCCCCCATTCTTCTCGCGCTCGGTCTTTATTTCGAATTTCTGCCGCCCGATGACCGTCGCCAGTGTTGTAATGTCGTCGAGCAGCACACCGATTCCAGCGAAACCGCCGGACTGCATCGGTGCCAACGGTGGCACTCCGACGATCACTGTGACGCCGCTCAACGCCGCCCAAGCCGCCGTCGCCAGCACGTCGGCGAGCTCGAAAAAACCGCCAAATATGCACATTAACATTCCTCCAGGTTAACAAGCTTTTCCCAAACTTTTTTCGCAACGGCCCAATTATCATTTTAAATCGAAAAATTATCATTTTAAATCGAAAATTGCCAAAAATTTGAACTGTGAAAGAAAACGAGATTCGGAGGGTAGGGGGGGATTATGGACCAACAATATGACGGATTTATTGAAATGTTTTTGCAGATGAAGGCACCGAACGGATACCCCTATGTGAGCAGCATTCGCCATTGGCCCTTTATGAGGTTCGATTATTGAGCATTTTTTATATTTAGTATAATATAACTTCATTTTAAAAATGCAAGCTAATGTGTGGAAAACTGATATTTGACACTTTGGCTTGCAAATTGATCCCAAAAAAAAACTAGGCGTATTTAGGTTTAGACGGTAATTATTTTTTGCGCTAATTAGGCACAATTATATATTTTATATGAAAATTAATGACGCGGGCCTAAATTCCGATTTCAGCATTGGATTTTTAGGTTAGCAAAAATAGTTTTTAGAAGTCAAATATAAGAAAACGAAAACTTCAATGTAGTTAGAAAAAATCTTTTTTTTGAACAGACTCCTTAATCAAACAAAGCAAAAAAAGAAAAAAAATGTTGGCACGCATTTTTTGATCTATCCATTTCATCTCACCTATACGATATTCGACGTGACGCGATTCTTCCTTTTTGGAAACCCGTCGAGTATCCGATTTCAAGCCCAATTAATAATATTTCTTACGAATTCTTCCGTCACGGCGTCGGCCCGCCAAAAAAGAACATATTGTTTTTGAAGAATGGGTGTTTCTGCCATAACTCATTTCTCATTGACATCATTTCTGGAAAAAAATGCAAAATCGGAGTCTCAAGTGGCGACGAAAAAGTTCTCAACGAGTACACAGAAGCTAAAAGTGGCGTTGGGTGCACGGAAGAGACGAAATGAGAAAATGCACCGAAGATTAATGTTTGATTCTCTAATATAGCTGATTGAAATTTGCATATAAGCTGATAGCCATTTATTTTTAAATATTTTATATAAGATATATGTCACTCAACCATAATCAATACTCTAGTTAGGGATGAATTGTGACCATTTTTGGATATGGAATAATCTGCAAAATGTAGATAAAGAAAACGTTGAAATCTGTGGAAAAAACAGTCGAACAAAATGTAGATTTATTTGAGAATAAATTGGAGTGTCGCATTGATAGATTTATGTGACATTCGTTCTGTCCTGTGCGATTCCTTCGCATCTAGAAAATTAATAAAACGTTAATATCATCAAAAAATAAAATAGAATAAATAGTAGACGTGAAAATAACAAAATGAGGATCGATGCGCGACGAAACCATTTCGAAAGACGCGTGCGGTGTGCCCGCAGAGATCATCAGCCATCAATTATTTCCACGAAAATTGCAGTCTCTCAATTATGTATGTAGTTTTCTAAGAAATTGTGTATTTTAAGTTATAATCCAAATCTTCTAAATTAATACGAAACCCATTTTGACGAATTGAGAAAAATATTCATTTTAAATATTATCATAACAAAAAAACCGAGCCTCTTGAATAATTGTGGACCATCGCACTATTTCGAGGCGGCAATTCAAATTCGAATTTTATCAGTGGCAATTCGGATACCGTATTCTAGATATCCTGAAAAGATAAATTGGTGCAGGGCGCTCGTTTTTTTTTGCGAATCTAATGGTTTGCCCAAATTTGGCGCGTATCTCTTCGATAATAGGGATTTAATGCAGTACCTTTGTCAGATTTGTTCATTCACTCTGAAATATCCGAAGACGTGTGCAGTAAAACATTGAGTGTCGTAAAATGCTAGATGTCTATAATTACACTACTCACATTTTTAATTTCCTCCTATTAACTCGATTCACTTTGGACTGATCAAATAGTATTTCATTGTTCTTTTCAGCAAGATTATGATACTCAAGGCCAGAAAATTGGGACAATGCTTCGAAAATTGTCGGTGTATAATGCGACTGAAAACACGAGTGCCGAAGCCGACGAAAAACCGAAAGGCGCCACCAAAATGGGCACCATTATGGGTGTTTTTCTGCCGTGCCTTCAAAACATTTTCGGCGTGTTGTTCTTCATTCGACTCGCGTGGATTATCGGAACCGCTGGAATCATTCAAGCCTTTTTTGTCGTCGTCACGTGCGTGTCAGTTGTGAGTCGAAACCGAACAAAAATATTTTGATGATATGAGCAAATTCAGACATTTCTCACCTCGATATCGCTATCTGCAATTGCAACGAATGGAGTTGTACCCTCGGGTGGTCCCTATTACATGATATCCCGGAATCTCGGACCCGAGCTCGGAGGCGCCGTCGGAATTCTGTTCTATCTCGGAACCACTATAGCGGCATCCATGTATATCACCGGAGCTGTCGAAATCATTCTAGTAAGTATTATGCTGTTTTAATGGTTGAATAATTGATAATGACAGATTTACATTCGACCCGATTGGAAGGTTTTCGACAATATCTACAACAACTATCGTTTGATCGGAAGTATATTGTTGTTCGGTCTCGGCTTCATCGTTCTCGCCGGTGTCAAATTTGTCAATCGATTCGCGCTTCCTCTCGTTATCGTTGTCATCTTCTGCATTATTTCTTCAATGTTGGGATGTTTTATCCATTGGAAAGGATCTGATTCGTTACAGTACGCATTTCAACTGCAATATGGTTTCTTTCTCAAAAAAAAATTGAAATTTCAGATTCTGTATGGTTGGAGACAGACCAGTCGATTTAAGCACCTATTTTGAAAGAACAAAAATCGTTCCAAATTGTACTGTCGAAGGTCTCGAACCATTATTCTGCTCTCCAAATGGAACATGTGATCATTATTATGACAGGGTTGGGTTGAACTCAAAACATTGAAAAAATGGAATGATTTTCAGATGAAAACCATAAAAGTTTGGAAGACATCTGGAGGACCCGCGATTCGACAAGAGCCTGCTATTAAGGGCATTGCTTCTGGGGTTTTCTTCGACAACCTCTGGCCAAAATATAAACGAGCCGGCGAAGTTTTATCAAAAGATCCAAAAGTAATTCAATCAATATGCATATGGAATATCGAAAAAATTTTATTATTTCGAGTTTAGGATAAAGGTGATATCAATCGACAAGGTCATCCGGCGTACATTTATGCCGAATCAGTTACCAACTTTATGATTCTTATTGGGGTCTTCTTCCCATCAGCAACCGGAATAATGGCGGGCTCGAATCGATCTGGAAATCTTCGAGACGCCGCAAAATCGATTCCCTTCGGAACTCTAGGAGCTCAAATGTTTTCAAGTTGCATGTGTAAGAAATGAATGGAACCATATTCAATACAATCAGATTTCGCAATTTCAGATCTGATCGGTGTTGTTCTCTTCGGATCGACCGTTTCTGAAATGTTCATTCGCGATAAGTATGGACGTTCGTCAATGGGAAAATTGATTATCTCCGAGCTTTCATGGCCTTCTCCAATAATCATTTTGGTATATCACATCAATAATATGATATATTCGTGCTTTTCCTTCAGTTCGGATGCTGCATGTCATCAATTGGTGCCGGAATGCAATCACTCACCGGCGCTCCTCGTCTTCTTCAAGCAATCGCTGCTGATGATGTCCTTCCATTTCTGAAACCTTTCCGCAAAATGGATAAAAGAGGCGAACCGATTCCAGCGATCTTCTTCACACTTTTCATTTGCGAAATCGGAATTCTCATCGCGGTCATCGAAAATATCACAGCCCTCATTACTCAGTAAAACCCGTTGATTCTTTCGAAACCCTCGACAAACTTTTTTTTTAACTTTCAGATTCTTCCTTATGTGCTATCTTGGAGTCAACATGGCGTGCGCCCTTCAATCGCTTCTCAAAGCACCCGGATGGCGTCCTGGATTCCGCTACTTCCATCCGATTCTTTCATTGATCGGAGCATTCCTGTGCATTGCCGTCATGTTCATCTCCGCCTGGCATTTCGCTCTTGTCGCCATTTTTGTCGGAGCCGGAGTTTACAAATACATCGAATACGCCGGCGCCGAGAAAGAATGGGGCGATGGAATTCGTGGTCTTGGGCTCTCAGCGGCTCGATTTGCGTTGCTCAATCTCGACGAAAAACCGCAGCATTCTAGAAATTGGCGTCCACAGCTGTTGGTCCTCGCACCCGACACCGATTCAGCCAATACTCATGGAGTTCTTTCGTTTGTCAGCCAGCTCAAAGCAGGAAAGGTTGGCTCTCTTTTATGAAAACACCAATTATGCGAAGTTTCAATTGAAGGGTCTTACACTTGTTGCTCATTGTATCGAAGGCGAATATTCGAAGAACTACCTCGAAGCGCAAGCAGCTCAGGAGAAGTTGAAGGCGTTGATCAAAAAGAATCGGATAAAGGGATTCTGTGATGTGCTGGTGACATCGAATTCGATTGAAGGGGTCTCATGTCTTGTACAGGTGATTAGCCCCGTATGTGCACACGCTCACTTTTTAAAATGTCTCATCGCAAAACTAATAAGCAAAAAAAATAAACAACCTTTGGTCACTTGGGAAGCCATTTTATATTTTTTTTTTATTTTCAAATTATGCATGCCTTAATGCTTCTTGAAATCGGTTTGTGTGTTCAAAAACTAAATTTCAGACGTCTGGCCTTGGTGGAATGCGTCACAATACGGTTGTTCTTGCGTGGCCGCAAGAATGGACTGCGGCTCAAGAATGGGAAGTTGCTCACAAATTCGTCTCATCGATTCGAGCAATATCGGCGGCAAGGTGAGTTTTTGATGGCATTTCGGGAATTGTTTTGCTGAACAATTTACAGATGTGCTATTCTCGTGCCGAAATACGCCGATAAATTCCCGAGCAGCACGACGAAAGTGTCGGGATTCATGGATGTCTGGTGGGTGGTGCACGATGGCGGTCTCCTCATGCTCCTTCCATTCCTGCTTCGCCAACACAAAACGTGGAAGAACACCAAAGTTCGCCTATTCGCGATCGCTCAGCTTGAGGACAACAATGTGCAAATGAAGACGGACCTCGAGAAGTTCTTGTACCATTTGAGAATCGACGCTCAGGTCAATGTCATCGAGATGACCGATTCGGATATTTCGGATTACACCTACGAGAGAACAATGAAAATGGAAGAGAGAAGCAAATTGTTGAAGAATTTGAACAAGGCGGATCGGGAGAAAGACATTCAGAATCATCTGGAATTGGTGCAGATGGAAAGGAAATTAAGCAAGATCAATGAGGAACCGGTGCGTGCATTTTCGCATTATTTTTTCAAGTTGTTTCCGCTCTGCGAACGCCATAAATTTCAGCCAGCATTCCCTACACAACACCCGCTTGATGCTGTTGAAGAGGAAGGGGAGAGATCTTTAGTGAAAGCCGACCCGAGTCGAGGTGTCCGATTCTCCGATAGCGATGAAAATAAATCGGTACGATTAGCAAGTTTTTTTTCATCGCCAAAATGATTTGGTGAACATTTTTTTTTCAGAAGAAAGGCAATGGTACACTGGAACGCGACAACGAAGAAAAACGGCGGAAGCGTCGGTACAATGTGCACAAAATGCATACGGCGGTGAAGCTCAACGAGCTGATGCGCGACAAATCGAGTGAAGCTCAAATGGTATTTGTGAATCTGCCGGGTCCGCCGGACGTCGATTCTGAATCGTATTGTAAGCATCTCAAAAAAAAACCTTGCACATGAGTTAATCCGATATTTTCAGACATGGACTTTATTGATGCGCTCACCGAAGGTCTTGATCGGGTATTATTAGTGAGAGGCACCGGTACCGAAGTCGTCACAATCTACTCATAGTAGCCTAACAATTTTCTTTCGTTCGATTATTTTGGTTTTGTTTTTCTCGAATTCTTTCTCACACTAAATGACATAGTTTCAAAAACTCATATAAGTATTCGTTTTTTCTGTTGGCTTTTAAGCAACTCGACATTACACACATTCACAGGTATTCCATATCTTTTGTTATTAATAAAATCGCCTCCTCTCCATTCGTCCAATTAGTTGAATATTTGAGCCAATTCTACTCAATCGTTCGCATCATCGAAATCATTTTATTCTGTTTATTTCTTTTTTGTTTAGGTTTTTGCTAGATTCGTTTCGCTTTAATAAAATACAAGTTCATATGTATTTCTTTTAAATATTTTATTAACATGAGGAGGGAAATGGCCTTTTTTCTGAATTCATGACAATATCTGGCGAATTGGGATAATTGCCTTTTCCTATCAATCCCGACATAATAAAGGTTTGATCGATTTTTAAGATTTCAGTTATTGCGCCAATTGTTGACAAGTAATATTGAAACTCACAAAACTCAAAATAAGTTAGAAAAAATAGACGTCCATATTTACAGCCCCATAAACTATCTGTTTGGGGGTCTTGCAAGAGAAGACATCAGCTTTCTCAAATCCAAACTTGAACTCGCTAAAAGGAGCGAATGGGACAAATTGAACGTCCCTGCGTGCCACAATCGACGCCTATCCGAAGGGTCTCAAGGAGGTTATCAAAAATCGAGCAATGTTGATCAATTCGCTATGTTTTATAAATTGTGGTGTCAATTTGAGTGAGTTTTGTTAATTTTTTGCAAAAGTTATTTTATGTTTTCGATGCACACGTCATCATCACGATGTATTAAAGAAGCGCGGACGTCTACAAAATATTTTATTATTCTTATTATTGAAACAAGATAAGCGGAACAAAATCAAATTAGAAGTACATACAAAAACTATAATTGTTAGACGATTTTATTCGAAATAAATGAAAAGAAGTTAAAGATTTGATTGAAATGGGATTCTCTGCCAATTTTTCAATTGTGGTGGAACCCCACTAACGCTATGGTTATCCTCCGAACTATCCGACACCAGTAGTACTCGAAACATTCGGTATCTGCGGCCACCGACAAAAGGAGAGCAAGTGCTAACGGTGGCAATCAGCAGAAACAACATCACGATCTTTGCGTTAGAGCGACATTCTACGTGAGTTTGAAGATGAACACAAAATTTTATGAAGAACGATTGAAGCAAAGAGATAGGCGGAAGGATTGTAGGGACAGAGTCACTGAATAGCACAAATCTCTATTATAATGGTAGACAAGAAATAAAGAATAACAAAGGAAAAATAACATGAAACATGGACAAAATGCTGCAATAAAGAAATTAATCGTGGGGATGGATTCGTCGAGGTTGATTTGTGAGAAAAAAGAACACAACATTTCCAGATTATTTAAAATCTATATACAAAAATGAACTGAATGGTTTTCGATTTAAAATTGTTTTATTGTTGTTGTTGTGTTTGGATGGAGTTTTTTTGTTAGGAAAATTTTTAGTGAGAAATGAATGATAAAACAAAATGTAATTAAAAATGGAAAACGAACGAATGGAGTGCTTGATTATAACAGTGACGTAGCAAAAACAACAAAAGAAACTCTCGATCTTATGCTAGTTTTAGAAAAGAAAAGAACATCAGATGGTAGCTTATACATTTTTTTCGCCATTTAATTATTATGCACGTCATTGTTTTAGTCATTCACCCGGATATTTCGAAGAATGGCGCTTGTTGTGATGGTGTCGACTCCGACAATTGGTACCACTCGTTGTTTGGGAAATATTGATCGAATTCAGTGAAACCCTAAAATGTGAAATTGGAAAACATAAACAAACTGCGTGAGCTATCCTATATTTGAACACTTACAAAGGTTGAGTCGTTGACAAACAAGTGCCGTTCGAGATCGTAACCGTCGCCAGTGACAGCGACGCCAGCGTTCGTCATCGGTGTCGTTTTGCTATCACCATCGGAGAGCTGTTCGGGTTTAACTCGTACCAGTGGCGATGAGACTGAGTTTGGTTGATCGACGACGACGAAAGCTGGCGTCGCTTCGTGGCGACTTTGCTTTGCTAGTCAGCTACTGCCGATCGAATACTGGCTGTCAGTCGGGCTGCACGATGCCGAACTGAAATAAATAGAAACCGGCTCACGATGAGGAGGCTCGGCGACTCACTCGAGATAAGAATCGAAATTAGCCGAATCGTCGAAGATATCACCGTATAATTGCCAAAGAAGCAATCCTTCAACTCCAGCGACGCGCTTCGCGAACGTGTTGCGCACGCGAACTTGTTCAACAACTTCAACTCCCATCAACTGAAAATCCGTGAGATACGTTATGAGAGTACTCGTGGAAAACTAACAGAAAGCTGGGAAAGAAGTAGAAGGATTGTGGCGAAACGCGAGGCGGCGGTGACGGCGTCCTTATTCTCAGACGAGATTTGGAAAAGGGCTGAGTGGACACGTTGACGAAGGAGACGAACTGCTGATTCTCCTTCAGGCGAAAGTCCGGCAGCAACTGAAAATATCAAATTCGAATTCACAAGCATTTCTAGGGTTTCTGAAAATGAATATCATGATAACGCGCTGCGTTCCTCATCGAGAATTCAGTATAACAATAGGCAATTTGACCTTGAGGTTTTCACGGTAAATATTTCGAATCGTCAAACTGTTTCTAATGTAGAGCGAATTTCTAGGCAATCCACGACTATCTCATTTTCAGAAATAGCTGATCCGAATTCCATGTTCATTGAATGAACTGAATAATCCCTTTCCTATGATTGTTTAAAAAAAAACTCCCAGCCCGGTCAATCATTCCTTCTTTGGTCGTCTTCATTTCCGGTGCCAAAAATAGCACGACGAAACGACAATGTTAAATGTGTGTACATGTATGTGTATGTGCGTGTATGCATGTATGGGGGTTTCATCAATAGAAATGATAGCGCAAGAGGGGCGGATCGCAATGGAGGTATGCGATTGCGATCGCAATCAGTTGTCCACCTCACCTACTCCCCAAGGCATCGATATTTCTGGAAACGATGCCGAATCGTTATCGGCGAAATTCCAAACACTTAAAATTGAGCACCGGAAATGTTGATAATTTCAAACACGAAATATCGAAATACTAAGAGTCCAGTCGGAAACGCGATGGTGCCAACGGGTCTGATTTTTTGATGATTTGTTTGCAAAGACAAAAATACTCTCATACGTCAATTTGGTTGCTGAGAAGAGAGGCTCTTGTGGGCTGCCTAGAATTGCAAAAAAAAACTGATTACCTGGATTCAAAACGACCAAAGCCTTGAGCAGTACGATTTCATTTGGCTTCAAGCAAAGCGGCTTCAACTCACGATGTGTCCATTTCGACAAAGACTGGAGCGTCTTCCAGCTTATGAACCTAGAAAATTCGAACAATTTTGGCGTTATTTTCTGAAAAAAAGGACAACTTACGAATTGGACGGTGGTAGTTCGTGAGTTGAAAGATAGGTGTTGTTACATAAGGGAATTTGTGTCTCCGGAAGACCGACGCCGTGCACGCCGAGCTCCAAAAGCAGCAACGACGAGCAGCAGGTTCGCAACAACGCGATCTTATCCGTTGTTGAAAGCGTTTCCTCAATTTCGGCCGTCTGGCGACACCAGTCAATTGCCCAAGTAACCAACCGACGTTCAGTATCGTAACACGATTTTTCATCTGCTTGATGAGTCGCTCGATAACTCATCTGAAAACGGGGAATGAATGAGTTCGAATGCTCGATTTCGACAGCTTACCTCTGTGCGATAACCGTCAAGAAGTTCTGGCTCATCGAAAAGATTGGTAAGCGATGGTTGGACAAAATGAAGCAAAGGTCCTTTCGCGTTGCCATCCGAAGAGGTCTTATCGATCAGAAGCAACGATGAGACTAACAAACGGTTGTCCGATTTGACTCTTTTAATATCTGGCTGAAAATTATAAGTAGATTTTCAGATGTTCAAGTACTTTTTTTAAAAGTCGATTTTCTATGAGATCCATCGAATTTCTGAACTTTTTTAAAAGTTTTTACGATTATATTGTCGGAGTCAAACGACTTGACGAAATTTAAAAAATTATTGGCTATGTATCAATGAGTCTCAAGTAGTAGGGAAGATTGCGTACATTGTAGTGTAAGTGCATTTAATATTCAGTCAACGATAAATTTAAATCCACACTAATTTCGCGATTTTTCAGACTCTGATTCAGTCGTTTGACGCTGACAATACAATTAAGAAATAATAACTCTACGAATGATAATTTCAATATTTTTCATTCGTTTAAAGTACACGTTTCCATAGGATATTTCTCGTTCGAAATCCTTCCATTTATATTTTTATATTCAAATTCTCGATTTCGTTTGTCTCATACGTCCCACGTTCAGAAACAATTCGAATTCCAATGTGCACATATACATGTATACTTCGAGTGGGTCCATTCTCGCCACGCCGCAAAAAATATGTGGTGAAAGACCAAGAGGCCAGTGTGATCAAAGGACCAAAGTGGAGCAACGTCGTCATGAGACTGAGACAAACCACCAATAGAATATGAGTTTGTATGGCTGCCCATCGAATCGGTGTTGGTTTTAATAAATAATTGTTCAGAAATCAATGGATCACCCGCAAAAATAACCATGGGTGTAAGGCCAAGAAAACAAATCGCGTGACGTACCGCTTCATAGTTCTCTTGATTATCATCGAACTCATCGCTATCCATATCTTTTCTCTTCCGTTTCACCACTTTTTTGTCCATTTTGACCGCTACAAATCACAACAAAATGGGCATGAATGGAAATGAATTCGTCGACGTTACCTTCCATTTTCATACCGACATTCAGGCAGCGGTTGAATCGACAATAGCGGCAGGCGTTTCGGCCGGCTGAAAATTGAAAACGCATGGAACAAAAAAAAAACCATGACGAATTGATTAGACCTTACTACAATATTAGTGTAGATAACAAGAAATATTTATTTGTGATGGTGGTGTCAAAAAAATCAGAAATAGATTCAACAAATAAATACATTGGATTTCAAAAAATTTCAAAAAGAAACTTACCAGTGGAAATCGAGCAGTTTCCACCGTATCGGCACGCGTAAGACAGTCTACTCTTGACGGTTCGCCAGAAAAAACACTTGCATCCGTGACACGCGGCTACACCGTAGTACAAATGCGAGCACGCGCGATCGCCGCACACAACACACTGAAAGCGTTTTGATTTATGACGGCGATTCGATGAATTCCGATTGATACGGTAGGCAAGAGATTCGAATTAGCCCCGTGTTGAAATATGAGAGAACGAGAAAAGTTTATATTTTGATACGATCTCCCATTCGCGCCGATTTTGTTCAATAATCGGTGTAATTTGCGGCCGAAATTTTACAACGCCCATTTTTGGATGCGGTTACGGTATGAATTGATAGTGTGTTGACGAGAATGCAATAGAACAACATATTGTTCATTCAGAGACAACGAAAACTTGATATTGATCTCTCTCTCGAAAATTTTGAGTGTTCTTTAACACAAATCACATATAAAATTGAGACCACCCTTCAATTTTCTATGTGTAGGTCTTTAATGTTTTTGTTCTTAATTTATTATGACTACAAAATTTCTAGTTTGCTCTAGAACGTTGAAAGTTATAAAAACGTTTTTGTGCGGTTTATATCATATATTTTTTTTTTGGTTTCTTTGAGCTCAAAATAGCTGCTGATCAAATGTAATTTGATTCCTGAGGGATGGCGTTTTTTGAAACATTCGAACGCATGACTCACAAGTGCGCCAACAGCGGCTTTCTCTTTGAGCAAAGGCGGCGATGGCGGCGGCGCATCTTCCGTAGCACGTTGTTTCGAGTTTGGTTGCGCATCAGCAGACATTTTTTTGGATTTAGCAGTGAATTTTGATCGCGTTTACGATATTGATGGTAGTTTTAATAGTTGTAATGCAAATCGTTTTTGAACGCGGGGTTGACAGACTCCACCTGAAAACGCCAAAATAAATCAATAAAATCAATTTGGACGATTGAAAAGAAAACTCGAAAAAAATGGCAAAAACTGGTTGTCAATTTTGAAGGACATTGTTATTGAAAAAAAAAACGAAAGAAAAAATTGGAAGCCGAAAGACGGATGAGTGAAAATCAAAATGTTTCAAATTTAAATATTTTCATAAGAAATAGAGGTGGAAAGAAAAACTGCCTGTGGCCGGCAATATACAACGTTGAGAGCGAACTCGACAGAAACGAAGACTGCGGCGCGTTTTGGATGGCCGACGAGAGAATCGTCGATAAATTGGAGGCGACGAGGCGACGAGACGGTCGGGGGAAACCCCCATCCACCGCTGACGATACTCGTCTTCGTCCCTCTTCGTTTTCTCGATCGGCCCCCGTCGAAACGAACAATTGGTTTTGTGGCCTGCGGTTGGTTTAGGTTTGCTCAGAGTTGGTTCATTGTTGCACAAAAACAAACACCAGTTTTGTGATTTTCTTTTACCTATTGTTTTATTTTTTGCCAAAATCGAAAATCAAACCACCTACTGAAGCGAATAAATCTGCTAATCGCGAGGATAAAATGTATCAACCATTTTAAGGTGGGAAATGAAGCAGGAAATGAAAAAAACAGAAAAAAATTATTTAGTGGTTAAGTGAGAATTCCCAAATTTATCTAAATCCGAATATCTGCATTTTTAGTAAAATTCGCAAGAAAGTCGAGTTATTATTTGGAATTTTTTAGAATCAAAATTTGAACGTTTAGTGTGTGATCGAAATTGAGCCGATTGCATAAACATTTTAGAAATATTTATAAATAAACACAGAAATGTAAGTCTTCGAGTTTCGTTTTTTTCGTGTTTTCAGAGGACAAATTTTCTAAAATTTGTTGGATGCCTAACTAAGATCGAAAGAATGATGGAAAGGGACTAAGCGGAAGACATTTTACATGACCGAATTATTACAATCGAAAAAATGAACGAGCACCCTGTTACGAAGCGATTCGCAGGCTTTTCGTAGCACGGTACACTGATTCCCACTATTTAATGTCAAATTTGAATTGCCACCGCGAGAAAAAAACCGATGGTCCACGAATGCCCAGAGTGCTCTTTTGCGATGGTAATATGTATATAGAGAACGACACTGGCAATATTTTTAATTTGACAACTAAGGCCACCCACGTAACGAAAAAATATTACTAATATTAAAAATAAACGATACGATGTGACGATGATCAATAAAAGAAACAAAATGTTTAGAATTCGACGAAAAAAGAAACAATCACATGATGAAACGAAATCAAACATTCACACATGGACAGTCATCGAATAAAAATTGGCAACCGGCCATTAAAAACAGTAAAGACCTGGTAGATAATCGGATGTGAGTTAATTGTACAACCGCAAATATAGTTTTCAATGGCCAGGAAACGAAAAAGATGGTGGAAAATGATGAAGAGACGCGGGTCACCATCGCCACCAACACCATCCCAAACATCCGCGTCGGTAGTATGTCGAACGTCGTGTCGCACGCGGTAATGTTTAGACATTTGTTTGTTGAATGTTTAGACATTTGTTTAGCCGATATCAACCAAAAAAACTTGTCAAACTGTATTTTGGTAATGCTATCAAAAGGACAATGTGCGAATCAACCGACAATACCATCTTTCTGTGTTCCATTTTATTGAATATTGTCGACATCGCGTGACTGCCGAAAATTGGCTAAATGCCAAAAAAAACTAGTGATGCAAAAATTGACGTGTAGATATACGGACCTATGCATAAGGAGAGGTTAAAGGCGCATCGCGGACTAGTTAAGACCTTTTCTCAAATTCGGCGTTCGAAAGAAGAGTAGTCAAAAACTCCGCCCACCAAATATTAAGCTAATAAATTGAATGATAAAAATGTACTTTTAAAAAAAGTTGACTCTGTTATAGAAATAAGTCAATTTTTGATAATTCTATACATGTTCTTCTAATGGGCCCTGAAATATAAAAATATTAATTGTGTTGATTGTGTTGGCCATTCGACTAAAATAGATATTTGTCTAATCACGTTGACAATAATTATAGGCATGCGTGTAAATGTGAAGTTCCCCTCGAAACACACATACATAAATCATGTCGTGTTTCGAAACTTGTCTTGAAAGCCGGCCGAAGTTGAATTGTTTCAAATTTTCGTCTCTTTTTTTGAAATATATGACCAGATTTGGGGGAATCCTCGTAACTTTTTAAAAGTTCACACAAGGAAGTAACGCGCAGTTAAATTTATAGGCGAACTATCGAATGAGATTGCCACAATATGAGACATTTGGGTTGAACAACGCCCAACGGAATCCGTTTTTCGACAAACTTCGTATTTTGTCCAAAACATTTCATTTTATATTGCGAGCTCGTATTGGAAAGATAAGCGCGATTAATAACGACATTTGTTTTTTGATTCGACTCGGACACTATGTACACAAAGAAAGACGAATTTAGTTGTTACCGTTTTTAATTGTGAGCAAAAGATTCTCGTCGCTGGTAAATCACGTTACGGAGTTTTTTGGGGAAACCCGTGGAATCGAAGCATAATGATTTCATATAGGAAGCATACATTAATTCTGCCCGAATGTGGAACAATATGGGACCAAATTTTTTTGTGAGCAATGGATTTGATATGAAAAATATATCGATGGAATAAATACATATGACATTTTTTGGAATATGAAAGTTACATTTAAGACCATAAGGCTAATTCCATATGAGAACCATATTGAAATGTTTTGATTATGCTTCCATATGGATTGCTAAGGTTCCAATGATTTCCACAGCTTCCATTGAACCTAGGCAGCTATGGTAAAGTGTTACAACTAAAAAGTCAGGTGATTTTCAATGCTTGTTACTGTATATTACCACTGTACAAATATTACATATAATATTGAAATTATTTTGGCTGCTCAAAATTAGAAAATGCGAGAATCATGACCTCAATTGGTATATTTTTCTCGAAATTTGATCTCTTGCATTTTGTAAACGTTTCTAGAAGAATTTTTAGATACCCACTCATTCGTTCATTGTTGTTTGTCTTATTAGTTATTAAAACAGCAGCATTCTTCGACAACAGTGTGTAGTTATTCACATCGGTTCGATCAGAATTCATCGGCTTGCAACAACAAAATATCTCTGCGAGTTTAACAATACTGTCGAGACGAAATGAGGAAAAAATATTTGCAATGTTTGCCACAGGGGAAGCAAATTTGCATAACCTATACTCAAATGCCATTAAAAAAATTTGTGAATAGATCGTTTGATATGGTTTTCGACTTCAAGACCAATAAAAAAAGGCCGTTGTCATTTGATCTACGAAAAGGTCGAACAAGAGCAAAGCGAAATTAAAACTAGAAAATTTCGATTAATTTTAAACTGGGCGGAGGGGTCGCATTTTGAGAGCGTCTATTCTATTTTTATACGACAGGCAGATACGCTCGTTAAATATGTACTATACATACGATGACTACGGTAGGTCGAATGACTTTTGAAAGATACAAAGAACAAACGGGGGAAGAGGAGAATCTCGCGAATAGATGGAATGGGGTGGGAACTGTATTTGCGGCTTAAAACACACAAACGAAGAAGAAGAGAAGAGAAGAGAGACGATTGACGTTGAATCATAATTTTCATTTCTTTTCATTCAACGAATATACAGGAAAAGTATTTGAACATGAAAGTTTGAAAATACAATCTTTTTTTATGGGAACAAGCGGTGGAAAATAGAAAAACGTATTTTCGAAAGCATGTGATTTTCAATGAATTTAGGCCATTTACATTTGTGTTTCTTGGGGCGAAATTAGTAAATGGTTGCATGCGCCTTTGATGAATACTGTAATTTTGTATGGTTTCTCAAATATATTATTATACAGTGCGCGTCATAATGATACGCCACCCCCCAAATTTCGCAGTTTTGAGAAAACCATATAAATTGGTGACAAGAAAATTTCATTTTCGAATTCAGGACCATTGAAAACCTATACACGCGTATTTTCATCAGGGTCCGTTGATCCGTATCCGCACAGCCCGAAAAAGTTGGATTTTCAAGCGCGTCATAATGATACGCCACCCCCTATTTTTTGTCTTTTCTTTCGGCATTTTTGCATGTTTCTCGCTGATTTTTCTGTATTTTGTATAATTTTTCAACATTATTGTCTTTATATCCATCGAGCGATCGTCCGTTTTAGTTTTGGCTTGAAATCGGGCCGAATTCGGGCCTTCGAACAACTTCGTTTTGTTTAAGGACTAAAACGCAAGAAAAATGCAAGTGACCGACTGTTCCATTCCAGTCAAATTGCGGCCTTCAGCTCATAAAAGGTTGGCATACTGCTTGCATTCTGTGTGCGGACAGCCTGACCGATAATTTTTCACTTATAAACTATTTTCACTTATCCTTCTCATAATCATCGGCCGCGGAAAATCTCTTACATTAGCTCACATGGGAAAGCCCAAATTGGCATTATGGTATAACTCAATCAGAATGTCAAGCTGATTAAGGATGGTATCGGACGTTCTCGAAAATCTAACTGTATACGTAGTTACGAAATTGCTTTTAAATTTGTTTCACTAATTCCATTAAGACAATCCAGTCATTCACAAGAGCGACCGCATCTTCAATTGGGTTTCAAAGAAAGAAAATCAAACTTTTGGATGGATCAGCCAGCTCCCCAACTTCAATCCCGTCGAAAACGTCTGAAGGCTTCTTGAACGTTCCGTTCGCTCACAAACCAAGCAGAATGCCAACCTTTTATGAGCTGAAGGCCGCAATTTGACTGGAATGGAACAGTCGGTCACTTGCATACCTCAAGGAACTCGCCGACAGAATGCGAAACCGAACATGTGAAGTGATCAAAAACTATGGAGAGACTACTAATTATTGAATTTGTTGTGTTCTCGCATTCAAACTTGTTGTCTTATGGTTATTTAGACTTTTTCTTGCGTTTTAGTCCTTAAACAAAACGAAGTTGTTCGAAGGCCCGAATTCGGCCCGATTTCAAGCCAAAACTAAAACGGACGATCGCTCGATGGATATAAAGACAATAATGTTGAAAAATTATACAAAATACAGAAAAATCAGCGAGAAACATGCAAAAATGCCGAAAGAAAAGACAAAAAATAGGGGGTGGCGTATCATTATGACGCGCTTGAAAATCCAACTTTTTCGGGCTGTGCGGATACGGATCAACGGACCCTGATGAAAATACGCGTGTATAGGTTTTCAATGGTCCTGAATTCGAAAATGAAATTTTCTTGTCACCAATTTATATGGTTTTCTCAAAACTGCGAAATTTGGGGGGTGGCGTATCATTATGACGCGCACTGTATATGCAACAAAATTCATTTATTCGCCAATTTTTACATTTTTTTAGCTCAACGGAACAAAATCCATCTATTTTTTTATATATTACGAATTCCGGTTTCACATGAGATGAATAACATTTTAATTTGTTTCAGATTCACTGATCTTATCAGCTAAAAAAATGAAAAATTTAGTACAATGGAGCACACTTTCCCATTTTCAAGGTTTATTAAAATTTTTTATCATGGAAAACCCGTTTCCGGTGTGAACTTTTCGGCTCATAACGTTTTAATTGTTTCTGATAAAACAGCCAGCAACCACAGCAAAAGCAACTGGCGAAAATTTCCTTCTTTTCGAAATTAGCAAAAATAATTGAAAAATGGGCAAAAAATTCCCACAATTTGCGCAAATAAGCACAATGCATGTGAAACGAAGCTGACGTTTCTTTTGCTAATCAACAATCTGGAAATGAAGCTCATATACATTTCAATGAATTCAGCTTTCTCAAATTATGGAGAACAACTCCCATGTTTGGAATTTATCCAAACCACAAATTAGCATGTTGAGGATTGCTATAAAACATCCAAATTGATTACTTCTTTAAATAAAAAGTTGAACATTTTAATGATTTTGATACATTTTGTCGATGTTTTTTTTGTTGCCCGAATGCAATAAAAAGGCAAAAAATGAAATGATGAAATTGTAGGTAGCAAGTTTTATCGCGTGATTTTTTATAATGAAAATATTGTGGTCAGAAGAATTCTTTGCGCATGAAACTATGCAAGGATCAACCCGGAATGAATACCGTATTTGGTCAACAGAATGAGGTCGCGATAAGGAAAATTGAACCGGCTTGTATAGAATGAATACCAAACTTTTTAAAGGGCACTTTTGCTAAAGCGATTGGATCGTCTTGCCAAATAGCGCTGTGGAAATGGTACGAGTGTGCAAATTCTTCTTGATACTAATAATTAAATCAAAGTGTTACATTTTGAATAGCGTAAAAGTAAATTTCATTGAGATAATAACATAGATAAAAACGGAACAGGTAAAATGGATATGCTAACTATATGGAAGTACAGGGTGGCCCATAATTATGGAAACACAAGTTTGAAGCCTTCTAGCATATGCTGGCGCATTTTTCGCGCACCAATTTTATTATTTTATTTTTCAACATGTTTTAATTATTTCCCAAATTTTCTAGTTCCTAGCGTCATTTATACTGGAATGGTAGCCAATTCAAAACACCGAGGTACCAACTTTTTTTTTAAATATACAACCGTCTACGGACAATTATTTGAATACTTTCAAATTTTTAAAAGACCTGAAAAAACACCAAATCAGGTATAACAATCCTAGTTTGTTCCTGTAAAAATTGTTCAGACAGACGTTTTGAAAATAGCAAGCAAAAATACACTAAATGAAACAGATTTATAGATATATTCATGTCAAGTCAAAATGATTTTAATCATTATTATGAAATGAAAAAGAAGACGAAAAAAAAAGTTAATAAGAATTCAAAACTCGTTCAAATGATGCGTTGGAGGGTTTTGTGAGATTTGTGAATGGGAGCTTTAATAGAAAAAATCAAAACGAAGAAGATCAACAAAACCGACTAGACAAGAAAAATAAGAAAAAGACGAAACAATATTGGGTTCAAAAGAAATGATTCTAGGCGAATGTGTTGCTGAGATATGTGAACAACAATAATGTACAGATTGAAATGAGAATCACGTAGACGACGTCGAGTTCTTCTGTCCTTTGAGGTGCGCGTTCGCGGCGAGATCCAATATCGCCATCCACTTCATCTGGCTCGTCTCGCTTTCCGCTGTCATCGTATACATTCGACGAGCGCCGACTCGGACCGAGAACGTGTACTTTTCTCCGCAGATCTTCACTTCACAAGCCGGCAGTGGAAGCATCGCGAGAGCACAAGTATCCTTAACAAAAAGAGGACATGCCTATTCTGAATTCTATTCATTCGTTGCATACTTGTGGTGTGTTGTACGAATACAAACAAAAGTCATCTCGCACCACCATATAGCGATCCAAAACTTTTCCGAGACTTCCGCGGAACTGAAAAAACGATGGTCTGTGGACAGCTATTTATTGTTTGAATCTTTGATCACGAGTGTATATGCGTCGCGACCGAAAACATAATTAAAATGTCTCGTTTAATGGCCCCGCCGACGTCTTCTACCGTATCCCCCATTCCAAAGATTGAAATGACGACATCAAGCACATAAAACACTTCATGTGACATTTTGCGCCCCCCGAAATCATTTGATAATACTGCGATGCGGTGATGAGGAGAAACAATTTGAAACGATACACTTCTTCGTCAACTTCATGTTCGAGAAACGTCTTCTACTCACTACTATTTGGTCTTGAAAAGTGATATGCTGTCGACGTTTTAATGATGCCTTCATTTGAAGGACAGATTATATCGGAACCAACAAACAAACAGGATCTAACGGTTCTGTTCTGCTCCGAATACGGGGGAATCTCATGTTACCTTAATACGGCTTCCGTGCAAAATTCCGGCTCCGGTGGCTGGACGTTGAAGAAGATTCAGCCGACTACTCGATTGCGTCGAAACAGCGCGTGGAATTCCGTCGACATTCTGCAACGAGCACATGAAAAGTCCCGAAATTCGTCGGCAGCATTGAATTGATATGTATTAGAGACAAATCGAATGCATTCAAACAATTCAAATCTTACCATATTTTTTGTGCAATTGTCGCACACGCGATTCTTTTTCGCCTCATTTCGATACCTTCCAAAACATTTTTTGCAAAGTCTTCTATGGCATTTTGTGCATTTCGAGCCTCGCGAGAGGAATCTGAAAAAAAAATCTGTTGAACGTCGAAATTTGATATAAGATGCTACCCAAATTCGATATCGCAATCTGAGCAATTTTTCGATTCGATCGAATTATTGTTGTGCTCGCTGAATGAGCTCCTCTGAAAAAAAACAACAATTTAAAAAATTGGGGAAAAAAACGAACCACCGAATTTGAGGAAAATGTGGCGCTATGAGCTTTGTGCTCATCGATGACTGCAAATATCGCATCCGTCCATTCATTCTTCTCAGCTTGAGTTGCTGCAAATTGACAAATATGAAAGGGAACGAGAGAAATAAGTAATAAAATATTTTACGTGTGAACAGTTCGACACATCTCTTCGGGCCTGTTCCGTCAGATCCGCGCAAATAGAATGAATGCTCTCGTTCCAAATTATCACCTTCGCAAACCTTCAAATCGGATATTTGAGAAGCTAAACAAGCCGGTATCGAACCTGCATGTGACTGGCATGGAAAGCCGCTCGAAGCTTGAACCTCGACACTCCGATCATTTTTCTTTCGCTCGCCAATATCACCAAATCATTGAACACAAATATAAATCGTTCTTCCGGTTTTTCGGTTGTCGAAGAGATCTTCTGAAATATCGATTGATGAATGAGAATTGAGGTTGGGAAATAATCGAACCTGAATCGAGCCACTCTTGAGTAATTCTCTTCCAGGTGACACAAGAGATATCGAATTTCCCAATTGTTCTTGAACTTCGATCACCTTGGCAAACCGATCCTGACAAAATATGATTGATGATAATTCCATCATTTCATTGACTATACCAATTTCTTCATCATTTCGTTCGCATGAGCTGCTGCCTGTAAAACCAATTCGAGCGCCACTGTGGTATCTTCGAAATCGACATCAGTGTTTTGCAAATGCTTTTTGTACTCCTGAAAAACATTTTTAAAAACTCATATTAATATGATTATGAAATGGCACTTGAAGGAGAAGCTGATAGCGCATAACTCGCTGAACCGGACAAATAAGGTGATGTGATAGAGGAAGACCTTCACATTCGGGAAGTTTCTGAAATCCAATGTTTGCTTGCTTTTTTTGGCTAGAAAATTGACAAAAATCGACCTCAACATCATGGACCACATCCATAAACTTTCTTTTCTTTTTGAGCTCATCAAATAATTTGCTCCCTCGATCATAATTATTCGTATATTCCGAATACATTTTCAAGAATGGCGCTTGTTTGCGGACCACATTGGCAATTCTAAAAACGAGGAAAAACGAAATTGAGAAAAAAAAAACGAAAAGAAGAGAACCTCTTGGTTGTATGCCAATCCCTTATTGATTCCATTAGCTGCGGCAAGAAATGGGTATTATGAAATTGATAGAGTGATGAAGCATTGGCGAGAAGCTTGGTGACTTTATCGTTTGTGATCACTTCTTCTTGAATTAAACGATTTCGGAATGTCTGGAAATTTTATTCTGATTTTTGAGGACACGACAATTTGATATGGCGCTTAGTAAATTCGAAATTGATATCAAATTACCTCTCCGAGAAGTTTTAATTTTTCGACATATCTTTGTTCGGAATCGACGAGTTCTTTCGCTGCGTACCATGCTTTTTGGTACCTCTTCTCGAGCTCATTTTTCTGCGTCGGCGTAACAATCTGGAAAACAATCAGAATCGCAATATCATCGAAAATACCTCTGAATCCGAATCGGTGATTTCTGAGAAGCATGACTGGCTCTTCTCATCGTCCTCCTGTTCATCTTCCGACAAGTCGAACTCATCACCATCCGACAGTTTCACTTGAAATCCGCCTTCTGGTCCTTTATACTCGACGAACGCTCGGAATTTGCTCTTCGACATCTTCTTCACACCGTTTACGTAGGTTTCTTGACGCGAAAAATGAGAACTGCAAAACAAAAATCGATCAAGTTTTGGAATAATAAATGCGAAAAATATGCACGATGCAAACCGATTATCGACGTTTTTTTTTTCACCAAAAATTAAAGCAAAAACTGAAAAGAACAAATGAAACGAACCTGTAGGATTTGCTGCTCTTGACTCGCGTAGTTGTCGATCCATCGGGATTCGTTATGATTTCGGTGGTTGTTGAAGGAATCAATGACGACTCGCTTCGCATTTTCTCGAATAATTCCGGATACATTTTGACTGAAACATTCGAAAATCGATTTCGGCAGCAGCAAAACTCCAAATATAAAACAAAAATCAGAATGACTTTTGGAAAAAAATGAACAGCATGAAAAGAAAAACAATTTTTACACCTGCAAATTCTGATCTAAAAATTCGAGATATTCTAGCTCAGTGGCATTTAATTGAAATTCGATAAATGTTTAATGATTTCCGAATCTCAATTCGAACTCTAGTCGGCGTCCGACGACTGCTGTACGCGGGTAGTTTTACGAGTGCGCCTTTCGAAATGGTCTCGCCACGTGTAAAGGTTTTTTTTTCTTGATGTCACCATTATATCATTGAAACCAAAATTTCAGAATGATCTCTAAAATGCAAAAAAAAAATAACCAGTTAGTCCATGCGAGACCTTAGCGAAGTCGCATAGACGTAAAAATACAAAAGTCGGTGGACGTCGCCGACAATAAAATCCTATGATCGAAACCTCACTGAAAAGTGCAATTATGTTTTATTCAAATGACGACAAAATATGCGTTAAATGTCCGAAGATGAAATATTATTAAAATCCTCTAATAGTCTCTACGTAAGTTCCAAGTTTTCGATTTGAGTCTTTTCTTATTTTATAAGGAAACGCACCGAACATTTCTTTTTCCTTGCTCAGCAGACTCATAAAAGTGTTCGGCACCTGATCGAGAACCCGTTGAATTTGCGCATCCTGGAAAATTGTTCAATTTTCAATTTCCCTCGCATTATTTTTTGTTCGTTTTTTGGCAAAAAATACGAGCACATTGATGTCGACTTTCCACTCCCCAGGGGTCTCATAAATCGTCGCCATTTCTGGTTGGTGGTCGGTGCATGTGAAACACGAAAAAAAATTCATTCGAAATGCAACCAACCTGCGCATCATTGGAATCGAATTGAAGCGCATTCGGGTCGAGTTTGATCTGTTTCGAATTGTTCCGATACTCGATGGGTCTCATTCCGCGAATATCTCCACTTATTCGTTGGCAATTTTCTTCAACCTGCAGCAGAAAAAAATGAAGAAATTCGAAGTCCATAAGGTCAACAATCAGTCGATATTAAAATGAATTCTCGTTCTCTTTTAATTGTCAAAACCATTAAAATACTATCATTTGGATCATAATGCCTTTAATTGTCAATCTGGTTTATACATAGACGCTTCGAGTTTCACACAAACAAACTGTGTTTTTAGCAAATTTCCATACTCACTTTGTAATTATCTATACTCATCTTTTTATGGAAATTTAATGTAAAATCAATAAATTCTGGAGAATCGATATCAATTAAATAAGTTTCGAACAATTTGAAAGCTCAATTAAAGACGAAATGGCGGTTTTGTCGAGTGTTCCGCCTGTGCTATAAAACTCTTTATGCGCGATTCTGAGCAAGAAGTGTTTGTGAAAAAATGCTGACAAGTGGGGTAAAGTGTTCCGTGAAACATTTTTTTTTCGACCAAATGCTCATCCAAAAGACCAATATTGTTCGTATTCAATTTTGAAAAATTTTAAAAATTCCTATCTCAAAAATGATTTAAAAATGTTCCAAAAACAAACGTAGAATTAAATGATCTTGGAGGTGCGAAAATTTCGGTTTTGAGCTTTAAACTTGTAAATTTGAAAAAAGAAAAAACGAAAAGCAGGATACTCGTTGCAATCGGGGAGCAATTCTCGTGTAAACTGTGTCGATTGACACGAGGGCAGTTGAAAAAACAACACGAGTCGAGAAACCGCCGAATGTTTGCGGTGCTTTTAGTTCATAAATATGCGTGGGGTGTGTCGAATTCGAATGCAAAACATATGTATGTATCATACACACGGCATTCGTCAATTTTCTCGAATTACCTTTGCCTCATTTCCGACCATTTTCATGCTTCGCATTGTCTGCGTACAATCGATTATCAGCTTCTTTCGCACCGTTTTCGTCAGCTCTTCGGTCTCGTCTTTCGATAATATGCGGAATGTGTACACTTTTACAGTGCATCCATCGGTCGGATCGATCTCTTCCTCCTGAAAATTCCATTATTCGAAACCACTTTGACGTCCGCAGATACTAATACTCTCTATGCAACGTTTTAAGAAGTTAAACGAATTACCAATTCGATTGCTTGTTTTTAAATAAAAAAATAAAATGTTCGGATTTTGTTCAAGAAAAAAATTCGAAAAATATTCTTGATTTGAATGATTGTTGAGAATGCTATAATGTCTACTATAAATTGAAGAATGAATTCATCAAACTATCCTTTTTTGAATTATCCATATATAGCACTCACCTCGGTCGCGTCTAATAGTGTTCCACCCTCAAGATCAACGGGCGGCACATTCTGGAAATTGCGCATTTTGTCGAAATCGATGAGGGCCGCCTGATGAAGCTGCGGCTGCTGATGGGCAGCAGTCGAGGCGACTTGAACCAACGACGACATTGGCACTGGAAAATTGTTCGATAATACGTGAACTGCCTGATCCCACTTGATTGGCGAAACTGTAAATCAATTCAATTATGATGGTGGTGAGTTTTGAATGAAATTTCGAATAATTCCGAATAAAACTATTCGACGGAATTCGATTATCATGGGCTTTGTCTAAATAGTTTTGCTTGTTTTGTTTATAATTTCTAAAAGAAAACAAAAATGAAATTTTTAAACGAGAACAATTGGGAAAAAGTGCAGAGGAGATAATTCGACTGAAACAAATCCTTCAGGGAATACGATTTGTCGGAATGATGAAGCATCGGTGAAGAAATCGAAAAACCTGAGGAAGAAAGGGGCGTTGGAGTGGACGGCTGATAAATAATAATCACCACAGGAAATTGATTATCAATTGAGCACATGATAATCAATCGAAACTAAAATTTAAATAATTTTATTTTTTTTTCTTCTCCCACAGAAATAATTATGAGAAGGAGAGCAACAACAAGAGCAATAATCAAGACACACAACCATATTTTTTCGATGCCCATATTTGGTTAGAAGCATCAAAAACCAAGAAAATGAGTATATAAAAAAAGTCGAACAAAAAAAAGAGTTGATCAGGGGGGGGGCAAATCGAAAAACACTATGCAAATATTGAAAAGTTGGTGTGCGGCGGTTTTTAGGCGGCGAAGGACCCCGAGTGATAAAAGTTTGTATTTGAGTTGACTTTTGGGCGTTGACATACATTTCGACGCGCTTTTGATACATGAAGGATATCGAGGGCGGCGAAATGATGAGATGAAACAAACATGCGCGGATGAGCGACATTTAATCGTGGTGTTCCATTATTTGATTACGATTTTTCACAAACCGATTGGCATTATGCGATCACACAAAAATCGAAATTGTCTGAACAGCTTGAGATATGGCTTGCGCCTTTAAATACCAATGGAAACCTCTTGGGTCTTGAAGCGATTCATTTGTGTGTTTTTCGATTACAATTTCCAGCACAATTACACGTCAAAATATTTTTGCTCGAAAAAGTCATCGAATTCGCTCGCCAATTTTGAAAAAAAATGTCCGCAGATGAAATTGCTGATTATAAAGGCAGGTAAGAATGATTTGTCTGATCATAACGTCACTGAAAATTGAATTACAAAAAAAAAGAATGAAAAAAAAACCATTTCAAATCCCACAAATTTCTAGAAATTTCTGTTCATAATAATAATAATAATAATAAAATATTCAATAATAGCGATTTGAATAACAATTGGTTATGCGTAGTAAATAGCAATGTTGCATTGATTGATCGTGTTTAAAAAAGAAAAAGGGGAAAAAGTTTGTTTAAAAATGAAATGAGAAACAGATGATATTAGAGGTGAGGAGGACTGTTCGGTTGAAGCTGGCGACGGGTGCACAACAAAAAAGCAGCGAATGCTGTCGATTTCTGTGCGCTCTCCGCCGATCGCCGCGCACTCTCATTGAGGCAAACGAGACGAGGCGAATGACAAAAATCATGAATCATACATTGTTGTACAAACACCTAGTTTTGCATATAATACAACAATCAATTATAAGAGACGAAGAAAACTCGTTGGAAACCTTCCAAGTTGGCTCCGCCCACTTTTGACCTTTCATTGTTCGAGTGGAGTTTGCCATCTTTCGTGTTTTTTTTACAGGAATTCCCACCGTTAAAATCGAAACTCGAATTAGCGTCCCGAAAAGATTTAGGTTTTTTAATACAATTTCTTGAGACGGAAAAATATTATAATAAATATCAATGAGCCAATTATTTCAATTTTTCTTGTTATTGTAAATATTTTGAGAATTTCTTTATAGAATTGAATGAAAAAAGGCGATTGTTGAATGACATATTCAAGAAATTTATGCGAAAATTTTTGATGATGAGTCAGCGAACAATAAACAAGCACATTATGATCATCAATTTTCTTTTTATTGTAATCAAAGATGGTCATCGGCAAAAACAAATTGGATTGTCATAGGAATATGGAGTTTGCAAATTGAAGGCACTTTGTGAATTGGGGTTTTTTTTTATTTAATTTTTATCGAATTTGAAAAACTGTTCAAAATCCCGCAAGAATAATTGGCTATGTGATATGGTGTCTCGAGAACTCTGCAGCGAACGCTCGTTTAATATTCAGGCAACGCGAAAATTAAAAATTTTGCAAATCTATAGTCGGCGTCCGGTGACTTCTGTACGCTGGCAGGTTTACGAAGATGCATCTTCACTATGGCCTCGCACGGACTAACTAGTTATCATTTTGCATTTTAGAGATCATTCTTAAATTTTGATTTCAATGATATAAAGTATTCAAGGAAACGCTAAAGTCATCAAGAAAATAAGCCTTCACGTGTGGCGAGACCGTTTCGAAAGGCGCACTCGTAAATCTACCCGTGTACAGCAGTCGTCGGACTCCGACTATATACTGATTTCACGAAATTGGCGGTCTCGAAACCTATCAGCCGTTTGAAGCCGACAATACGTCATTGTCTTTTTTTTCAAGTAAAATATTAAACTGCCATAATAAAACACTTTTTAAAAATTGCTGTTTAGTCAGAAATGTGAGAAAAAACCCAAATCAACTGGCAAAATAATTTTTGCAATATTTTCCGCGTTATTTAATTCTTATTTGCAAAAAAAAAGAAGAAAAAATATGCAATACGGTAATGGAATAAAAAAAACTGCGAACTAAACAAAATAATCAAATATAGTCTGTTCCACCTGCGGACAGATTACTGGCAAAAAGTCTATAAGATAGAATCTAATGTCGATGTCGTCGCTCGAAAAATTTACCAACTCCAAAAAAATTCTATAGGGAAAATCTTGGGTCAAAAACGAAATGCGAACATCGAAACATCGCGACAAGACCTTTCTCTCAACTATTTTAGCCAGCCGAATGGCCGAAACAATGTTTTGACCCTATTCCCTACTTTATACAAATTTTGAGGAATTGATTGTGTGTCGTAAATCTACTCCAACTTTCAAGACTTTTTTAATCAAGAAAATAGTTTTAGCTTCTGATAGAAACAACAATATACATTACCTCGCAAAAAAGGATCACCCTGAGTAATTGTGGACCATGGCACTTTTTTGAGGCGGTAATTCAACTTTTCATTTAAATGGTGGCAGTTCGACAACGGTTTTTCGGATTACCTGCGAAGCTAACTGCTCACTGGCACAGGTTGCTTGTTTTTAAGTGATTCTAGTACTATATAATAGTATTTGATTATTTGCATTGTTCGAGGTAAATGTTCAAGGCAAAACACGGGAATTTTATCTGAAGTACCCAATTTTTGCGTCGAGTGGAAAATTCATTTTTTCTTATGTTTTGTTCTATTTGAGATCTCAATTCATTCATCAATTTGAATGAACATCTGACATTAGTCAGCTTGAATTCTTCTTTTTGTGTTGTTTAAAAAAGAAACATCAGATGATTTATTGGAAATCGTTAAGATCGAACATCGTAAAATCGGGACCCATTTAAATAGTTTCAATATTGGATTTATTCGATGGAATCAAACATCGCAAAGAGCATCTTGAGACAATTGGAAATAAATTAAGAACGACGAGGAAAGCAAGAGGAAATTTGTATGAAAAGCAAAATGCTGAGAACACCATAAAAGGATTATGTGCTCGGCAATCAAAGTTGAGCCAAACATTGAACATTTTAGGGGTTCAAAAATCGGTTTTTTGGGAAATTTGTCACTTTTCCAATTGATATCAATGTGATTGCATTAGGCTTTGGGTATATTGGTGGTAGAGTTACTTGAAATACGACTTTGGTCTGAATCCATAACGAAGATATGGAAAAGAACTGTGTGCAACCCTGATGGTCTCGCGCGGTCCAACAGGTTATTTTGCAGGAAATGGCAAGATCAATTCAATCCGTGGAAAAAAATACCAAACAAGTATTCACGTGTGGCGAGACCATGACGAAAGGTCGATATGGTCTTGCACGGACAAACTGATTATTCTGCATTTAGTGGGTCAGTCCGAAAATTTTTTAAAGCGAATGAAGTTGGAAATTCAAAGAAATGTCAAAGTCATCAAGAAAAAATAAGCCATATATATGAAAATTATAAAATAAATGAAAATTTCAAAATAGGCCTTCACGTGTGACGAGACCATTTCGAAAGGCGCACTCGTAAATCTACCCGCGTACAGCAGTCGTCGGACGCTATGAGAATCCAAAATGATTAAAAAATGAACTATGGCTATTACAGACCAATTTTAATTTTTTATTTCGCAAAATAAAATTCAAATGTTTTGAATTGGAATATTAAATGCGCGTATGCTATAATGCACTGTACGCAATTTCGCGTACTTCTCGCTTCACCGAGATTATTGGCACATAGCCAATAATTTTTTTAAATTTCGTCAAGACTCTGACACCATACATGTTTGATCGTTTACGTAACAAAGATTTCCTAAAATAACGAAATTCAAGAACGCAAATGCTTCGGAATTACGACAAATTTGCGACGTGTTGTAATTCGATCCGACCATCCGAAAAGTGAAAGAAAACCCATGGACTACAGCCAACCAAATTTACATATTTCGAGCGAAATTAAAACAAGAGCACGGCGAATTGGAAATATGAAAAAACGGAGAACATCGTAGAAAAAAACATGGTGTATACATCGAAAACGTATCAATTTTTATGGGTCTCGAGGCGTCGGCGGATGCGGCAACAAAAATTATTGCGATACAGATTTTTTATAATCGAATAATTGCCCTCTTCTTGCAGTTTTATTTTTTATTTGAAGAATGGAAGTTCACATAGTTTGAAAAAGGATTTGTTTTCGAAATGAACCAAAATGAGGAGAAGGAAAAGCTTAAGAAATAAAAAAAACAACAAGCACACACACACACCGCCCACTCGACTCCCACTAATTATGGATTAAGCAGTTGAGCGTGAAAGAATGCACTTACATATTCCAAAAGACAAAAAAAACACCAACAAAATTGGTGCTAATTAGGGAGAATTGCGAATGTCGAGATTGTTCGCGAAACTTTCGAAAGCTCTAATGATTTTTTCATGAACACAAATCGCGAAAGGTTTGCATACAAAATTTTAAACAACAGCAGATGCGAAATACGTTCTTAAAAGGCAATGAATATTGCTGAGAAGTTCAAGTTTTCAGTAAATTGAAAAGTTTTTTTTTTCATTTTTTTTTTTGGAGAATGATTTTCTATTCAGGTTCCCATGAGAATAAAAACGAGAATCTGAATGCTATTACCGTAATAAATCAATCTACCATTTTTCAGTATTCGGTTGATGTCATTGACCATCGAAAATTTTAAGAATTTTTAATGGAACTCCCAGCTAGAGGTGGTTGCCTATTTCGGTTTTCAGACGATTACTGAAATTCAGTGATTCATCTTCAAAACTTCAATCAATGATATCTTTCATATCTTTCCTAGGATATATTTTGTCAATGAAACGGTCTTACAGACTTTCGTCTTCTTTCTAAATTTCAAATGTGCAATGGAGCGCACTTGCTTCGCAGCGCCGTAAATCAACCCAGGCATTATTTAACAATAAACAAGGGCAAGGATTCCCAGATTAAAAGCAATTTTTTCTGATTTGTCCGTTGTTCATTTTTCTACTCCAAATGAAGCGTAAATCCTTCTATTAAAATATGGAGTGTAGAACCAGAAAGAACATTACCACTATTACTTATGAGTTAAAATTTTTCGAGAGCGGAAGTGTTTTTTTTTATTCTAAATGTCGTCAGTCTACCTCCCCGCAACATGCTTTTTTTCGGCTTGAAATCTTCTGCGCACCGATAGAAAATTCTTTTAAAATGGAAAAAACGTCGGAGTTTTCCCACATATGTTGCTCAGTTGGAAAGAAATGAATAAGTGTGAACTCTGGCAAAAAAATCAACGAAGCAGCGCACCGCAGAAAAAAAAAATGGGATGAAAACAGGAAAAGAAGTTGCAAGAAAGCACATCCGGAGCGAGCGTTGACAAATTGATGTTTCTTCTCAATTTGCGCAACGGTCATTCATAGTGGACAAAGAGAAGATGATTCCAGACGATTTACACGGAACAGGAGGGAAAAGCAAAACATTCAAAAAGAATTGCATTAATTATTCAAACGGCCTTATTCATATTTATTTATTTAGCATTACAAGGTTGGATAATTCGAAGGAAAAGAAATACGATGATTCTAAAAACAGAAGAAGTTGAATACACTTTTTTTTGATTGTGCGGATACGAATCAACGGACCCTCATGAAACCACGCACGTATAAATTTTCAATGGTCCTGAATTCGAAAATGCAATTGTCTTGTCGCTAATTTATATGGTTTTCTCGAAACTGCAAAATTTGGGGGGGGGGGTGGCGTATCATTATGACGCGCACTCAAATGAATATAAGGATCAGTCTGAATTCATTAGATTATTTCGTATTTCCTTTAATCAACAAATTACACAAGTGAAGAAAATAAAAAAATACAATTTTCTTTGTGTGATTTCTCAACGAAATTACGATTGCCAAGATTTTTTTCAGAAAACTTGAAATTATACGAATTCGAATTTTTAAACAAGACAAAGCTCGTGAGTAAACCAAGAAAAAGTTGAATCGACATATTTTCAAGTTAATTGTAATTTCATGGAGTCCAAACAAACAGAGTTAAAAGACCAACGATTGAGTTTTTTTAATTAAGAATTTTCAAGAAAAAACACTGACGCATTCAGACATGGTCAGTCGGGCGGGCCCTCCGAGCGGCACTAATTCCTTGCACGGGGTGCCTCGACTAAAAAGGGAAGTGCGAAAAAAACAAACTTGATAGTATTATTTAATTATTTCTTACAAGATGGACAGCCGAAATGTTTATTTCAGTGCTGTCGACGGACGGAGGCAAAGCCAGAAGAACATCACGTAAACATTGGAACGAAGCGAGGAGCAAGCAAAAAAACCATATTTGGACAATTGGAGATGATGGTGTGATGTGAGAAATCAAGTGAGAGCAGCCATAGGGATAGGAAGCGACCGGATATCCACGAGGCAGCTGCCTAATTGTCGAACCCGACTTTGCGCTCACAAAAAAAACCTCTCGACTCATTCATAATAAAGCGAGACTTTTCACGAACTTCTCTCGCAATGACCCAATACGCCGAAATGGTCCGTTATCAAATATTCATGTTCTCCAGAATTATTTCAAATATAAGCAGCATAGTTAAATAATGTTTGATTTTTCTTCAAGTTTGCTGCTTATAAATTAGTGTGGCAAAAATTATTGTCGATATTGGCCGATTGCGATAATTCAAAAGAAACTATGAGAGAGGTTTTGGCATAAAACTAAAAGTGTAGATTAACGGGCTTATAAATAAAGATGAATTAAAGGCGCATTAATACCATAACCTAAAATTGTTTGGAAAGCTTTCCGCCATCGCACGAAGCTTTCAGTAAATTACAAGGATAAAAACTACAATCAATTATTCCAAGAGGTCATGATTAAAGGCGCATGCCCATAATCCCATCATTTGCACGGAACATTTTGAAGATGCTGATTAGTCGAATTCGAGCACAGTGTTCACAAAAAATGTGAACGTCAGAGAAATCGTAATTGCCTTAAACGCTTCAGATCTAATTGCTTCTCATCGTTCAGCTAATGCTTTTTGAGCTTCTATGCAGTTTCATTAAAAAAAATGATTTTACGGATTCAATCTTAATTTTTAACCAACAAATACAATTTTATACACCAACAAATACAATTTTATGTATGAAATTTGCGAAACAACAGTATAAAAATTCGAGAGAAATCACCCACTACCTCCGGGTGTGAAGCAGCAATGGTTCGATAATTAGACAGAAGCTTGAAATTTCAGCAAGTGTCGATTTCAGCGGCAAATAAACTTTGACACACTTCAAAATCTTTCGTTTTGTTTTGAGAAAAATAAAGCGGAACAGACGTGGCGAAATTCGATAGTTTTTTTTTTCGAGTATGACAAAAAGGTATTTTTGCGTCTACTAGAAAAAGAAAAACGAAAGAATATTGAAAGTCTCAACAAGAAATCCGCGCATTCCGCCAAATATGTCGACTACTATTAACTATATACTATTACGTATTATTATTATTATTATTATTATTATTATTATTATTATTATTATTATTAACTAGTCGAACAACAAAAGCGATTAAAAATAATGACGACGCAATTTGTGTCGTTTTGCATTAAAGAACAACCCAAAATTGGCTCCGCCCATTTTGATGACTGAATTTGGCAAAAGTGGAAATAAATGGAAAAACGGTGTTTCGCTTTTAGTCTTCACACTAATTTAGAATACAATTAATTAATGAGTTAATTATCACGAATAGGATCTTCTCAAAAATATTCATAGGCTTTAAAAATAAACTCGAAAAATTTCAGTTATATTTCACATAATTATCATTTATTATTTCGCGCTGTAATAACAATGGTTTCATGTTTAAAGGTGCATTCTTCTAAATTTAAAGAACAATTAAAATTAGAATCTTAATATCATACATTTCCACGGTAATATCTATTTTTGACAATTAAAAACTTCGATTTTTGTCTTTTTTTTAAACTCAGGAAGTAAAAGTTGATACTTTTGTCAAAAAAAAAGAGGTTTGACTCACCATGTGGAAACGGATTGGGTTTCAATCGAGTTGGGTGCATTTCGAATAATGTCGATGCGAATCAATTCGCAATTTCGATGAGCGATATCGAATCAGCGAGATTACAGCAAAGTAAGTAATATGTAAATGAATGTCGCGAGCGAGACAATCGGCACACATGTGTGCGTGCGCCTGTTGCAAAATTCGGATGATGAGCTCGAGTTGGTGATAAGGCCACAATGAGAGATGTGAGATGTCGGAGAGCAGGTCCGTAATGTCCGAGAGAACACACACACACACTTAATCTTCTCAAACTTTTTCATCGAGTAAATAACAATCTGAATGTCTAGTTAAAAATGAGCTGAAACCTGATTCTACGGCTTCATCTATTTTTTTGGGATTTTCTTAAAAGGAATAACAAGAACATAAAGAAAGTCTTATGAGTTTCCGTTTAGCATTTATCCACCCAATTGATAACTTCCTTAAACAGAAATTATCCATTCAAAAAACAATTTATTCACTACCAAATAGTTTTGGCATAAATATTTTTAATATTGCATTTCTTCTAAAGAGAAGAAGATAGGTATTTTTGAATAACTCGTCGTGTTTCAATTTTTTGTTTTTCCGGAGTTCTATCATTTATTTTTTGACGTCATTCTCCCCCAATTGTTGATGATTTTCAACACGACAAAATTCATATATTTGAGGTTTAAAAAAAAGAAGAATTAAGTGGAAAGAGAAGAGTGATGTGAAAATCAGCGGCATATATAAAAACCACATTCATATGAAAATTATGGGGGGCAACAAAATTGAATTAATAAAAGACGACGAAGATGGAGATGAGATGAGCCGACTGGATGGTTATTAATGAATGGAAGAAAATCAATGAGCATAAGCATTTTTTTATTCGATAAGATCGGAATCGAAAAACATTAAGGAAACACACAAATATACATAGAAACGAAATAACAAATCGAAATTTTTTTGGGATAATTGCCAGCAATATGAGCCGTTTCGAGTGAATTTCAGCCAATTTGCATTGTCGAATTGATGCGACTTTGGGCTTTCAAATTGTTCATCGAATAATAGGTAAATGATGCGATTTCGAGGGTTGTCGCGATTGTCGCAATTGTTGGCATATGCAAACCAATGAGCTGAATTATTTCAACATCTCAAATCTAAGGCCGAAAAGAGAAAATGTAAATACATACTGACCTTAAAAACTGGAAATGTTTCCTTCATATATGTCGACGACAAAATTGACGGAATACATCTCAAAAACAGAATTATGAAAATATCACGAGTTGTAAGAACGTTCACCTGAAATTTCCTCTTCTTAGCTGAAAACAAATCAAGGGTTCGAAATCTTACAAAAATGAATTGCGAGTTGACAAATTGTTTGCGAATTCCGTATACGATTATAAGAAACCATAATGAGAATACGACATTGATTGTATACATCATCTGAATTGTTTGAACTTCATCCCGTTTCACAATTAAGCTAATGGGGGGCATATTTTCGTATTATTTGAAGAAAAATTTTTGAGTTGATTAATATTCAAGCTATTAAATTACTATAGATGTATTTTTGATATCAGTGACTCACAGCTCTCATAATTGCTCCATAATTTTGAAAACAGTAATTTGTGAGGCATCCGAGCGTTTTGCAATGTTCCACGTATTCAATTCGATTTTCACAAACCGTATAGGCGACGACGATTTCCGATAAACTCATGAACACTGCGAAAGCGAATGCTAGCTTAGCAAGTCGAGGAATGTTCGTTTTCCGGTACTGTATCGGGAATGCTACCGCCTGAAACGAAACAGCCTTTTCTGAAACTGATGAAAAGGCTACATAGAATCGAGCAATTACTATACACATCGCCATATATCCATGTGCAATCACCGAATTGTAGCAAGAGAATGCGAAAACATAAGCAAGAGGGTCCGGAATACGAGCTCCAGTATCTCCAAGGGTCAAGAAATCGAAGTAAATATAGAGAAGGTAAGGAATTGCTGAAATTTTGAAGTATTTAAAAGAGAACACTGTTTTTCACCAACTGAAGATTGAAAAATAAACGTCAATAAAAAATCGATAATAGAACATTGCTAGATCCTTGCTGTAGACTTTATCTCGATTTTTGCTGAAGACATAATTTCAATACGGATTTGCCATATAAGAACTAACCCAATGAATGTCCTATAAATATGAAACGAGTTCAAAGCCGCTATAATAGTACTCATTATAATGCCAACAATCAGTGAGAACATTTTTTGAAAGAATGACACTATATTCATCCATTCCACTATTGTGAATGTTCTCCCTTGAGACGTTCAATATTCTAATCACAATGAGAAATTGCGGTGCCCTTTTCTGAAATCCTCGTAATTATAAAAACAATTCTAGAAAGAGAAGAACATTAAACCAATTAAAATAAGTTTGAAACGTTTTCTGGAACAAGGAATGAGAAACAAAATTCGTTTAGGGCTCACCAAACATTTTGTAGGGGGGAATCTTTGAGATTTAGATCAAAATTAAAATTCCTGCTTATATTTTTAAGTATTCCGCAGTGAAAAATCGATGCCACTTTGAATATCTAGCTTTTTTTCTTCATTGAATAATAGATGAATGATATGATTTCGAGAGCTGTGGCGACTGAATCAATTTTTGGCACCGAGCAGCTGAAATTGCGAGGTCTTTACTGAAAGAAAATTATTCAAAAAACACACCTTGAACACTAGAAATCGTTTTTTTTTTTCAAATGAGGAAACTAAGCAAAAAAATATGGCCTGATTTTTTTGAAAATGAATGATATTTGCTGGGAATTTTGACCCAAATGAAAATAATAATTGTTTTACTTGAAAATTTGCTAAATGTTAAGAACATGAATTGAGAACATGCGAACGCCGAACAATTCGAATGAATTAAACACACAATTTAAAATTTATTTTTATTTGTTAAAATTTTTATTATAATATGCACCAGTTCAAAGTTTTTTTTTAAAAATAATAATTAGTTTTTTGAGTAATATTGAACCTAGACAGATTAATTATATTGATTAATTGTTTTTCGTGATTTCGCATGATTTCATGTCCAAATGAGTCATATATTTCATCACAAGTTCTAATAGTAGTTGGCGTCCGAGGGTTTTGAAGATTTTCACGTATTCGTTGTTGCATATGACACGAAAATTTCCGAAACACTTATTGTCGACGTGAAAAATTAGAAATATGCCAAAAAATTAAAAAAAGAGGTCCGGTGCAAGGTGTGCACCTTTAACCAATTCTTATTCCTACGCCCGTAAATCTACACTTTAAGTTCTGAGCCAAGCGTGACACCGACAATATGAGCCGAGCAGACGGAAATACAACATTGTAAGGAATATGCGAGAATGTATTGAAAATTGGTTCGGGTTTCGTTTTTTCCAAATATGTGGAAGTTCAGATAGAACAACACTGAAGACTAATTGAATAATTGAATGTGAAAAAAAAAAACTACGAAAAGGTGATCCGCAAGAAAGCAATAATCAATTATTTGGAGACCCCCCATTGCGATTTTTTGCTAGAATTTTATTAAAATTACAATACAAAAAAACTTTGAACACTTACCAATCTAAGCAATTGTATGCAGATTTTGGAAAGAACATTTCTTGTTTGATTAGAACCATAATGAGCTAAATTTATCAAAATAGCAATTGCCGCAGGTTTCTTAAAACAGTGCTTCAAAAAACAGTTATTATCAATTATGTTATTTGGGATAATAATAATAATACAATATTAACACATCGCCCGTATGCAGAATGAATTGAGCATGAATGGTTATTACACATTATTACCATCCTGTAAATGATTTAGTTTAAACTGCAACATGATTATACGACGCTTGTACCTCGTCCCCATCCACCAAATGAGCCCCAACGGCCTCCTGGTCCCCAATGGGATCCTGAAAGTTAAAATATTTTTTAAATTTTTATCGACACTCGACTTACCCCATCCCCATCTACTGGGTCTTCCCCATCCACCCCATCCTCCGTGCATTGAGGGTCCACGTGGCCCTCCTCCGAATCCGCCTCGTCCTGAATCTTGAGATCCACCGAATCCTCCTTGATCACCGAATCCACCGCGATTTCCTCCTTGGGATCCACCGAATCCTTGATCTTGCCCTCCGAATCCACCGCGACCGCCACCGCCTCGGCCTCCGCCTCGGCCTCCTTGTGATCCGCCAAATCCACCATCATCGCCGAATCCTCCGCGTCCGCCGCCTGGAGATCCGCCGAATCCTCCGGATGGGTTTTGTCCTCCAAATCCACCTCGTCCTCCTTGTTATCCTCCTTGAGATCCCCATCCGCTGCTGGCTCCTCCATCAGATCCACCGCTGTTTCCCCATGATCCGCTTCCGCCACCTCTTCCGCCAGAGTTGCCACCCCAGCCGCGGCCTGAACCTGATCCAGCTCCGCCGCTGCCTCCCCACGATCCACTGCCTCCTGCTCCAGCTCCGCCGCTTCCTCCCCACGATCCACTGCCTCCTGCTGCAGCTCCGCCGCTACCTCCCCACGATCCACTGCCTCCTGCTCCAGCTCCGCCGCTTCCTCCCCACGATCCACTGCCTCCTGATACAGCACCGCCGCTGCCTCCCCACGATCCACTGCCTCCTCCGCCAGATCTTCCGCCTCCTCCCCATGAGCTGCCTGCGCCACCAGTAGATCCAAAGCCTTCAGATCCGCCTAATCCTGATCCAGCACTGGCACCTCCAAAAAGGCTTCCATCTTGTGAGGCGACCAAAATCACCAAAGCCGCCAATGGAAGCAAAAGCCTCATTTCTAAAAAAAAACAATGATATAGTGATGTAAAAAACCGGAAGAAAAGAGAAGAGAAGATAAATGATATCATCGAAACAGATTAACATGAGAAATTCGGGCAAGTTCGGCCCAAGTGCGAAAATTTGTCTGATTATATACATAGCGGGGAAAGCGCCGCCCAAATCGTTTGAAAAAAAATAATGGATGTCGTGTTATTAGGCAAACAGACGGAAACGATGCCCAGCGCTTTTCGCTATTTATTAAACTACTGCATGTGACAACTGTATATTCAATAAACGGCGAGATTCGTCATCATCATCAATATTTTTTTACTATTCAAAAAGTGATAAAAATATCAGTTTTTGGGAGAAGAATGCGTTTTATTTTTCAATTTTTCGGTTTACCCTATAAGGCAACCAATAGAATTGTCTTCAATTAAACAGAATATTTAAAATCGGCTGTCAACTAGTAAATGATTTTAATAAAAAACTGCGTCGCTTTGTATGTCAATGCGTTTCGGACTGTTGCGTCGAAAAAAAATGAACTGTTGTCGATGCATTTCATTTCCGCGTTCCACGAATCGAACGATTTATTATCAGGATTCGGAGTCTAGTCGAACATGGGCAAATATCACAAAATAATCGTTTAAGTTCCTCGGGTTGCCCTATTGTAAATGAGATTTTTCAAAAAAAAAAATACAACATTTTCTTCGTACCAATACGACAATGATGAATTTTTCTGAGATTTAATGCTCGAAATGAATTCAACAAATTTCCAGCAAATGTCTGAAGCAATAAATAATTTATGTGTATCATTTGATTTCAAATGTCTCAAATAAAAGTTGTTCATTGTTTTATTCAGCTGGCGTAGTTCAAAATTGTTACACAAAATTGGGGAGAGGAAACGGTCAACGGGATCGTAAGACCATAAACGCAATCAAGACGATTGACCAACGATTGATATCAGCATCAGCGATAACAAAACAACATCCATCTCGACGAAACTAAGTGATAGCAATCACGTATTCAGATACTTGAATTTATTTCGCATCACGAACAATAAATATCAGTGGAAATTATGAAAAAAAAATTGGGATATTTAAATTCGATTTCAAATATGATCGTATTATATGTAACAAAAAACCGAGCACTCTGTGTAGATTTACGGTATACGGTTGACCAGAATTACTTGTCAGGGTTCTCGATTTTACAATTGCAACCTATTCTAGAAATAACAAATTTTAAAAAAAATACAATTTTTTTAATGTAAGCTGCGAAATACTCTCTGGATTCGATCATTAAGATCTGATTAAGTTAAATCAAGCAAATTATATGTTTAAAGGTACACAACTCAATTCGTCTTGATTCTTTTCCGATTTTTAACCATTCATTATGGATGGCTTTAGAAATGTGTAACAGTTACAGAAGACAAATTTTCATCTGACCAATATTTCATAAATTTTAATCTTAAGTGCGTAGGCGTAAATTTTTTTGGCATCAACGTAAGCTACGGTTGAGCCAAAAGCTAGCTAAATGATGCATGTTAGATAACGCCAAAAGTGCCTTCAACGATTTCGTGTCCTCTAGAAATCTAGAAGCATTGGTTCTTATGTTTTTTATTTTAAGCTGAGTATTAGTCGGAGTCCGGCAACTGCTACATACGCTGGAAGATTTACGCGCATGCGCCTTGAAAAGGTCTCGCCACGCGTGAATGCTTATTTTGCTGTTTTCACGTGAACTGCTTCATTTTTCATGATGAGTTTGGCATTTCTTGGAATTTCTAACGTCATTCGATTTAAAAATTGTCGAACCGACCATTTTTAGCCAAAATAACCAGTTAGTCCGCGCGAGACCAAGAGAAAGGAGCATCCCCGTGAATCTACTCGTATACAGCAAAGTTAAGGTTCAAAATTCGGCATTTATTTTGCACAGACCTAATAATATTACATAAGCGATTTCGTCTTGGGGTGATTATCAGTTCCGTTTCGGAGAATAACCTCTCTGGTTACGAAGATGTCGATGGAAGGACCGGAAACGTTTTGGCAACTATTTCAGACGAGGAAAATCTGAATTACATTTCCAATAATCAAATGGGTCCACTGTGAATACTGGTATGCGAAAACCTGCAACTGACTTAAGTGCGTAAGCGTAAGTCATGCTACTGAAATTACACGCAACACTAACTGTAGATAAACGCTTCGAAGGCTATCAGTACTACGGTACCTGAATTTCCACGGTTTAAATTCGAATTTCTCGAAAAAGTGCGATGGTCCACAATTATTCAAAGCTCTTTTTAGCATTTGTTCAGCAATTAGCACGTCGACATAAATCTATGCGATTAATACATTAATGTGTTTATTAATTATAAATTAAACGGAACAGTCTCGACCATAACGTGATTCACGAAATAATCATTAAAGGCATTTAATGGACTTATTAATGCAATAAAAAATTTAAAATTACACATTTTTTTCTAATGTAGGGCTGTAAAAAAAATGACAAAATAATATATCTTTTTACATTTTTGTAAAAAGAAATTAATTTCATGAATAAGTCCATAACAGTCGGTCAACTGTTAATTGATGTCGGAGTACTCTAAAAAACCCGGAGTCGGGTGTATCGAGAACTCATTATAAAATGCCTCTTAATTGACATGTTGGAAAATCATAAGTTTGATGGGCGTGGTTTCTCGTATTTGATGTTTGAATTAATCGAAGTAGACAACTTTTGCCGATATTATCAGTTAATTTTCTGAAATGATACGAGTCAGTTGACAATTATGTGAGTGTCTGTGTTCAGATACGATATTTGTGATCGATGAATTGACCCCGAAAGCGGGCCTCGTATCATATGTCTTCTCCATTTTTCAATTCGCGTTGTAGGGCGTTGTATTCAAATTTTGGCGCCATGGGTCAAAAATCTGATATCAATTGACAAATGCTAAACTTTGAAACTCAATTTGAAACATTTAAAAATATCTTCTAAAAAATCGGATATTAGTAAAAAGAACCGGTTTTCCGGTTTGGTTAGGTTTTTTTTCATTTTGTGTAACAAACATTTAGAAATAAATTGGCCAAGTTCGAAAAAAAATGGGGGAGAATTATATATTATTCAATCATTAATATATCAAAACTATGAAACTATGATCATAATCTTTTAATATCTGTGAAGAATGACGATTTTTGACTCAGTTTTGAATTTAAATTTTGTATAATTTTGAATTATCATCACAAAAAAATGCACCTGAATAATTGTAGCTCCAATTATTCGTCACTACTGGTTTTCGCAAATCAAATTTTCACACCCGATTTATTACTACTAATCTTTCAAAAAAATTATTATTAATTAAGAAGTTGTAATTTCCGTCTGATCACAAAAAATTAGGTTTAGGTTGAAATCAAGGAAAATATATGCTAATATATGTAATAATTAATAAATAGTTGAATCAAATTCGACCTTTCCAAATTTTAGCATAAGAGTTAAGAGTTTGCTGAAAATCTGCGCAACCTGTGCACGACTGCTTGATCAACCTTAAATTCAACATTTTTCATGAGTCTCACATCATCAATAAACCACAGATTCCCTCGAAATCATTCAATTCACAATTAGTCAAACTTATGAATCAAAAAACCTTCAAAATTTCAGTGATCCATCAAAATATCGTAGTTGCTTTAGTGATGATACTAGTGATCATCGTTACCGGTTACACTATAATGATACCAGTTTTCTATATAAGCGGGTCGACAAGGTCAGTTCGCCATAAAGATGAATCAACTCATCGTCTTCCTCGTCGCTCTTGTCGCCGTCGTCGCTGCCCAATTCGGACTCGGCGGAGTCATGGGCGGAAACCGCGGCGGTTTCGGTCAGCAAGGATTCGGACAACAAGGATTCGGTCAGCATGGATTTGGACAACAAGGATTCGGTCAGCAAGGATTCGGAGCGCAACGAGGATTCGGTAATCAAGGTTTCGGAGGACAGCGGGGATTCGGACAGCAAGGATTCGGTCAGCAAGGATTCGGACAACAAGGATTCGGTCAGCAAGGATTCGGAGCGCAACGAGGATTCGGTAATCAAGGTTTCGGAGGACAGCGGGGATTCGGACAGCAAGGATTCGGTCAGCAAGGATTTAACAACCAAGGATTCGGTGGGCAACGTGGATTTGGAAATCAAGGATTCGGTGGACAGCGCGGTGCATTCGGCGGAAACCAAGGATTTGGTGGAGCTCGAGGAGGATTCGGTATATAAATTATATTTAATAATTAAATTACAATTATTCAGCCGGATTCGGAAAGTAAGGGCAAAGAGCAATACAATCGACGATGCCATGTTTGGGGGATTTTATATTCATAGAAATTTCTTCTAAGCAATAAAGTCATAATTCTCAAGTAAATATCATTATATCAAATCATAAAATGTCTACGGCGAACTGGATCACAAGATACAAGTCAGTCTTATCAATGAGAACACTTACTTTTTATTCACAAGAAGTACAAAACTTGCGCGTTGCAAATTCCGCTAGTGATCAACAATCCATGAATAAATATTAATCAACAAAAACCGTATTTAGACAATGGCGGATATGTATAAGGCTTGGAGGGGCGGAATTGTGATGTTTGTTATGAAAAACAACAACTAACTAAACAAAAATATACAGAGATTAATAAAACATTGAATAATGCAGGCAATAAATTAAACTAACATTGTATGAATGAATGAATGTACAGAATTATTACGCTTATAATTACTACAATTAAAGAATTAAATAGTAGAATGCGACGATATGGAGGAAAACCAACCAAAACGCGATAGCATAGCGTATCATCGGGTAAACGGCGAACTTGGTGTTGTGGCGCAAACTGCGAACGTAGCGCGAGATTGCAACGAAAGGATCTGGATTTGGATTGGTCGCTGGAACCAATGGAGTAGCGTCCCCCTGAATGCTCAATATGATTTAAAATTATAAATGAATAAAATCACTTCGATAACGTCAGAATCACTGAAATCAACATTCGAGTCTACCACTACCGATGTTTCTGCAACCGCATGATCCACTTGAACGCGAATCGGTGAGTCTTTGTCCATTGAGACAGACTGCAATATTAATCAAGAATTTAATTATTTTACGTACATATTACATACCTTCTTCTCCATTTCTTCAGCAGTAGAAGCATTATTGAGCTCTTCGTAATCGGTTTCCGACTGGCGAACGGCATCCGCTAACTGTTGCTCAAGTTCAGCAATCTTCTTCAACTGACCCTCGTTGAAACCAAGATCAGTAAGTTTACTCTTGCTCTCAGAGCCGATACGTTCGAGTTTCTCATTCGCAATTCTGAGATTCTCAACGCACTCTGCATACTGAACTCGAGCCTTAATGTATAAATTTGTTAATCGTCCGAAAGTATAATTTTAAAGAAAACCTCATTTAATTCCGCTTCCAATTTAATTACACGGTTTGTGGAGTGTGTAGTTTCGTCTTCACATCTCTTCTTATATGTTTCCAACTAGAAATAATAATAAAATAGTGGTTCCATCATAAGTTATGGTGTAATTAAGCGACATACCGTCTCCTCCATTCTAATCTTCTCAGAAACCAATGTTTTTCCTTTATCCTCGGATAGAGCCAATCGTTCTTCGAACATACGAGTTTCCTCGATGAGCTGAAATATTGAGAACATATTATGATTGGAAGGTTGCTCAACCGCATCAATTTTTTCCTGTGTGGACGCCTTCAGCTCAATAATTTCACGCTCAAGTTCTAAAACTCTCGCTGTCGCGTCTTTTTCTTCTTTGGACAACTCCAATTGTTCTTTCTCAAATATGACCATGTCAAGTTGGGAACGTAGCCTGCAATAATAGTTTAGTTAAAAATACAACGGTAGTCTAGACATACTTTCTGGCTTCATTTTCACAATCCAGAACATTTTGGTCACGCACCTTCAATGCTTCGCGAGCAGATATCAGTTCAACCTGAATCTTGCCTTTAATTAAAAAAAAGAAGAAAAACTAACCTTTATATTATTGAGGGATTCTTGCTTCTCTTTGAGATCATTCTCAAGTTTCTCCTTCTCAGCATTCAATTCTTTAACTGAACTTTCTATATTCAACTGCTTCATACTGATTTCGGTTTTTGTCAATCTCTCCACTTCTAATTCTTGAAGAAGAGTATCACACCTGGAAAACATGATTTTAAAACGAGAACACGGCGAAGAACTTACTTTAAATTCTTGTGCTCAAGCCCAAGTTGTTGAACCGTTTCCTCGCATTTCTTGCGACAGTACATTTCAATGTGATTTATAGTGTTGTTCATTTGAGTATTAAAATCGAGACTTTGCACGTTAGAGTAATCAAACGGCTCCGCTAGACCAAGAGAATTGATCTTCACGACAAAATTTTTGAGTTTGTTCTTGATATCTTCGTTGTCAGTGGTCAGCTGATTAATTAAGTCCTGAGTTTCCTTGTTATTACCGATTTCATTCTTAAACCGTTCGACTTCGTTCCGGTACTTTTCAGCTGCTCCATGATAAACCTCAACTTCCTTTTTCAAGTCCGTTGCAGTTTTCATCGCACAATTAAGTCCTTTTTCAATATCTTCAAGGTGCTTAAGTTTTTCTTCGGCTTGTTCTCTTTCAGCTGTCATGTTGACAACTTCGCGATTCTTTTGTTCAAGCTGTTTTGTGAGATCAGTTAGTGAATCCTTCAGAGTCTTGGTTTCAGTTTCTGCAATGCGTCGAGTTTCTTCCAGTTGAGCGATTCTAGCAATCATCGTCTCAATCTTCTTTGCGTCACCATCCACCACTTTCATGAGAGATTCAGCTTTTTCACAGCTAGTTCGAGCAATTATTTTCAACTCCTCAAACTCATTTTGTAGTTCATGGTGTTCTATGGCTTTCTTTTGAAGCAATTCGCCAAACTTGCGTATTTCCTCTTTGAAGTGAAGATTTTCACGGGTGAGCTGTTTAACTCGTTCATCGGCTTCTGCAACCTTCAACTTCTCTGCTTCCTTCAAATGTTCGTTTTCGGTTCTCATGTCAGAAATGCTTTTGCGCAGAACTTCAACGATATGAACATATTTTTTTATCTCCTCCTCATACTGCTGAACTTCTTCTTGATGCTGTTGATCAGTATTTTTCACATGGACGACATCTTCTCTTGCCTTATCAGCTTCAACTTTCAGTTCATGAACTTCTGCCAAAGCTTTGGCTAATTCCGCTTTAGCAGTTTCCAAATCCGCCGTCAATTGATCGATGCGTACAGCGTTCTGATTGCGTTCATCTTTCAATTGTGACAGCTCGTTAGTAGATGACTTCGATTCTTCAAGCTGTTTCCGCATGCCTTCCAATGATTCATCGGACGTCTTTAATTGTTCCTTCAGCTCGCCGATCTCCATGAGCGACTTTTGGAGTTCGGATTTCGCATATTCCAAGGTTGCAACTGCTTGCTGACGTTCCTCAATTTCTTGCTTCAGGGCTTTCTGTGAATTTTGCATTTCGGTACGAATCTTCTCCACGTTTTCTTTAGACTGATCTAATTCTGCTTTCACATCATTGAAATTTTTACGAGAAGCTTCCAGATCCAGATGTAATTGTTTCAGATCCGTAGAAACTTGAGCGTGTTGCTGGGACTTTTCTTCCAATGACTTTTGGGTAACTTCGAGTTCGAAACGAATCTTCTCAGTATCCAGTTTGGATTTTTGGATTTGAGTTTGCAGCTGATCAATTTCTCTGTTCGAACTCTCGATATCAGTCTTAGCTTTTTCCAACTCCGCGGCAATTTGATCGTGTTGTTTCGCTTCATATTCAATTGACTTCTTAATTTCAATAACTTCATCGTTGGCTCTCTTTCTGATGGCATCAACTTCCTCATTTGACTTCTTTCTGATAGTTTCAATTTCGTTTTTAGCTTTTCTAGCTTCTTGCTTGAACTTGTCAATTTGACGACGCGATTTGCTCAAATCTTTCTTCGTAGCTTCAAGATGTTTGGAGAGATCCTTTGACTTCTGGAGATCCTCTTCTAATTTTGTCAGCAAATTTTTAGAAGACGTCTCAGATGCGACGGCTTCCTCTAATTGTTTTTTCAAAGTTTCCATCATCTCAGCATGTTCTGATTCAGAGTTTTTAAAAGCGATGAATTTTTCTTCGAGACATCTCAGCTCCTCTTTTGCTTTGCATGTTTCTTGCTTGCTTTCCACCAAACTTCTTCGCTGATCACCCAATTCTTGTTCGAATGTTTGCTTCTCCGCTATCGTCGATTGAAGCTGAACAGTCAAATCAGTTATTTCGATAGATTTTGCGTTGTTATCAAATTGCAATTGAGAAACTTTCTCGGAATCGATCTAAAAATCAAAGATGATTAAGGTTCTCTGAACAACTAAACATTACCTTCAACAACTCGATTTCCTGAATTTTTTTCTCAAGCTCATTTTTGAGTTTTGAAATCTCTTCAGCTCGTTCGGTGTTAGCCCTTTTTGAGACTTCTTTGACGCTTCTTAAAAGAGCTACTTCTTCACTGATCTTCGCAAATTCTGCCTCTTTCGTCTTGAAACCTTCGAAGATTTCATCTTTTTCCTTGGATAACAGCGAGATACTCTGATTTGCTTCAAGAAGCTGTTGTTGCAACAGTTCGACTTGTTTCTGTTGATCTTCACATTTAAGCCTGAGTTGATCAACATCCTTCATATGATTTTCCCTGAAGTTTTCCAGTTCTTCACTGGCTTTGCGAAGTTGCTCAATAGTAGCGGCCTGTTCGTTAAGTTTTCCTTCGGTTGACTCAAGCTTCGCCTCACGATCCTTGCTTTTTTCAAGCTCAGCACGCTCCAGTTCTCGTTCTCTCGTCAATACGACAAACATTTCACGCGTTTTTTCAAGCTCGCTAGCAAGTTCAAGCTTTTCAGCTTGGCGGTAGCGAAGTTCTTCTTGAACCTGAACAGAAATCATTATTTAGAACAATACTGAAATTTTAAACGAACAGATTCAATTTCATTGTTGTACTTAGTTGTCGTGTCTTCGAGCAGCTTTGTCGTCTCGTTCAACTTCATTTCAATTTTGGAAAATTCCTCTGAAGCGATTAACTAATTTACAAGCGGAGAATAATTAATATCAACCTCTAGCACGGGAAAGATCTTCCTTAGTTTTGGCAAGAAGTTGATGAGATTGTTCATCTGGTTGCTCAGAATCCAATTTTCGAATCTTTTCGATTTCGGCAATAAGCATTTCTTTCTCGGAGTTTAGAAGGTCATAAATATGTCGAAGTTCGTCTAATTGAGCACGTAATTGCAAATTTTCATCCGCAAATACTTTACAGGAATCAGGAACGTTCTCTTTCTATAAAATAGATATTCTGCTTAAAACAAGACAATAGACTTACGCTTTCAGAGAGCTCGTGAGCTCCCATTTCTGCAAGAGCCTTGTCGTCCAGTCCGACCATGCCTTTGAGTTGGTTGATCACACGTTTAGCAATGGTCAATTCATGGCAACGTGTCTCCAATTGGCTTGTCAATTGAGCAGTGTTTTCGTAGTCTAAAATTTTAAATTAGAACGAAACTTGAATTGAATATATCACATTCAATCTTAGCTCTTCGCAGTTTGGAAAGCATTTCAATCTTTTCCTCCTCGAATATTTTCATCGTTGCTTGATGAGCAGGAGACAAAATCTCTACGCCATTGTTCTGTACCACAATATTGAATCGAACTTTTTCTTACATGTTTACCTTCTTTAGTTTAGTTTTGTTCTTGCGTCCCATCTTTTCAACGAACAATTCTTCGATAAGGTCTTCCTTCGTAAAGTGATCTTCTAAGTTGATCAAGAAATCTTCAACTAACCACGTTGAAGCGTGAGAGTTCTAAAAACAAACAATGCGTGAACAAGGTATTATTTAATAAATAATTCCAGCGTCACTAATTTAAGCATCCTAAATAAATGACACATTTTTAGCATTTAAAACTTAATATGCATGCTGCCAAACAGAACATATCGCTCTGCTTCCTAAAAATATCGTGCTGATAAATATTGTTAGTTTTCTTTGCAAATCGAGAAATTTCCTAATAATATAAGAAAACGAATCAACATTTTAGGCCCTACCGAAATTAGAAGTCTTGTTTATTGTATTCTGCAAACACATTGCGTACCTTCTGTTTACCGTACCAAAATTTAAAATTTAAATTCGGAATTCGGTTTATTGATTATTATTAATTAGATTAAAATTTATATATTACAAGAAAAAAACAATCGGTCTAGAGTAACATCTGGTATTAAGACAATGGAAAAACTCATAAAATTATATACAAAAAGGAACGAAAATAAAATCTAATATGAAACACCAAAAAAATTGAATGACGTATCGATCTGGAAAACAGTAGAACCCCGTATAAGCGAATGGAATAAGGCAAAAGTAAATTGAGACGTCACATCGAGCGCAGTGTTAGGTTCCCCGGCTACTTGTGTCTTCGACGAAGCGGCTCGAGCGAACTCTGCAAAGAAACGAGTCATCATGATCAAATGGCAACTTACTAAATTTCGATGACTTTTCGGTTTCGTTGCATTTTTCTCTCATCAAAATAAAAAGGATAAAGCGAGAGGAAAAACGAACAAATGAACAGAGGAACAGAGTTTAGCTATTTAAACATTTATTCATGCAAAATCCGCCACCTTTGTTTTTTGAATCTCTATTCACTAGACAATTTGTGCAACGCTGGTAGAGTGAAAACACTTGTGCTCACCTGTGGAATAACTGGTTCGAATGCAGATCCAGAAGATTGCAAAGGAATTTGTGGAACGACGACTTCTCGCGGTGCTTCAGAAGATACAGAAACTCGGGAAGATGTCGACATTCGACTAGACGGCCTTGAAGCAGCTTTTCGCCGCTGAATCTCAGCAAGCGCCGCCATTCGTCCGTGTTCAGCAATTCGAAGTTGTTCTTTGACGGACTCAAGACTCTCGGTCAACTGAGAAATTTGTTTTTGAAGTGATCCAATCAATTGATCCTTCATATCTACTTCGGATTCTTTCGCGTTCAATACTTCACAAACATTGCGGAGTTGATTTCTGAATCGATTCGAATTATTGCCCATTGTTTAGAATTATTCATACCTCAACGTGACGAGATCGTCACTACTCTGCTCCTTCTCCATCGCCTGCGCTTCCAATCGACTAATTTGTAGTTTCAACAAATCACATTGCGATTTATACCTAACCAATTATCAATTATGAAAAGAATTCGACAAAGAAACTACTTGTCCATTTCTTCCGCATACTTGTCAGCATGATCAATAAGCCGCGCTTCCGAATCCTTAAGCAATTCGTTCTGCTCTAATGTTGTTTTCAGCCTGTTTTTAGTCTTTTCAAAATCCTCTTTCAAACTTCGAAGCTCTTCGGATAATTCTCGAAATTTCGGTGATTCTTCTGCGGCGAGGAGCTCATTCTGTGCTACGGAGAGTTCTTCACTTATTTGGGAAATGATGGTGTCTCGTTTTGAAATTTCTTCATTCAGTAAAACCTTCAATTGCTCAACTTCCACAGACTGCTCTTCAAATTTGCTCTTCCATTCTTCTTCCTCTTTCTTGGACCAATCATCGTCATTCCACGCATCTTCCTTTTCATTAGATTTCAATTCTTCAATCTCTAACTTGAGGTTGCTGATCTCGTTCGATAACGCTTCAATTTGAGCCTTTAGCTTATCAATTTCTCCTTTTTGAGCTTTTTTTATTTCTTCGCTTTCTTGGTTTCTCTTAATCAGCTCATCTAAAGCTTTGTTGACATTCTCCAACTCCTCGCATTTCTCCTGATACTTCTCCTCAAGATCCGTGACATTGACAGAACTCTTTTGTGGTTTTTCTTCTTCCCATCCCCATTCCTCAGATTGTTTTGAAGAACTTTTCATCTTGTTGAGTTCAGTTTTCGTTTGCTCAAATACATATAAAACATGGCTCATTTCCTCTTCAATCTGCTCGATTTTTGTTTCGTAATTTTTACGAAGTATCTGAAAACAAAGTGTGTGTAATATGTTAAAACGAAAAACCACAATACCTCAAGACTCTCTCGTTCTCTTTGAAGGTTCTCTTCCGCTTCGCGAGTTTTCTGTTTCTCCAATTCAAGCTCATTTGACAGATATTCGTTCGGTCTTGCGTTAACCTCGTCATCTTCCTCACCCCAACCCCAACTTTCATTGACCTCAGATTGCATAGGCGCCGATTCCAATTCTTTTATCTTCTTCTTAAGGACCTCAAGCTCTTCAACAGCGTCATCAAGTTCCTGTCGGAGATCAGCTTCAGTATCTTCAAGCAGCTCAATTCGTCTCGTATATGTTTTCCGAACATCTTCTAATTCTTTTTGAAATTTGCTATTGTCTTCTTTTTCGCCTTCGGAGCTACTATCATGATTAGGTATTTTTACCTGCAAAAAAAATCCAAATTATTTTTTATTTGAGATAACTCTAACTTTCTGAACCTTTTCGTCATCATCCCAACCCCACTCTTCATTTGATGTTGATTGTTGCTTTTTCTGATCAATTGCGGCCTCTTCCGCCTCTTGTAATCGTTCTTCCATCTCCAGAAGCTGATCTTCAAGAGCCAGGATTCGCTGGTTTAAAACTTTTTCCACATCCTGAAGGCGTTCAACTTCTTCCTTCGCTTCATTATATTTGTCAGCATCAATCTCCGTCTTTTCTTCTTCTTCTTCTTCTTTCCACCCATTCCATTCATCTTTCGATTCACTCATTTTTTCCAAAGCTTCAGAAAGCTGTTGTTCAATTCTGCTCTTTTCTGAGGCCAATTCCAATTCTCTAGAGCGAAGGACATCAACCTTAAAAACATTAAATTGAAAAAAATAAAAACTTTAAAATGTTTAACCTCCTTTTGTAAACTTTCTACTTCTCTTTGTGAAGTTTGTTGCTCATTTTCAAGCTTCTCAATTTTCGAATTCAACTCTTGCTCGTTCTGTCTCATTCTTTCCATCTTAAAATGTGTTGTCATATGACTCTTAGAAATAAAAATTTCACCTCATCGTTCTCCTTCTTTTCTTCTTCATTCCATCCCCACCCTTCTTTCGTCGACGATGAATTTTCTTTTTTTTGCTCGTGCAGGGCATTTTCCGATTCCTGAAGCCGTTCTTCTAATTCAAGGAGTTGATCCTCCAGAGCAAGAATTCGATTGTTGAGAACTTTTTCAATTTCTTGAAGACGTTCCACCTCCTCATTGGCTTCATTGAACTTCTCAATATCAACATCGGGTTTACTTTCTTCTTCCCATCCGTTCCATTCGTCATGTTTTCTCTCAAGATTAATCTTCTCCAAAGCTTCGGCCAGTTTAGATTCGACATTAGATTTCTCAGAAATCAAATTCGATTCTCGAGAACGAAGTAATTCAACCTACACAATGCTTTAAAGAAATAAGGATTTCTTAATCATTTATTACCTCTCTACGAAATTCTTCTAATTCCGAATTCTGTTGAAGCGGTGTTTCATGATCAACTTGAGAGTTGCCCTGAGCCAAGCTCATTTCAAGCTCCCTCACTTGTGTTTCCAGATGTTCAACTTTAGACAAGAGATTCTTTCTCTCCTAAAACAAAGATTCATTTCAAATATAGTCCACAATTATATCATACCTCTTCAAAATTACTCTCATTTTCTTTCAGTTTCACCTCGAGCTCATCCGCCTCATTTTGAAGCCTGACATTGGTGTGCGCTAGTTCGGCATTCGTCCGGAACAACGAGTCAATATCAGCTTGGCGTGTCGTCAGCTTGGCGGCTAAAATCGCGACATCCGTCGATAGTCGATTGGCGGTTGCAGCTGCAATGCACGCCACCTATGCCACAGGACAAGCGCAAAAATTTCTACATATTATTTCCAATTAGCATTAATGTGCCTATCTCAAACTAATATAACAAAAATCACCTCAAAATGAAGGGGAGGAAGAAATGACACCACGTCCTGTGAAAATACCAAAAAAAAGTGAGCACGTATCAACTACACAAAACAAAAAACTACATGTTATTAAATAGCTTTCACCAGTTATGCTTTTCTGCACCCATAATTCGCAATATACTATATCCGAAAATTATTATAAATCAGAAAGTTACAAAAAAGTGACTCTTTTTTCTACTGAAAAAATATATGCAATTGCATGCAAATAAAGGACAAATGTTTTTAGCAACTCAATCTTTGGTTTCAAGCTTTTCGTGATTATTTTTCAATGTATGCGCAGATTGATTCTTTTAAATTCTGATTTTCTTTGCTATCTGTGGAATAGGTGTGAGCAAAGCAGAAAGTTTTAGGAACAGGTTGATAGGCACAGAGGTGAAACAGTTGGAAGGAAAGCAAACACACAAGTAGTAATGAACGTACCTTCGGTCTCGTTTGCTTTATCAGCGATCGCATCCAACGCCCTCTCAAGCTCGTTGATTCGACGTCGCAACCCTTCGCATTCTTCTTCTTTCCATTCAATCTCGCCTTCAAGTTGATCAATTCGTTGCCGGCTGGTTGCGTCTCGTCCAGTTTCAGCTTCGAGATTTTCAAGACGATCACGGAGCGCATCACCGATATTCCTCTGCTCATTGAGAGCCTGACGAGTTTCTTCGACTTCCTTGACCATTTTTTGAACTTTTTCGACGACAATCTCCAGCTTTTCGTGAAGACTTTCACTGGAACTGGCATCAGAGATGACTTGAAGAATCTGAATAAACAAATTAATTAAAATGGTTAAACAAATATTCAAATACTGTTAGCAATTTATCCACAAGGGTTTCAATATTTCCTTCCTGTGATGTCGAGGGTGTTGCAGTTGCAGAAGATTCCAAAGGAACTTGTTGTTCTTTCTGTTGATACAGCTGCGCATACACTGTATTATAGGCTGCTTGCAGTTGATTGTAGTAATCGGTGAGGCTAGCATACGCCTTTTCTAGTTCTTCTCTTCTTCCTTCCATTTCCAAGCATTCCGCAAGTCTTCGATTAGATTCATTTTCCGCTTCGGCAGCTCGACGAACCGCTTTGTCAGTCAAATCGACCTGCTCTTGCAATTCCACATCCAAGGCAATCGATCGTTTCTTCTCCTTTTCGAGGGCATGATCTAACTCGGCAATCTTGTTCTCCAAATTCTCCCTATCAAGAACTTGAGACTTCAGTTGGCCATTCAACGACCAAATCTCTGCCTTCAAAGCGTCTACGGCTATCTCAAGCTCTTCTTTAAGTTTCATCAACGACGTCAAATCGCGCGAAACATCGTCGTGGACTCGACTGGATTCATTGATGCATTCGCGAAGGATTATATTCTCCTCGACAAGATTTGGAGGTGCATTCAATCGGTCCGCTTCATGTCGGACATCATTCTGAGAAGAAGACTGGAGTATCGTTGTTTCAACAACTTCCATTGGAGCCGATGGTTCAGGAGAATGAGGTTCTTGTTTCACAACAGCTGTTGATGCGCTTCTCGATGCTTCACTTTCCCGATTTTTCACTTCACGCAGCTCATTTTTGTATTTCCTTTTGCTCTCCTCGAGTTTCTGCGCTCGCTCCTCAGCCTGTTGCAATTTCACCTCAATATCAGAAATTTCGCGTCGCGAGTCTTCAATTGTAATCGCTAATTTGCTGATTTCAGTGTGATGACTTCGCTGCAACTCCTCGATCTCGTTGGCATGTGCGGTCTCCACTTCCATCAAACGTGCAAGAACGCGATCAATTTCGCCGCGAAGGTGAGCATTGTCCTTTTGAAGGCATTCCACTAATATACATCAATGAATAATTTTTTTTAACAACAAAATCCTCACTATCACGAAGGGTTTCACGTTCTTCAACGGCAGCCTGCTGCGTCTGTTGGCTTCTGGAGGCAGATATTTCCTATAAATATTCCACATTGTTCTTTTCAATTCAGTTTAATACTACCTCAATCTGCTTTTTCATTTCTTCAATTTGAGCCGACATTTCCTCAACCATCATTTCATGAAGCCGCAATTCCATCCTGTTGTTCTCCTTGTCTTTTATCGTTTCAAGATGTTCGTGCTTTAGAAGATCGTTCTGAACAACCTTATTGTTTAATAGGACATATTGCTCATGCACATGTTACCTGTTTTTCAAGCTCCAACATGGCATGCCCGAGTTCGACATTGAGCTCTCCAGACAATCTCGTCTCAATCTCAAGGGATTTAGCGTGTTGCCGGAGAGATTCCATTTCTTCGTCCTTCAGTCTAAGGTTTTCGACCAACTCGGAGTTGACTTGTTTCACAGATTCAAACTCTTGTAGGCGTTCTTGCAATTGTTTAATCTCCTCATCCTTCTTTTTAAGTTCTTCCGCTTTTGCACTTTGGGAATCGGCTTCATTATCTTCTCGTGGCGCTTTTTGAACAAGATCCTGTTTTTCAAGCTTGACTTCTTCAGGCTCAGCAGATTTGGAATTCTTCTCTTCCAGAATTTTCTTGAGAGCAGTCTTGAGTTTTTTCTTCTCAGCCTTCTCACTTTCCAAAGCTTTCGATGCTATTTCGAGCTGTGACTCCAGATCTGCGATTTTCTTCTCGAACTCCAGAATATACTGCTCGTATTGGATCTCCAACGAGTCTTTACGCTCATTATCCCGAGTTTCGATGCTGTCTTGTAGTTCTTGATAGCGCTTCATCTCCGCCTGTTTCTGATTCTCCAACTCAACCGTTAACTGCTTAACTTGCTGGTCAACCTCAGTAGCGTATTGTAATCCGAGTCGCGCGGATTCGACCTCAACTCGCAATGCCTCGTTCATTCCAGTCAGTTCTCTGATCTTCCAAGTGCAATCTTTAATCTCCTCCTCGTATTCTTCAAGCTGATCAGCATATTCATCAACTTTCGCGCTTAACTGTCCCATTTTGTATTGTAGATCAAAGTTGTCCGCTCGAAGTTTTTCAGCTTCACGGTTTGCCTCATCAAGAAGTTTCAAGGTCTCCTCAAGTTCGTCGCTCATCTTCCGAACACCTTCCGTCATTTCTTCCGATGGGCCTTCTTCAGAAGCGGCAGGAGCCTCACTCAACCTTCGTTTCACTTCTTCGCGCTCAACAAACATTTTCTTCGTTGCTTCTTTTTCGCTTTCGAGATTTGACTGAAGCTGAAATTAAGATTTATTAAATAAAATCTTAATAATTGTAGATTTTCATACCTGCTCAACTTGCTCTTCAAGCTGCTTGATTTTCAATCTTGCTTCCTTCTCACCGGAGTTTCCCATTTCGAGCTCACAAAGTTTAGCCATTAATTGCTCATTTTGCTCAACGAGAACTTGGCACTTCTTGTCCAGTGCTTTCACCTTCAATCGCTCCTCTGAAATTTAATCTTTTATGAAACATGCTCGCTCTAGGTGGTAAAGTGTAATTCAGATCTTCTTAAAAGATTATAGCGTCGGATGTTTTCAAAATATCGGTAACGAAAGTTTTCAATTAAAAAATTTTTGATTGTGATGTTGGGATTGGTTTAATATTGAAGAAAAACTATTATTTTTGGATAGACATGAAACATTCCATTCAGAAAACATCGGAATGTTTCATCCTGCATGGACCAATACAAGCTTCGAACAATTTTGAAATTTTAAAACATTTCTCTTATTTTGTAATAGCAAAAGGATCACATAATTCGCATTTGATGTTTTTTTTTTAGCAAATTGGCGACAATTAATATTTTGAGTGTCAAATTTCCAGAATCTAGTCTTAACCATAATTTATGTGATACACCAAGACTATCAATTTTCTGCGACAAATTCCATGATAAAACTTTGCATTTTAACTATTCCATCAATTTGATACAAATAATCTCCCACGCAAACACTTGTCCACTCATCGTCTCGCCATTGCTCGTTTCTTATCAGTTAAATGTATAAGACAACAAAAAAAACAGTCTCATTTGTTGGTAGCCTACTTTCGAAACAGTACACACAATTCCAATCAATTTCGTGTAAACAATAACTATACCAACGCCAAAAAACCACCCATCTAGTGAATCATGCGACCATCATTTTTATTCGCACATAAATTTCCAAATCAGTGTACATGTTTGTGTCCGTTCCGATCAACAATATGAACATATTTGGTGCAGTTTGTTTATTCAAACAATATCGACTTTTTCACCCGTTCATAGGCAAAAATCCCTTCAAATTTAATTTCACCTCAAGTGAAAACAACAGCCGGTCTATCCTCCCCTCTAATTTTCTCTCAATCCTTTCCGCGCATCGACCCGCCTGCGTTTCATCATGTTTCTTCTCATTTACAACCCCCCCCCCATTGTGTATCAATCGCATCTTCTGTCGATCAAAAAATTGGCATCCAATTATAGCAGATTTCAGCAAATGCCACCAGCAACGACAATCAGCGAGGATTCATATTGTCCTTCCTGTGGCGGGAGTAAAGTGAAACGAAGATACAATTGGCGCGCAATTCTCTATGCAATTTTTTGTTTTCCATGCGGATTCTACTGCTGTTTGAAGAGAAAATCGTACTATTGCCCAACGTGTCATATCGATGTGCGTTTGACCCAGTTCTTCAAACTATTGATTTGCAATCTTACAGGTAGTTCGAAAAGATTCTGAAGCCATTCGCGCTCATCCCGGACTCGGATACAATTATAGACTGTACGATGCAACATCAATTGGAATACCGCCTGGTGAAATCAAGTCCTATGCTTCTACAGTTGATTCAGAAGTTACATTATCTTCTACTGCTAATTTGGTGAAATAACTAATGGAATATTTTACTGCCAAACTTTAATCATCGGGTATTCTTTTTGTATTTTCCTACGGGAAAAATTATGAAAGATGGAACTATTTAAAATTTAATAAATACGATTTTTTCTTACCGTTCGATTTTTTGTCGATGATCTCTTTTTCTTTTTCAAGAGCTTTTAGCTTGGTCTCGAACGCTTTCGATTTTATGAGAGCGCGATGATCAGTCTGAATTTTTTTTAAACTATTTCCTCAATAAGTGAAAATGAAATATTACCTTCGATGCTCCAAGAGATTCTCGAAGAAGTCCAATGTGTTGCTCGTAAATTACAATATCCGCTTCAAGAATTTCAATGAAACGATCTTGAGCTGTGATGGCTTCTTTTAATTTATCAACATCCTCGAAAATTGCTTCCTTTTGCTTTTCGTGGTAGTTGATAATTCCTTCTGCTTGAACTAAATCCTCCACCATGAGGTCCATGAACTTTTTTCCTTCAATCGCTTCTTCGTCGAGTTCCCTTCGAGCCTTTTCGCTTTCATCCAGCTCAGCTGTCAATTTGTACGTTTTCTCTTTTAGATGTGCAATCTGTTCGCGAAGTTGTGCATTTTGTTCCAGTTCCCAATCGCGAGAATTTCGCAACGTTACCACTTCCTCGCGGAGAATTCCAGTCTGAAATGCAAAATCATAACACCATAAAAAACTCAGTTCATACCTCATCGTTGTACTTGTTTGTCATTTTCTCCAACGACGCTTCAAGCTCCTTTATCCTGGCAGTTGCGGCTACTCTCGCTTTCAAACCAGCGCTTTTAACTTCTTTCTGATACTTAGCGATTTCCTCTTCATATTGTTGTTTCATATCATCCAAAGCTTCATTTAGATCTTGAACTTGATTTTTTAAAGCATGATTTTGTGCAGAAGCCTCAGATAGCATTGCTTCGATTTCTTCAGTCGACCCGGATCGAGCAGCAGGAGGTAAGTCAAACGTAACTCGTTTTCTGTTTTTCCGGCTTTTGTTTATTCCGTCGACGTCAGGTAATGTTCTTACAAAACTGTCATCTTTGGAATCAGGGGGATCTACTGGTGGTGGAGAAAATGTGCCACCAGGTTTATTATGTTGCTGGTGTTGATTTCTTGTAACAATTACATGACCAGGAGATGAACTGCGAGCTCTGCGATCCGGTCGCGAATAAGACGTCGATTGGGTTGAGGTTGAGACAAAATCAGTCTCAGTTGCCATATCTCGGCGTTCTTTATTACATTCTTCGAATTTTTGCTGTACAATTCGCATTGCTTGTGCTTTGGCATTGGCAACTTCGTTATGTTCTCGAACTCTTTCCTTCAAAACAATAATAAAAATCGTTATTTTTCGTTAAATTTTCTCACTTGAAGATCTAATATTTGCCTTTCTTTATCCAAAATAACATTGTTCAAATCAATTATGCGGTTATCCTGAATAGAAACATTCAACTTCCGGGTATAGTCGATGGCTTACCTTATATATGAGTTGTTGATGAACCCGCTCGTCAATTGACTTGTCACTAGACGCTTCACCCTTTTCTGTTTCCATTTTGATTAATTAACCCTGTAAAAAATGCGAACCAATCATAATTCGACGAAAATAAATCAATGAAGTTCAATTCGCCACGTCGGTGTACAAAATACGCTAGCAGTCAAGAATCGCGCAAGGGTGATGGGCACTGACGCACTTCGGGTGCGTAATTTTGAGAGGGAAGTAGGAACGGACTACTGTATCCAATTACTCTGGTTCGTTCTAATCGACAAAATAAAACGAAAAATAAATCTATCGAATCCGACAAATTACCAATCTTAGAATTACTAATCGGGTGAGCCGAATTTTGTCGGATCCGATTGGTCTTGAGTTAGTATAGTAGGCTCGTCGCCATTCATGAAAAGAAAACAGTTTAGTTTAATCAATTAAATTTTTTGACGAGCCGACATGGAATATAAAACATGGAATATCATTTATTCGCATTTCCAAGTAGGATTACTTAGTTGTCGTCTATTTGGCATACGTCTTCTGGTATGTTGACGCCTTTTTGTATTGGTATTTCGAGCCACCAGACGATTTCGCTGGCGCCGCTGGTGGCGGTGGCGGCGGTGGTGGCGGCGGTGGTGGAGCTGCCTTTGGTGCCGCTGGCGGCTTCTTTCCAAATAATTCGTCGTCAATATCCACATCGAGATCAGTGTTTTTGTGATTTCCGATCGCATCGACCGGCACAAAAGCAGACTTATCGGCCATTTCTAAATATGTGCCAAATTTGAAATCATCGATTTCGTTGCGGTTACCTTAGCTTTCCCAAGTCTTCAATGATCGAAACGCTTTGTTGAAGCGGTTTAGCAATGATGTCTTTATCAAATTTTTTAATCATCAAATAGGAAGAACCGATTTTATCAGGGTCACGTATAATAATGGCAGAATCGAAATCCGAAATTATTGAATAATTTTAATTTATCACATTTCTAGCCAAGTTTACCTCATACCAATTCACATTCAGCAATCAAATTTATTTTTTTCATTATATTTTCCTATTAACTAGTACAAAATTACATTCAAGTTTGTTTCTTTTTTGAGTACAAAAAACATGATTCAGAATTTACAGAACTACACAACTTTAATTTTCTTGTTGCCTCATAAGCTGTTTAAATTTATCCAGTGCGTTTAATTTAGAAAATGAATCTTGAAGATAATTTTTTGAGAGAATGATGGACAAAAAATATTTCAACAAATCTTTCCCGTGACCCAACTGAATTAAAAAATTTTCCTCTGCGGTCATTATTTCAATTATTCGAAATGAGCTCAAAAAAGAGCAGGCCTGTTGAAGAACTCGAGGCAGCACTATTCTTTTTTAAATGGAGTGTGAGTTTTATGCCTTCCACTATTAAAACAACATTATATTTCTAGAGAACAGCATTGGAAACTTATGCGAAAACTATCAAAATAAACTATTTGAAAAAGTTGATTGAGCATTGCACACGAACTCGAATTGACGATGATGCAAATATTTTGAATTATAATGGAATCAGTAGCGATCCGAAAAACTTGATCGATGATAGTAAGGATGCGAAGAAAAGATTAGAAGCGGCCAAGAAACGAATGGGAACCTCGCAGATTCCAGATTCTGATGAAGACGATTATTTCAAACCAAATAAGGTTTTTAAAGTTGTCTGGTTGCTTTAGTGAGTATGGCATTACAGATCGTTTCCCTAGTCGAACTAGCTTGTTTGTATAGAATAAAAGCGTTGCTGAAAATGTGCGAAGAGCTTACAAAGCTTATGGCCAGAATGGCGACATGGCTTGACGAGAATCGCTCAGTAAGCTTTTCGTTTCAACTAAAAAAATTAAAGTGTTTTGAAATAATTAAAGCTTCTTCGAAAATTCGCAAACTTGATCAGCATCCTTCCCGATTGCCGTCGAATATTCGAATCAGTGTGTGGTGTTGGAGAAGTATTTCGTTTATTATCAATCGATTGGACCAAATGTGATGTAATCATTTCGACCTTCTTTTCAACAATCAATTTCGATTCGATTACAGCAAAGCAAGTTTTTGGTGCCATCTAAAGACGATTACACGTCTGAAGAAAATTACGAGTTGGTCATTGTCGATGCTAAGAATTATTGTCCACATCTTATAACGAAAATCAATTATTTCAGGTTGGAAATTATTTGAAGTTATAAAATGTATAGTCCGTTTCTGAATGAACCACGCTTATCAGAATCGGTAATGCGATGTTCCCAAAATATGAAATATATATATATATATATATATAGTAATCTCTGGCGCTTAGGAATTGTGGGGACCCTTGAGAGCATCTACAATTTTATTAAGACTATCATCCACAAAATACCCTCATTTGTCAGATCCCACATTGTCTCAAGATGGGTGGTGGTAGGTGGTGGTGGAAGATGGGTGGTGGTAGGTTTGGTGACGGGTTATCGAAATAAAAATATGCAACTTGTGATATCTAAAAATCATGTTGAACGGGTCGAACACGAATCAGAATTTTTCAGAACATTGATTTATACAATTGGATGCTCATTCACGGCGATGCTCGAGACCATATTCCTAAAAGTGGCATATGAACGATGCGAAATTCGATCCAAGTTTTCACATGTTTTTTTCTAGATTTCCTTATTATCAATTTTTCAGACAAATCAACGAGATTCTCAAAAATCTTCCTCCTCAATTTCTTTATGCGGAAAATTATCGAAAATTGTCAAGAAGAACAATGAAGTTGCTCGAATGCCCACCGAAAAATGATCATAGTTTTCCAATGATTTCATCGGTAGCAAAAATGTGTTTAAATGGGGTTTTTTTTTGAAATAACGGTTTTCAGATTCGAAATGACACGAAGACCAAGAGCAGCTCGAAAAAGCAAAAGGCACCGATTGCAACAAAATCAGAAAAGTATCAGTCAAGGTAAGAAGGTTCGCCATATATGGCAAAACGCCACATAATTTTAGCCAAAAGAAAAATGGCGCCAGAACAAGAAGTAAATCAAAAAGTATTGCATCAAAATTAATGTAAATCTTTTTTATTTTTAAAAGTTCTCAAAAATCTTCGCTATTGCAGACTTCTCCGAAAATTTACAAAAAAGAAGAAATAGAAAATATAAAACATTTGTTTTTTTTTTTGTTTGTTAATAAATAAATAAATTAAGAACCTATTCATGCAATTAAAAAAAATCAAAAAGTTACGCGGCTGTAATTTTTTAATTTTTATTCTGTGTGTTATTTTTTTCCGTATTTTTAAAAAATTTTGAAAAGGAAAATGAATGACGGATTGACGAACGTAGAAAAAAAAACAATTATTGGTATAAGTACTCCCAATTCGACAATATATGTCAATTGTTCGTCATTTAGATACCAATTATCATGAGAAATGGCGTTATTTGTGCTGGTTTGATGCAGAGCTTGATGCCGCTTTTGATAAACCTTTCGCGTTGATTAAACAAAACACTTTCACATATTTCCAAAAAAAACGTTTTAAACGCTCAGAAAAATAAAAATTAGAAAAAAACAGACATTAAAAAATTACAGTACCGACTTCGCGACGCGACCCGCGCAACTTTTCGCGTGCGCCTTTGAAAATAAACAACAGAGAATTACGATATATCGTGCCAATTTTTTTTGTAATTTTCGACGTTCGGGCATAGGGAAAACATTTTTTTTCATAGCATGAATAGGTCCATAAATGTTGTTCCACGAATCGAAACTGGATTCTACAATAGGCAACACCAGCTGCTTATCCGATATTCGAATGCCACTTGCGCAATCTTATCTGATGTTTGTCGCTTCCCCGTTGAAGCATTCAAATTGCCGCTTAATATTTTCGAGTCAGCAGCCTACGTTGGGCCTATTTTGAAGGTAATAGAACACCAAGGTCGCCGCGATCGCCGAAATTCCCAAATGCCGTAACACGAACAAAGCGATCACACAACAAACAGTATTCGAAGCAACAATTTGTTTTTGCTTCGTTCATTGCCTTGATTTTTATTGGGGCGTGTGGTGTGGTTGTATTTGTGTGTGTGTGTGTGTAAAAACAACTGAAATTAGCGAGAACGTCAAATGGACTTGTTCGAACATGCAAAAAATGTGGGTCGAAAAGAAAGTGCACATGAAAGAATGCGTAATTTGTACGAAGCAAGTGGACAAAAAAAGACAATTGAAAAAAAATTGATGGAATTTGAACACAAAAGCTTTTAACGTATAGTTTTAGTTGAACTAGTTTCTGGTTGTATTTTTCTTGAAATGTGTAATTTGCATACTTCCGGTGTCTGGATGAGGCGGTACATAAAGCAGTTGCAATTAACAGCTTTTTGCTTCGGCAGATTCCTCAAAACTGAATAAGTTGTCATCAAATAAAGAATTCTTATAATGAATCCGTGGATTTGCTATGTAATTTCTCAACGTATTCTGATAGCTTTATCAGCTTAATGTTTCGTTTTCACTACCTATTCAGGCGATTCAGAAATCTGATTTCACCTATTAAAATGACATTAGAAGTGTTTAGATTAATCGTATTCAATGAAACAATTTCTCCTATAATTTTTTTTTCAAGAATTTCATGTTTTGTCAATATTTTTAAATATAATTCGACAAATTCGAATTATACGAACGTAAGATCTAAATTTTTGAAACATCATAAAACAAGAGAAATGAATGAAGAAATGTTTATTTGAGAAAAAACAAGAGTGCTTAACGGCGGGTTCCGTCCTCGAAGAAGACTCCTCCGTCGATGGCGCAATATTTCGGGCAGATTCCCTTCTCTCCAGCGCTTCCTGGCTGTCCAGCTTGTCCTGGGGCTCCTGGGTTTCCATCGGCTCCTGGCTGTCCTGGGTTTCCGTTGGGTCCCTTTGGTCCTGGGGCTCCTGGCTGTCCGTCTTGTCCTGGGGCTCCTGGCTGTCCTGGTGGTCCTTGTGGCCCTGGTGGTCCCTGTGGTCCTGGGGCTCCTGGAACGATTGGCTCCGATGGGGCGTCTTGTCCTGGGTTTCCTGGGGCTCCTGGCGCTCCTGGGTTTCCATTTGGTCCAGATGGTCCCTTGTTTCCTGGCTGTCCTGGGGCTCCGTCTTGTCCTGGTGCTCCTGGGTTTCCGTTGGCTCCGGCGTCTCCGGCTGGTCCTGGTGGTCCTGGTGGTCCTGGTGGTCCGGCTGGGCATGGCTTGCATGGTGGTGGGGTGATTGGCTCACATGGCTGCTGTGGTGGACGTCCTGGGTTTCCTGGGAGTCCTGGAGCTCCTGGCTTTCCTGGGCGTCCTGGCTTTCCTGGGGTTCCGGCTGGTCCGGCAGCTCCCGGCAAGCAGCAAGCGTCGCATCCTCCAGCGCTGGCACCTCCTCCGGTGACTCCGGCGTCTCCTCCGTATCCAGCTTGACGGGCGGTACGGTTTCCGGATGGCAAGTTCTTCAAGTGATTGACCTCGCTCCAGATGTCCTTGGCGGATCCTTTGCAGAAGTTGATCTCCGAGTGCATGGTGCGCTTGACATGGTGCACATAGTTGTACACCATTGGCAAGGTGACGCAGACCGAAAGGACGGCGACAACCGAGAAGGTGACAGCCGAATAGGCGACGAAGCGATAAGCCTTGATGCGCTGCTCCAAATCCATGGTGAGACTGGAAACTGTCGAATATGGCGACGCTTCAGCATTTTATACCTGCCACCAACTGCGCGCCACGCCTCTTTCGCGAGAACCCAAAAACTTGATCTGATGTAGGTGGCAAGGTGGGTGAGTGTTTTTTTTTTCGGTTGCGCCGTTTTTTCGCATTGTTGTTGAAGAACGATGTGTAATAGGTGTATCAGATATTTACAAGGTTGGAATTCTCTAATGCATAGCTATGCATGTACAGACGCAGGAGACCTTGACAAATAGCTGCTACTGCGGCTGTGTTCTCTGATGATGTCGATGGATATTCAGAATTGATGAGACGAGAGACACCATTTTTTGCTTAACAAAAGGACACGGTGTAATCTGAAAATTTAGAAATTGTGAGATTTGAAATGGATTAGATTAAGATCAGTGTGAAGAATCAACGCGGGAAGCATTATGCAACATTCTATAGTTCATTTTATTTTATAAATAATATTCCATAAAATTAAGTCTAAAATATTTTTAAAATTTTCACATGTGCCTTTGAACATCTGCAATAATCATTGGAAAATGTTCAAATTTCTGGCACATTTCTGATTCATAATAAAAATTCAAATATTCATGTGTAAAAGGAAATAGTCAATAATAATAATAATAATACTAATAATCTGGAATTAATATCGTATATACTGAAAAACTCGTCATTTTGGTTCGATGAAATAATACATATAAAAACATAATCAACACAGAAGTAATACAAAAATCAATGGTGAAAGATATCCTCGAACCAGCCGAGAGCGAATATCAACAAAAATCCGCAAGTAAATCCGCAATATTGCATCAAAAATGAAATCATCCAATGATCCTTGTGTGATCCATCATGTTTCAAATGAGCCAGCTGAAAAAAGGGAAAATGAAACCAATTAAAAGAATTGACAATTTTCTGGTTAATTGGCTGTCATTCAAAAATTGACAAATTCGCTGATTTATGAGTCACTACTATGTGTATTTACAAATAATCATGATTTCACACAAACAAAATCAACTCAACCAAATCAATCATGTCGTTTTAAGCCCAAATGTCTGTACCATGTCAATCCATGCGACATATAAAAACATTCCAGCCGTAATTGCGAGCAAAACCGTTTCTGCTTCGTGATTCCGTCCAACAGAAACCGATAAGAACAATCCGAGAAAAGCGGTGAGAGCCGATATTAAATTCAATATAAGTGCTCGGCATAGAGGAATTCCAGATTCCAATAAAACAGCCAAGTCTCCTGAAAATCGTTTTTATTTCATTTAAATGTACATATGATTCTCATTGAACAATCATACCAATCTCATGCGGAAGCTCATGACACATAACTGCGATTGTGGTAATAATTCCGAGCTTGATTGAAACCATAAAGCTTGCACCGATTGCGATCCCATCGACTAGATTATGGACCCCATCGCCAAATAGAATGATGATAGCACGTCCCTAGAATTCCAGATTAAATTCGGAATTTGAAATCGTTGATACCTTCAATCCCCAGCATATCGTCATTTCGTCAATATCCTCGCTTTGACTGGTCGCATCCGTTCCGCCATCGACTCGTGAATTATTCGATTGGCTGCCCGCCAAATCATTATTATTATTCTCGCATTGCTTCCAAACATGGTTGGAAACCATCTGCTCACACGCAGTTATTTTGTTAGTCTCCTATCGAAATTGAATCATTTTAAGAGGAAACTCGGAACAAACCTGTGCGATTTTCTTTTTTCGATAGAACATTATAAATTCGATGAAGTATAATAAATAAATTGAGAATATCACAATTGAGAGCCTCAGAAGATTCCGTCGCTCATCAGTAATTGTGTACCACTAGAAAAATGGAAAGAGAAGGGGGGTCTCTTCAAATTGATAAAACATACAAACACATCATCATCATCATGATGCTCATGATGATGCTCATGATGATGCTCATGATGAGTTTCATTGTGAAGCTCATGCTCATGTTCATGTTCATGTTCGTGCTCATGCTCATTCTCATGATGATGATGCTTATGAGAATGACCGCCGTGTGTGTGACCATGAACCCCCATAATTTGAGGCAAAATGTGCAAAATGGCGTCGGAGCTCATGGTGGAAACTGCCATTGCAATAAAGAAATGCATCCACCTAGAAAAACAAAATCTCTTGAAGGGGATCTTGAATCGTTTATCAAATATCTACCTATGATTGGCTCCTTGTGCTCTGAGCATTGGAGCCATGCATCCGCCGGTAAGCGATAATAAACTGACAAGCGCAGTGGCGATGGTCCCATAAACGAGCGCGTTGAAGTACTTGTCATCGTCGTGGTTTTCGGCCATGTCTGTCGGTCTTCAAAATGAGAAAATAATGATAATCGGCGGAGCCAATGCGCGACACTTGGCAAACATTTATTGCGGAAAAATAAATTCACAACAAATAATCCGGTTTTTTAAATGCTCTCGACGAAAGCGGCAAAGTTTCAAAAAAAAAAACACCTGATAAGATTGAGTGGATTTGAGCCGGCGTCGTCTCGACCAATCGACCAAAACGACGGAAAACTGCACTGACTGAAGATTGCCTACAAATGCGGAAAGTCGTTGAGAGCGAACCGATAATATAGCAATATATGTACATGAATATAATAAAACGAATCAGTGGGAGGAAGAATAACAATAGAAAGTGAGTGTGACTTGACATTGAACAATGAAAGATTGTAGCGGTTCCCATTATACCCGAATTTGGGAGATGAAGCTGGAAACTTGGAAATCTCGGAACTGTGAGGCGGCAATGTCACGTTTTGATTTTAGTTTTTTCAAATTATTAATTTTTTTTTTTGATTGAGAAACGAGAAGCGACAACACCACGTTTTTGCGATGGAATCTTTCTTGATCGGGGAAAAGTGAATTCATTCTTGTCTTGTCTTTCTTTCTGTCTTGTTGCCGCAATTCTAAACAATTTCTTGATTCATTAATATTTTTCCCCCATAAAAAAAATAATAATGGCGTGGTGAACACGAATTAGTTTTCTCAAGGATATGATTCATAGTTTAAAAATTTGATGGTCGACAAAAATTCAAAAAAGTGACGCCATAGGAAATGATCAGCACGAAAATGTATTTTTTAAACTTGATTTCGAGCAGCAAAAAAATTTCATAATTTTTTGAACAGTTTCAAATTCTCACAGAAGTTGTTCTCAGCTATGTATATACATTTGAATCAGATTTTTTATTATTCCTAGCCAACTCAACTCCACGAGTTTCACGATCAACTGGCTTCGCTCTATTCTGATCTTTAAATTAACAATTTTTTCAGAACCTTTCTGATGTTTTTAGTCTTTATAGTTTTCGAATCTGATTTTAGCGTAAGAATCGAAATTTATATTGACTTTTCAAAAATTGAAATCATTCACAAATCGACCATTTTGAGTGCAAAAATTTTAAATTTCTCGAAAACCTTAAAAAGAAAACCATGGAATATATTGTCGAAGTGCCAAGTCTGCGAAAAAATAACAAAAAAAAAAACAATGAAAGTGGTCTTGACGCAGAACAAAAAGTTTAGATTTACGGGTCTTAGCATTATGATAAGTTAAAGGCGCACAACACCGAGACCTCTTTTTGAATTTGTTGGCAATCAGCCAATTTTCCGCAGTCGCGCGACGTCGACAATAAATGTATTGAGTGGTGCTCTTAAAGGCAAAACGAAAAAAAATAGATATCAGGCAATATCAGATAGGATGGTTAATAATATCATTAAGAATTTCTTCACAAAAAAATAAATAAATAAAAGTAATTTCTCAGGTTGAACACGGTTTTAACACTGGTTGTTCTTAAGAAATACTCTAGACAGTACTCATCACAGTCTTGCTTCTTCCTTCATACTAGCCTTTACAATGTCTTCCCTGATTTTATAAAAATAAAAAAAAACCCAAATTATTCACAAGATCTTTATTGAAAATTCGCCAAATTCATCGCAATTAAAAGCTTATATACACGTAGATGAACGAGAAGCGAGGCAGATCAGCCGAAAAGTTCATTGGCGCGCCTTCGAGTGCGACTGTCGAAGAACTCCGGAGCGAACTCGTCTTGAAGTGGACTCGAACGTTTGCCTAAAGATCGGAAAATTAAATTCAAAAAAATGAAACAAATCAAAATGGGGAGCAAAATGAGAATCTGTAATCTGAGACCGGCTACATTTCAACGTTTTAAATTTCGCGCCTTTTTTTCTTTTATCTTGGAATGGTGGCTAGCTGAATTCTCCGTGTTTGCACACATGCAAACACCAAAACTGGCGTGTACTTCTTTGGGGAGCAGACAAATCAAAAACGTTTCAAACGAAACATGCTCTTTCTCCAAGTGCTCAACTCACCGAACAATTCTCTGCCTCTTCGTTTACTGTAAGCTGCTCTCTTCAGAATCGGAGAACGTCGCGAATCAGCCGAATTATCTGAAAAATTATTTGCGCTTTTCGATATTCGTACTTCCCCCCATTTTTATCATTTTTTTTAATATTCTGCATTTCACGTCACAAATAAATTCTGGAGGTGATCAATCGTCGACCGACATTTCCCACATAGTATATAACGGAGAAGGAATGGAAATGTCTTGACAATAACAATTATTAATGATTTATTAGAACGATGCTCAACATTTCATGTTATTCATTCTAATTGTGTGGTATACGAAGATTTATTTTTTTTTTCAGAATGGGATTCGAGATTTTCGCGGCGGCGGCGGCGGCGGCGGCGGGAGTTCTCATCGCTTACTAGGATGTGTGACGTCAAGGAAATTTAAGAATCTCAGAAAAAATAGCACGCCTATCAGTCTATAAAAAGAACAAAGTTTGCATTGTGAAAAACGAAGAAGGGACCTCGAAATTTGGGAATTTCTTAATCATTTTGTGGAAAATTTTAAGGAACCATCCTAGAAGTTTGAAAAGATGTCCTAATAAAGTACTATAAATTTTTGAAAAATGACAAAATAAAAGACGATAAATCATGTTTTTCTGATTGCATGCTACTTCGAATCTGAACAAAGAGCTTCCCAAAAAGTCAATTTTCAAGTGGAGATTAAAATCAAGAATCAATTATACTTTTTTTTGATTATTTTTATCGTTCAATTATAATGAACATGCATGTGCATTGTTTTAAAGCAAACAAAAGGAAACATTTTGAATCGCGAATAAAATTCGAAAAATTTTTCTTAAATGAAATATCAAAAATAGTACGAAATGCTTTTGATCTCATTGAATTCCTTATTTGGGAAACCTTCATCTTCTCCCGTATATTTCTTGTGATCCGAACCAAGAATATTGACAAGGGTGTTCTTGTTTTTTTTTCAAAATAGAAATAATGGATAACCTGGACTCAATGGAATCCTGACAAGACGATAGTTGGTCATCTCGATCGGAAAGTCTTCATCAGCATACCAAACAGGAGTCGTGTTGGCAAATGCGAGAAGCGCTGAAATTTGCGCTTTTGAATATTACAGCACTCAAATAATAGCGTCGAGATTCGAATAGAATAATGCAAAACTTACCAACAAGAATGACAACAGAAATGAGCTTCATTGCGTTTCGATTTCGTTAGTGGGTGTTTCAAGCTCGCGGAGCCCGAAAGAAATGGTGTGAATCGGCTCGCCGCCCTATCCATATACACCAGTCGGCCGTCGTGCTCTCTTCCAAGCCCCGCCCATTTATATCACATTTCGAGGCGCGTAATCCGAAACTGGCAAAAGAATAGAATGTATAGTTGAATTGTCGTGGGATGATGATGATGATGAGGATGATGTCGAATGATGAAAACAATCAGGAAGAAGGACGTGGGTGGCAATTGTGGCGAAATTATGTGTATCTATTGGATATGTACACTTTTAGAAAATTAGCCATCTAAAAGGACACACCAATAAAATCATGTTTCATGTTGGCTGGAAGCCATTAAAGCGATCACAATGCTGAAAAGCGGATCATAATTTGTGAGCCGCTATTCCTTGTTTCCCTTATATGACCTGCAGAGAAATCACTTTCTATTGAGAGAAAATATTGATAAAACTAGTTTGATCAACATTCTACTAACAGTATATCATCGAATTATATCCATTAGCAGGGGCCTGCTGACCACGGAAAATGTAAAATCTCGTTTTTTCACGGATTGCCGATTTTCAGCCTATTTCGAATTAATTCTTTGCGATATATTTGAGTGTTCAGAATATGAATACAACATGCAAATAAATAAATTAAGAGATATTTGATATTTGGAGCTGTAAACTTTTCAGTTTAATTGTTCTCATTTTCACAATTCGCTTATTTAAGACTCAGTCGAATACATATGGATTAAGGCGGTTAATTGTATTTCTCGATTATTTTTGATTAATCAAAAACAAATATTTGTGACATCATGTGCATCTCAAAATTTTGAAATGCCGCAATAAAGAAATTTGCAACTTTAGGCAAACTCGAACCAGTTGACCTTTAGCTCAAGCAAAACGAAATATCAAATGTTCAGTCTCCATAAAAATGTTGGTTTGTGTGAGCTGAAAATTAACAAATATTCGAGATCGCGTATAAAAATTCCCAAATTTCACAATCGAAGTTTGAATTTGCTCCACGAAAAAATACGATGGTCCACAATTGACTCGAGATGCTCTTTTCTTTTTGATATATATTTTTTAATTGATTTGCCACATGTTTGAAAGATGTGTTTCATTGAGGTCCATTTCCAATTGTTGGGTTAAAAATTCGCACCTGTCTTTTTCTGAAAACTCAAAACGCCTTCATACGCCACACCTTTGGTTGTAAATGAATGAATCTCGAAACATTTCAAATCAATCACAATCAATCCCTACAAAAGTGAAACTATTCAAGTGATGCCAAAACAAAAACAATCCAGCTCTACTAATTCGATAAATGAATTATTGCGATAGGTGTTTTCTGATTGAGAATTTCCTTTCATCAATCTTTCCCTTCGCCTTCGAGTGTGACTATCGTGAACCAACTCAACCGAAAACCATTTTGAATCAAATTGCTGCTGGAAAAAAATTCCGAAGTCAACGGATATTCATCTTCCCCCCCATTCTCAAAAAAAAGCGGCTTGTTCGTCGGCAAAAATAGAATAATTGGCATTGGTGTGAGAAGACAGACAAGCATAGACAGTCAAATGGCATTCGAAACTAGCTAGTCGATCTGCGCGCAGTCAAACCCAAGGAGGGTCCTCCTCTTGCGCCGCGTCTCCGAATATCGTCGTCGGCCCCGCTTCGGGCAGCCACCAGCACATCGCCACTCACTTTTACTTTATTGTTGATTTACTCATACGATTATTATTGAGGTATTCAAATCTAATACTGTTGCCGCTTTTACTGAATGTACACCCACTACTCGATTCTACTCCTCGTTTTTGCTCATTGGTAGGTCAATTCACCGTTTTTATCAATTATCATTAATATTTTTTGGATATGAAAAAAAACGGTAAATGATTCGTATTTTTAAAGAAATTCTATTAATTATAAGCATCATATTTTCAAAAACGACGTAAGATTTACGAATTTCAAAAAGTTTCTATTTTAATCTGTATAAGGCGGTAAAAATTTTCGAATTTCGGTCTGACTCTCCGGTTTTCCATCATGCTCTATTTTTTACACCTTCTAGGAAAATCTAAATATTTTTAGAAAAAAATATATTGCGATTCAGAGTTCAAATGACCACACATTTCTATGTGTATTAAGAGTTATTCGGGGATTTCCAATGCAACATTTTGTATCGAATGTCAACGCGGTTCCAGTGTTCAGCAGTTTTTTTTTCGTCTTTACACTGTTCGAACCGCTTCCGATTTATCTGATTTCACACGGCTTTATCGTCATTTTTGGGCGAATTTTGTTTAAGACAATTTCTTTCTCATATGTGTCAATCTTCTTTTTTTTTCATTATCCCAAAAATGAATCGCGACACGAATGTGCGTTTCCAGTGTAAAATGAACGAAACGCGCTTTTGAAATCGCCAAAAAAACAGTCAAAGATCACCATCTGCCATGTTTGCGACTTTCAATTTTACACCATCCAAATCAGTTCCAAGATCTTCCATTAAACTGCAATTTGGGCGAATCGAGTGCCTTGATCGACGGAATGTGTCAACAATTCCGATTTGCAGCACATGTGCTCTCTATCGTTCGAAGGATGTCTTCTCATGCTTCGTTCTTCACAGCAATGAATTTCTCGAAAAGTCTGGAAATGTTCTGATTGAAGGGGTTCCTGATGTCAACGAATGCCTCAGAAAGTGTATGCAGGTGCTCAGAATGATCGAAATTTGTTCGAAAGAAAACCCGATTGCTATTCAGGCGCCTCTCAATCATAAGCTCAAATGCGAAACAGTGATGTACAACGTGAATACCAGAAATTGTGTTCTTTCAAAATATACGAGAGAGGAGCGAAAAATCAGGTAAACTTTTGAACTGGTCTTCTTCAATTTTTCTTTTCACAAACGGTCACAAATTATACGTTGGAAATAAAAACGCATTAAGCCTATAATTGCACGATTCATCGCAAAATGTTGACCAGCCGGTATTGTCTAGCAGATATGATCTTCATTGAAAAAAATAGTTGAATATAATGATTCAGAACTTCGGAAAGATTGCAAATCGATTTATACGAGAATAAGTGTGCCACTGAGGTAATCGGTCGCCCCAACGTGAATAAGAGAATCAAATAAGTTCCAGAGTGACACTGTTCGTCTGGCTGTTTATACAGAACAGGTGCGGACCACAACAGCGCCATTTATCATGAAAACAAGAGTTATCTATAGTGTAAGCGAGCTAATCTTCAAAATAATATTCACAATAGAAAAACGATTTCAGAAGATTGTTCTGGCTCATGCAACTCCGTATACCCATTCAAATCAATATCAAAGACAAAGATTCGCGAAAACTTTTCAAATGAGTGCTCCGAGGCCACTTGTTGATTCAACTTCCACCGTCTCTTGTAAGTTTCGACAATTTTGAGATTAGAGAACTGTGTTAAGCTTTATGTTCAGCTTCCCAATAAATAAACATTTTTTTTAATAAGCCATTTATAGCTCAATTTGATGCTACTCCTTCATACAGTTACGTGCAACGAAGGCAAAGAAGCGATAATTTCGGTATTTGTTTTTTTGCAATTTCCAAATTTCAAACGTTCTTGGTTAAGCTGGATGTTTTACTCGTACTCCTAATCGGGTTTTGCCTCGATTTGAGGAATCGAAGACGGTCGGCGTCAATTTGGAATCCTGTATTCGTAGTTGTGCATTGAATCAAGGATTTTATTGTGCTAGTATTAACTATAATCCATACCAAAAAGTGGCAAAACAGAACCGAAAAAAAAGTAAAAATTCTATTCAGATTTGTATAATGAATGGAGGAAATGTGCATCTCAATAATGAGCAATTATATTCATCAAGAGAATATGATTATTATGAGAACACGTGTCAGCCCAAGGGGCCAGCGGTTACAAGTAATTACGGCGAGACAGTTAATTTAAATTTAATGAAATGTTAAGAATCTACGGATGGAGTTTCCACTAAAAAGGAGTGCTACCATTTGTACAACAACTCGATTTACAATTCGTTTGATGCCACGATAATTGGAGGACTTTCTGATTTAGGCAAGCCATTTCTATTTCCTATTGAAAACATTCATTTGTTTTAGAAAGCTGTGAATCTGAATGTTCATGGTCTCATGTAAGAAGGCATAATAAATGTGTTGCCCTTAACTGGATTTCATCAACCAGAGGATGCATGCTCTTTCATAAAACTGTCGACTTTTCAAATCTCATCCCATCTATCAATTCCGTCTTTTTGATCAATACCTGCGCACAAGATGTTGATGAAACTAAAGTTCATGGCAGGAAGATGAACACCAACCAACCTGATTACTATGATCAACCGTCTTAGTTATCCGATTCGCATATTTATTTTTATATTTATTATTATTTCGATTACAGGTTTAGAATTTCTTTTTGATTTTTTTATTAAAAGAAATCGCTTTAAATATTGCTTTCATGTACTTTATTGCATAAAATTAACCCGAAATAAGAAAAATCAGCAAATATACAGTACTGGCCATAATGATGTTCGCCTAGTGTTTTTTGAGCATAACTTGGCACAAACGCGGCCGATTGGGCTGAAATTTAACAAAAATGCAGCCCAATAGATTAGAAATAGTCCAGAACGAATAAAAAATCGTAAATTTTGTCTTAATCATTGCAAAACTTTTTGGATTCCTCTTCGGGAGCACAGGAACTGCTGAGCCAGAAGGCTTCTGGACGACCCAGTCTTATGACCGTTGTCGATCGCTTTTTGAACTTCCGCCGTGAAATTTTTCTTTCCAGAAGGTTGAAAAATTACTAAAAACATGTTTCATGTTCAAATTTCAAATAAAAACATTTTTATGGACAAAGTTTGAAAAAAATGAAAAATTGGTAAAATCGAAAAAAACAAAAAAAAAATTAAAAAAAAAATTAATTTTTCAACATGAGGCAATTTTGTTGTTTCCAAGATTGCGCAACTGTGATTAGCGTTTACAGTAAAAATTTCAGCCCAATCGGCCGCGTTTGTGCCAAGTTATGCTCAAAAAACACTAGGCGAACATCATTATGGCCAGTACTGTATCTATCCTACAAACCTATGAATGTTAAATTCATCATTTGGCCATAGAAACTGCAGCCAATACGAACAAGGAACTCGCAATGACAAATGATAGTTCACGATAACTGGGGAATTGATCGATTTCGTATCCAACATTGTGCTTGTATTTTTGAACAGCATTGGTGACTTCGGTTTGAAGTTCCTTAATTACGTAATTGAAATTTGAAATGTACATTGCAAAACCTCTGCTGATCCTTCATAGTAAAAGCGCACATCGGGTGGCCTTGAGAATTTGTCGGGTGTAGTGTGAATCTAGAAAACAAAAAAGAATAATTTAGCTATTATATTAATTAATAACCCAATCGACAACGGTTTTCTTCATTTGCTGTTCCTTTGCTGAGTGCAAATAAACATTGGCCACGCCGAAGTGTGGCTGGAAAATAATCGTTTTGACTTCGCCTTTTGAGAAATATTTTTCGTCAAATTCTTCCCACGGAATGGGCGGAAGCTTCTCGTTCAAACTTCTATGCTCACTACGCCTTCTAAAATTTACAGTTTGTATTTTCGTCTATAAAATGTTCTCTCCCACCTATAAAGTAAAATTCCATGCGTTGATATCCAGATGAACATAAGACAACCACCGAGCGCATAAGCTCTCTTAACCTTAACTGAAAATTAACGAAATACTATCGATAAATGACGAATACTTACTTTTGTCGATCTTTTCCTTTACTGCATTTTGTGCCGTATCTGTTGAATTAAATCTCTTATTTGTTAATCGTATAAAGATTCCGGATTGTTTATTGGTACATTTCAGGCCCTGGGAGACTGCTAGTCGAACGATTTGTCTCAACATTCTAAACCTATAAACAGCAAATGGAAATTGTTTGTTGAAAAACATGGAAAACTTCTATTCATGAAATGGATATATAACAACAATAAATAAAATTTACATTAAATGTGCATTATCTTGCATTGGAAAAAATAACTTTTTTACATTTTCATTGCATGTCAATTGAAAAAAATCGTTCAAAATCTTGAAATAATAAGACAACTTTTTACGATAAAACGAGGGCAATGTGCAAATGTGAAGCATCGTAATACGGATTTGCCAATATTTTTTCATTCTTATTCATTTTTGTTTCAGATTTCATTACTTTTGGAACTTTTACCAATTTTTAATTTCAGCTTTGAAAGGGTAATGAAGTTGCCAAGCAGCCAGATGCTGCGCAGCCTCTCAACCGCTTCTCACAGTCAATCTAGGTTAGATTATTTTAAAACACATCACTCATTAAACTTGTAAAATCTTAGCAGCGGGTTGTGTGGGCCAGCAGTAAAACTACTCCTTATCAAATATGGATTAGAAAACCGAAAAATAGATGGAAGTGGGCCTAAGAAAAATATTCTCAAAGGCGATATTCTGGACATCGTTCAAAAGGAAAACCTCACACCAGTTCCTGTGAAACCTGATGCACCAAGCCAAGTAGCTCCTAGTCCTTCTCCAGTGAAAAAACCTTCAGATGCTGGAAAACGCGATCTTCGTTACTTTGAGGATGTTCCATTGACAAATATTCGAGCAACTATCGCCAAAAGATTAACCGCGTCAAAAGTGAAAAAATCGAAATTTAAAATTAACTGGAATCTATTTTCAGAGTGAAATTCCGCACGAATATCAAGGAATCGACGTCAGAGTTGACAAAATTTTGGCACTCCGCAGAAGTTTGAAGGAAAGTGGAACAATTCTTTCTGTCAACGATTTCATCATTAAAGCAGCTGCGTTGGCTTTGAGAGTATTGCAGAAGATAATACTAATCATATTGATGTGTCTAATAATTCAGGCTGTTCCTGAAATCAACGTTCGATGGACTCCGCAAGGAATCATTCGCCTCGCTTCTGTAGATATATCGGTGGCTGTCGCGACCCCAACCGGTCTCATCACTCCAATCGTCGAAAATGCAGACGTTCTTGGAGTAACCGCAATTTCCAGCAAAGTCAAGGTATCTCAAATCTTGATATCAATTTATTCAAATATTTCTTTAGGAGCTTTCGGCACTTGCCAAGGAGAGCAAATTGAAGCCACATCAATTCCAAGGAGGTTCATTTTCTATTTCGAACCTTGGAATGTTTGGAAGTGTAACCAATTTCACTGCTATCATTAATCCACCGCAATGCGCTATTTTAACGGTCGGAGGCACTCGAACTGAAGTTTTTAGCAATGATGGACAATTGGAGTCGCAGCAACTGTAAAAGAAATATGAAAATTCCAATTTCCAATCCTAATTTTTAGAATGGGTGTGAATCTTTGCTTTGATGGTCGAGCGATCGATGAAGTCTCCGCGAAAAAGTTCCTTCTCCACTTCTCTGAATCGCTGGCCGATCCAGACCTTCTAATTGCTGAGCCAATTTCCGCCGACTTGGACTTTGATTTTTCGAAACTCTTATAGAAATTAACTGCGTTTTGTGATAGCTTTACAGTTCCGATATTCTTAGGCAGGAGTTTCAGTAGGAATGCCATAATCTCTTGATTTTTTTCTAATGAAGTTATGTTCGGGCTCAAAAGATAATTTAATCAAACGTGACATGTTTATCGTGAAAAGTATTATCGGAATAATCAAATTACTAATTACAAAATTTTTGAAGAAATGAGAATAGTTGGATCACTAGTAAGACTCTTGCCACGAAATTCGTGGAATTTGCAAGCTGAACGATTAGCGCATGCATTGGCAAAAGTCCCATTAAAGAAACGTGGGGTCGATGGATTTTTGCCGGAAAATTATCTCGATAACAAGGTTCTTTTTGGTTTATTAGATTCAGAAAATTTTCAAGATATTTTAAAATTATTCAGTAATGAAAATGCACTTGTTTTTTTTTAATAAAATTTATGTGTAATAATTCCAAAAAGCTTAATAATTTACGCATAGCTTTATTTTGTTGAGCCAATTTTTTGATTTTAAGGCAGTCCTCCTCTACTTCTCAGCTGGATGGTGCGGATCTTGCAAATTTCTTACACCAAAAGTCAAGGTGCATAATTATTTTAAAGAAAAAAAAAACTTATCATCACCATCCTGTTCTAGAAATTCTATGATGCTGTAAAAGATGATAAAACTCTTGAGATTGTTTGGATTTCTAAGGATAAGGAAGCGGACCACCAAATCGAATACTATGAGAAAAACCTTCCAGCTTGGCCATATGTTCCATTTGGAGATGAAAATATAATGTAAGTCTGTTACGAAAGACGCATGGGCATATAGCCAATATTTTTTTAATTTTAATGTTTTTAAACATCGGATTATAAGTTTGTTTGTCTCATATCAAAACGCAACATGTTATTTTTAAAGGAAGCTAACAAAACAATACAAAACCGAAGTGATTCCAGCTCTGAAATTGATCAACGCTAATGGCGATGTCGTCAATGACCGCGCCCGTGCTGACATTGAGGTATGAATCTCATTGAAAGAATCGAAGCATTTTTATTAACTTTAGGCTGCCATCAAGGCCAATCCAATGGATACTTACCAAAAATGGAAAAAGCTTCTTGGATTATAAAATAAAAGTGATGAGTAGATAAAAGAAAACGAAGTCATAGAAATAATTATTTGTTGTAAATCGAATATTTGTATAATTTACTTGTAGATAAATTTGGTGCCTTCAAATATCTGTTTTTCCATGTTCCCTCTCCGTTCTTACGCAATCAAATTCCAGCTGCTCATAAATATTAAAGAAGTTGAGCAAAATTTAACCGGTCAACTTGGCTAACTCTAATCATATTCAGTATTATAAGTTGAATATTAAAAGTCAATCAAGTTTATTCTGCCACAAATTTACCACAAAATGCTTGATCTTGGCACAATTTTCCTGATTTTGCATTCAAGCACAGGAATATCCGGATGTTTTTTCAATGCGCTTCTAATTTACTTGGCGTGTTTTCAAACCCCTACAATTATTCGAACATATTCAACTTTCATCGTTAATTTCGGCTTCGCTGATTTCTTCTGCTCTTTGGCTGATTTCTTCATACAAGTCAGATTGATCTCAGCAGGCTGGAGTGCGGTTTATGTGGCGAATGGACGATGCAAGTATATCGGCTCAATGGCATGTTATGTAGGGTATGAGTTTGGAAAAATAAATATTGTCGGCGTCAAATGTCTGATCAGTGACGAGACTTTCAATTTCGCAAAATCATGGGACCGCACGGTTTCTACGGGAAATTGTATCACTTAAAAATACGGTTTTCAACGGAAATCCCATTGTACATATGACCGAATAAGGCGATTTTCAATCTTTTAAACGAGCACATTCAAATCGGATTCTGAAGAGCAATTGTATACGATAATTTCGAACCAAAATCGAAATTTTTCGTGATTCGAAACATATCACCCTTAGGCAAATTTGCCACCATGGCAGATTGCCAATTTTTTTGGAATTTCATTAATTCTCTCGAAACTGACAAACCACACAAGTACACGAAATTAATAAGCACATATGTACATAATTAAAGCCTTCTGCAATTTTTTTAATGGCAAGCATGTTTTTCTTTTTTAAAAGAATGGATTAGAAAATTGATAATCTTCAGATACAGTGCAATGCTTCACTGTTTCTCACATTCTCTATGGTCTTTACTGCTATCCTTCCTTTACCGTTATTTCGTCCTTTTCAACCCTTCTCCTAAAGAATCTCATGTCGCTCTAATCTTATTAATAATGTACCAATTAGCCCTTTTCCAATTCGTAAGTTATTCTAGATAACTCAAAATCATCGTAAACGATTTTTCAGGTAACCTTTCTATTCGCTTACGACGATCCGGAAGAAATTAGAAGAATTGTTCACCGCCGCTTTCCCTCTTACGATTTATCGAAATCAGCCGTTTCCGGAAACATTACTATTACCAATTTTTGGGCGCTTTTTACTATTTCTCATATGACATTTCCAGTAACTCCGATTTACCTATGCATTTTGGTATTACGCCGAAAAATTTTGAACGTTTTGTCGTTTAATCTAATGCATATGTCGGAGTCTACGAAGAATATTCATTCTCAATTACTATTGGTAAATAAATCGGTTTTTTGTGATATCACAAATATAATCAGATAAAAAAAATTATTTTAATAAATCTAACATCCTAAACCAATTTTAGGCACTTACTTATCAAGCAATTTTGCCTGGATTTTATTTTTTCGCCGTTACCTCTTATGTTATCGGTCAAATAGGACTCGTCAACCACCCCGCCGTCGAATATTTTACGTTTTTTTCATCGTCATTGATTCCAGTTACAGCCCCAGTTATCAATTTTATCTATGTCACACCGTACCGCAAATTTTTGTATGTTTGCGGAAAAAGAAGGACACGAGAGATCTCGAATAATTCGGTGTCAATCTACACTACGACAAACATTAATATATACAGCATTCAAACCTGAGCAAATTATAAATAGAACTACGCGATTTAATAAAGCAAATTAAACTCATTACCTACCAGCATTACGTGCGTTCACCCAGGCTTGGCAATTTCACAACTAAATTTCACAAAGCCCAAAGCCGGTTTTACTGATCATTTTTGGTTTCCTGTCTTCACAACAAAAAAAAACGGAACACTTGAAAATGTTTTGACGTAACATGAAACATTAAAGATGAAGCACACAACACGAGGCACACAATTACAATAATGGCCCCTCTGACTCTCGGTTCAGTCGCAAGACTCCCATTTGTTGGTGATAACACAGACAATAAATACAGCCTAGATAAAAAAGATAATTGAGGAAAGTGTAGGATTTACAATAAGCATTTACTTAGCCATCTCCCGGTTTCCTACCTCCGCTCATGTCCCACCGCTTAAATAAGTGATAAGAATGTAATATATAATAATCACATATTATTCGAATACGGCTCCTCGAGACAGACGCATCCTCGTAAATCTACCTGCGCAGAGCAGTCGCATGACGCCGACTATACCAATGATCCAAAGAACCAAGAGGCCAATAAATAAAGCTTTCGCAAGTGCTAACCAGCTACCGCAAGTATCTCACCACCCGATAAACGGAAAAACAACTAAGCAACGAATTATCCCGAGAAAAATTACATCGAATTTACAGACTCACAGGACTGCAATCGACTAACCACCCAACTTTAACACGCAAGAAGAAAATAACAGAAAGTGGTAACCTGTCATCCGCTTATATGGGATGACGGCTGGCAAAAATAATTCGAAAACATTAAGACCGAAAGATGAAGCTTGAAAGGGATTATAGATTGCGTTGAGAAGTAGATTCCAAGGAATGAGTGCTGTAAATAAATTTTATTTTCAAATTACTCGAATTTTTGTTAGAAAAGCTAAACCTTATTCTATATTAATATGGCGCCCATAAATCGAGAAAATTAAACAGAATTTTAATTGGTAGCCTACATATAGCGCATGGTTTCACGTATATATGTACATACATATGAAACGTAGCATCCGGATACCTCTCAAAGCCAGAAAAATTCTGGTCTTTAACAGCGTACCAAATATTCAATTATCAATTTGAGTAGCAACGTTTAAAAAAATACTCAACAACTTATATACATATAATACGCGTATTGCACTAAATATTTTCAAAATCGCGCGACTGCGTTTACAGAAAAGGTAAGGTCTCGCAATATGAGTGTCGATTTACGCTCCGGTATTTTTAAGAAACGTTGTTAAGTGGCGCATTGTCCGTGACGAATACACAAAGCGAAGCGTGTCTCGTCGACCCAAGACGATTCCTGAATTTAGTCAAGCAGCCGCGCGATTTCGACAACATTGTGTATTGATATTTCAAACTATTTTTTTTTTAATTAAAAATCGTACCTTGCCAATTGAAAGGAAGTGTACTTCTCTCTCATTGTCGTCCAGTCGTATTGGCAAGCGGCTTGCGATATTCTATTTAATTTTCTGAAATTTTAATTTTGAAGTAAATAAATCAAAATTAGTAGAATATTACTATTTACCTGGCGAAACAGCGATTTGACTTCTTCTCGACACACGTGGGAACCGACATGAAACATATATTGAATTATCACTTTATTTATGTTTCAAAATTTTATTTTTGAATGATTTAATTTTTCCAAAATATCACAGCGCCAATTCGGCAGTTCCGTAAATATGAGAGATTATTCAGACCACACAACCACCAACGGACTTCCTCCTTTACAGTCGTCGGGCCCTTCGGACCACCGATGCGAAGCGTTTCTCGACGTCGGGTGGTTTGACCGATCATCGCGCTCGTGCGGGCTTAACATTGACAAAATTCGAGTAAACGAATTCGTTCTTGGTAGAAAGGAATCACAACATTGTTGAGATTCTTTACCAAGTTATCGTTGGCAGTTGCCCTCATCTCTATTCAATTTGCGGAACAATTCAAAAATATTCAAAATCTTATCAGAAAAAACTACATTTCATTTAATTTATAAAAAAAGAAAAACCCACCGTTTAGTTGAATAAAAATAGAAAAAATGCAAAAAAGCTGATGTTACGTGTATGTAGCGTTGGAATCCTATTTTCCCAATTAAAAAAACTGCACGTGATTTGTAAAAAATGTTGGTAGAAAAGATCGGCGTTTAAACATTTTTCAAACGATTTTTAAACAATTAATTTATATGAAATAATAAAAAATTGTAAAACTACTTTTGAAATTTCTTTCGAAAGAATAAAAAACAGCCCGCTTGATTTCATCTAAAAATGTAATTAATTTCGCTATTTTTCGTATTTTAATGGGGTTTTTACAAGAAATATGTGAAATATATTTAAAAAAAACTAAAAACATCAAGATAACAATAAAATTTAGAATCAATGGCGAACGTGAAATGTGCCATGGCCGAATAAATTGCGGCCGCGGGTGGCGGCCGCCTTATTTTCGATTAATTTCCCAAGAAAAGAACCTTCATATTAAAAGCAGTTAATTCGTAAATTCGCAATCTTTATTACCTCAATGCGATTTCAATGCGAATAAAAAATAGAAATCTAATTCCCTGAATACACTTATCCATTGATCGAATGCACTAATTGTGTATGCAGCAATTATCACACCGACAAACACAAAGTTCATCAGCGTCGAAGCCATATCTGGCATATATTTATATGTCGCCGCTGTCGTTTTTTTTTTCACACATATCCCATTAAGTCAACATATACTTGCTAACCAAAAATTTTGCCGAGTTATCATGCGCTTTTCTCTCACCGCTATGCTGTTCTGTGGCATTTCTCTAACGAGACATTTTTGGGTTCGAATTTTCACACATATTAGTGAATCAAATTTCGTAACAAAAAAATTGAACTCGTTTTCTCAGTTTCAGCTGTAGAATTTGATGATAAAAATCAGCTTTTTTGCAAGTTTTAAATCAAATAGACGTGCTGAAAAATCTGCGACAATATATTTTCGAGCGCCAAATTCGATTAAAAGACAATTTAAAAGAAATAGTAGTATATGAAGTATTTTGACATAAATTCCCATTATATCTGCAATTCTTCTTTTGAAAAGCGGCGATAAAAATTGTCAAGTCATTAATCTCTAATTATACCATATTTAGTTATTTCTGTTTTGACCTTAATGGATTTTATGAAAAAAAAAATTGATTAAAACAAATTTTTAGTAGCACGAACAGGTAGATAAATGTGCGCCTTTCGAAATAGTCTCGCCACACGTGAATGTTTATTTTGAAATATCCACATGAATTTTTTAATTTTTCTCGATCACTTTAGTATTTCCTTGAATATTTTCTATCATAGAAATTAAAAATTAACGAAATAACCTCTAAATAACCAATTTTATGTATCAGGTACTCTATTAAATTTGTATGCTACATAATATAAGGCATGTGAGATACTACTTTGATACGTATAATCGGCGTCCGGCGACTGCTGTACGCGGGTAGATTTACGCGCATGCGCCTTGAAAAGGTCTCGCCACGCGTGAATGCTTATTTTGCTGTTTTCACGTGAACTGATTCATTTTTCTTGATGACTTTCGCATTTCTTTGAATTTCCAACGTCATTTGAATAAAAAATTATCGAAGCGGTCCAAAAAATTTGAAATAACCTGTTGGTCCGTGCAAGACCATTTCGAAAGACGCATCCCCCGTAAATCTACCCGCGTACAGCAGTAGCCGGGCGCCGACTATATTATTTTTCTAAAAATGTATTTTAATTTCGTACCGGATCATTGACGCTTGGACCGATTTGCAATTCGGTCTCCATAGTGATAACTATCATCGTTTCGAATTTCCCCGAAGCTTAATTAAAACTCGGTTTGTTCAGCCCAAATCTCCATGATAACAGCAAAGAAAATCATCGAGATGGAGTCAACAAGTAATAGAATTATTTTCTTCACTTTTTCCCTTCATATCTGTTCGCAATTTTCAGTGATTCACCCATCAAAACCGGCCGATTCTGCCGACCAAATTACCGCGAATATTTTACAGCACAGACGAGGTATGCGCATATATGTGATTTTTGTTATAGGTTGGAAAACAATATTTTTTTTACTATTTTTCAGCTTCGGTTCCCATGGAAATTATAATTGGAGTGGGTAGGTTGTTTTCTTTATTCTTTACTTCTTGCCGACAACTAGTAAATGGAAATCCGTATTAATACAGACGGCCGTCCGGTTTTCAATGTCGCTTCATCGCCAACGAGCACTTCGACTGAAAGCAGCGCCGAGCAGAAGGTTCGTCGAATTTTGAAATATATGTACGTCTTATTGTTTTCAGGATCGCGGCCGTCTTCAAAAACAATTGAGCCGCGAGAACAACGAAAATGGAATGCGTAGCAAATCCAATTCGAATTCATTCAAAACCGAAAAAAAGCGAAGCAAGAGCGTTAAGAAGGATCAAAAGGGAAAAAAGGTTGATTCGATGGTATTGGTCAGAAATGGGTTAATTGATGAAAATTCGGAATATCAGAGTAACTCTCCAGTCGAGGATCTCACGTTTGCCGCAGCCACATGTTCGTTGGGTTCAGCAGCTCCCAAGAGAAAGTCCATCGATTTGGATGACATCGATCGCATTTATACCATTCAGCGAGAGAGTATTGCGACTGTCAAAGATGCCGAAGTTCAGACAACTCTGTTCTAATTGATAACACTCTTTCGAATTGTGATAAATATATTTTTTTTTCTCCTAGTTTCTATGGAGATTGCCCAACTAGGCCCGTGATGATTAAAAAAATATTTTTCGCAGCAAATCTCATAAATCATGAAAGAAAAGCGGTACCTGGCAATTTTCAGGTGAAGTAAATAGCTTTTCCTTCAAATTTTGTTCGATGTTGCTCTCTCGAGCAACCTCAAAAACAATAGACCGAATTGTCGCTCCCATTTTGCGCACAAATACTCAGCTTTTGCTCAAAACACCTACGATTTATAGTAAACAAGAACCGCGCGAGCTAATCGTTTCGTACTTGCTCATTTTGAAAAACACAAAGAGCATTGGATAAGGCGGACAAATTCAAAATTTCCGTTTCATTTTGGGCAGCAATATATTTTTTTTTAATTTTTTAGGATTAATGAAGTTCTTGAAAAAAAAAACAATCGTAAATCCCTTATCCCAAATATATATTTTTTTTCATACAAAATTAAGCGCACCAAATATCCATAAATCGAATTTAATTCTTTTGGAAGTACCGCCATAAATTTTCAAGGAAGATTTTCATTTCTTCTACTTGGAAAAAAAACAAATTCATCTAGTTGAATTACTAGAAAATGGAGAAGCTTTAGAACAATGAATTTGTCAGCAATTAATTAACTCGAAACAAAGAGGATTACTTCAAATATGGTCATTCGTTTGTTATTTTTGCCTTTCGTTCTCGCAACTGCTTTCAAACCATTATTTTATTTTCAAAAATCCCGTGTGACCGTGAGATAAATAATCTTGGCGGCAAATGTTCCCAAATTTGTCAACCCTTCGTTTCCCAGGGGACGATTTCAAGATAAATTTTTTGACGAGAATAAAACATACGAGTTTTGGCGGTTGTTGTTCTTGCTCGTCGGGAGTTTTTTTTTGACGATAAATCACCAATTTGGTTTCTCCATTTTTTTCCATTTTTCGTCGGCCAGTCGAATGGATTTTTTGTGGAGGGATAGCACGAGAAAAACGCCTATTCACATGTCTGTTTTTTTCTTCATCTTTTTCTTGTGTGCCGCAACTCATTTTTCACGCGTCTTCTCACTTTTCGCCAAATCAGTGATGCGCAATTTATTTGATGTTCTGTTAAATTGATAATTTCAATTTTCTCCAAAATCAAGCTTGTCAGCCGATGTTCGCAGGGGGCTCTCAACAAAATAAATAAGAGAAGTTTGAGATGAAAAGAAAAGAGGAAAAGTACACTTTGTAAAATGAGATTTGGCTGGCAATTAATCTCCGAGCAACATATTTTTTGTCATAAAAAAAACTTTTTTCTTTAAAATCGCCTTTGAAACTCATAGATTTTTGAAAAATTGCATATTATTTATGAAAATCCACAATTTGTTCATTTCTCATTTCGAAAGCCATCGAAATTATACCGAAAAAACCAAATCTATAATTTGTAATTGAATCCTACAATTATTATTAGATTTCTAGCTAGCCAAATATGCAATTGTCGTTCTGATAAACATTGTGTTGACGGCGAAACGCCTAGTCGATACAAATTTGATTGATTCGAGGCTCCCCAGAGGAACACGAAAATGTTACTTGTAAGCATTTCGCTTTAAGAATTTGTATTTTTCGAATAAAAGTTTATTTCGATGCAATTTGAAGCAACGAGCTTCGTTCTGGCCGAGGAGAACGAATAACGTCATATTCTAAACTACAAACATCTGTCTAATCCATTTTAATTGTTTCTTTAGTGCTCAATCAGTGGAACGCTAATTTATTTTTCTGGAACATGATGAAATTACGTGATTTTTGATCAAAAAATTAAAAAAAAGAGTGAAAAAATTGAAAACGAATTTATTCCTCCAATTTGCGATATTGGGAGTAGACTTTTCAGGTGGAATTTGTTAGATTTTGGTGGGAATCAATTTCAAAAATAATTCCAAAAAAAATGTGCAGTTTTCCATTCGACTGCATAGAAAATCAAATTAAATTACGAAAAAGTGTATAGCGCGACTCGAGTCGGAACCGGCAGCACAAGTGCGAAAATAAAATTCGGCGGCCGCCCGCGCAAGGCAGGTATCTCCAAAAGTGTTCAAATAATGCCCAATTTTGGTGTTTTGTGCACACACTCACATAAATATTTCATTTTCGCTTCTCATTTGTCTACATTTCGTGTTTTCTTCTTTTTTTTTTTCTTCACCCGCCTACCCACCAAAACGCCATTTTTCTTCTCCATTAAGCTTCAAAATCATTTCTGCGTTTTCTTTTCGTATTTTTCCCCAGTTTTCTTTGTGTTTTATTTCGAACGAGCAACAACATTCTATTCGCATTTTTTTATTAGAATATTAATGGAAAACTACGGGCAAAGAAGTGCTAGCAAATATCCAACTTGAACACTCCTCTTTTTTTTTCTCTCATCGCATTTGTAAATGGATACTACCGATGTTAAGTGGTCCCGGCCATAAAAATTGAGAGATATTTATTTCATTCCAAGATTTCGTTTTTCCTTCTCAATGCTATAAATTTAAACGTCCCCTAGAGCGTTAGAAAATCAAAGTTTAAAAAAATATGGCCGTGGCCTAACTCTCGAATTGGCCACATTCTTATTCTTGTATTGTCTATTTCGCGTAATGCCTCTATAATTAAAAAAAAGAAAAGCTCATTTAATCCTCTATAAATTTTGAAAATCGCTTCTGATTTTACCTAAATTTGTTTTATGAAAATTCTCAGCAGCAAATAATATACGCTTTTTTTGAAAATATCTGAGCCCCCAAAATTTTTCAAAAATTTTTTCTTAGCTGACGAAAACCCCGTTATTTGCTTGATTGTTTACTCATTCCTCATTTTATTAATATTTATATTATTTACACATTTTTCCCATTTTAAAATCTACTGGATTGCATTTTGGAAATCCAACCTTTAATATGTATAATTATAGTATGGCAGGTGTTTTATGCAATGGATTTAATTAGGATACTGAACGAATTTGTGTGACCTTGAGAAGATTTTCAAACTCGAGTGGCCAATGTCAGAATTGTTTGGCGGAATTACGATGGATTGGATCAAACGCTCCAAGGAATATCCGCCTTCGCAATCATCATTTTCTTCTCATGCAAATATGAAAAATGTATTCTGACAAAAAGCGCCTCTCATTCGTTTATTCTCTGTCTGTGTGTGTTTTTTTTTTCAATGTTATTTTTATATTATATATTAAGCCCCTTCGACACGAGTGTCTCTGTGTGCGCCGCGTAACCTGCATTGTTTTATGACGATTCAGTGTACATTGGTGGTCGGCTTGGCGGGTGGCCGGATGGCGGGTCAGACCCGCCCCTGTTCGCCATCCACCCACACCCATTGCGTTGCTTCTTATTGTGCGGGGACACACCCATGGAGTTGCACCCGTTCGAGAGATAAGTAGTGCGCCTACGAGAGCGGCTCGCGCGCGCGCTTCCTCCAGATTGCTTCACTTTCATTTCCAGTTCATCATTCGAATTCTGACAAAAATCTAGAGTCCTCCGTTGCTCAATATTGTTCCCATGTTGGTTTCAACGAAATCAACTAGGAATTCCATGAATTTTAATGTGTAAACGTCGTGCTAAAATATCAAGCTTTGTCTTCGTTTTCTCAAATAATCCGCCAAAAACAACAAAGATGTGCATATTTGGCTGATTCGATTATGCCAAATTAGCGTAATCCTGAAGACATGCCGCCGAAAATTGTTTCGGTAACCTAATCCGCCAAAGAACAATAGCGCAAAAGAGCTGACTTCCAAATGTCGTGAGTGTCTCTTTGGTGATCCCAATTCATCCTCCTCCTTCTTCCTCATCATTATCCCGCTACCTAATTACATTCTATTATTATCGGCGAGCATTATATGGGTTTTGTGGGTGTGTATGTATAAATCATTTTGAGCATTCATAATTGGTTGTCATCTTCGCCGTCTTCTCTTTGCCGCCAAAATTGTTCGATTATGCATGGAAATTGGTCGCTCGAGAATTTCGTCGGCAACGATTATTAAGATTTTCATAGAGAATCCTCAAATTGCCGCTTTATCACGCTGTCCGCTGTTCGAATGTATTGCCTAACCCATCTAGCTGTCCTCATTTGAAATACCGTAATTTGCCTATTCTCAATGTTAATTACTGTTCAACGAACATCGCAATGTGGATTGTCATTGACCATATCGAGGAATACCATAAATGTCAAGAAAAACAAGAATGTTTTTTATTTTATTTTTTTAATGCTTATGTCAATCCGATTTTTCGGATTACATTACGTTCTTTATCCAAACACATTTTGTGTGTTCCAACTATTTATATATATATAAATTATATGTATATTATATAAATAATAATATGTATAATCATCGTTCCATGTCTGAACATTCCTCAACACATGTCGTCCCTTCGTATTTAGTATTTACTCAACTGCTTTTTGTCACATTTCCAATAAATCATCTGCCGTCCCTCATAATTAGAAAAAATCGAACTAATATTTGCGCGACGACGCGTTTTTTTCTCCATTGGCCCTGCAGTTTCGTCAACTATTTACTTTATCTCGATACTTTTATTATTTTCATTTTCAGTGGATGCTTTGATGCGCTTCGAGTGGTTGCTCAACATTCTCATCTCCATATTTGGTGTTCTGCTTCTCCAATTTGTCGTATCAGGTTAGGCGAAGAGCGATGGTCTTTATATGTCCATCAAACCGATGGAACCGCCAAAAATTTTAATTTGGTGTCTCATGAGGGGAAGATGGAACACCAAAACCGAAACAAATCATGTTTGAGCCGCTGCTGCTATGGCCGGGATTAGGCAATGAGCGGCGTGCCGTCTGTTTAAAATTCAGAACGCTAATTCCGGGCGGCGTCGAGCAAAACATTTTGCGCGCGCGCGCGAGATGCATAATTTAATTATGAAATTTTCACGCTTAATGAAATGCCAAAAGAAAGAGAAAACAAAGAATTTCAATCGGAAATATCTTTAAAAAAATCAAGCTAACTTAAATGTTTCAAAAAATTCTGTAAATTTGTCCATCAAAATGCCGCTCCTTTTTGCAATGTTTATAGAAGAAAAGACCGTAAGTGGGTGATTTTTTCACATAATTAACTACTATAAGTGCACTCCTGCTGCTCCTTCTACCGTATGCCTGAATTCCCAGGCCTAATCTCGGCTTGCCACCTTTTTCGGTAAGAGGCGCAATTCATAACCATGTGTGCGCATAAATAATAGATTAGCGAGACGCACAAAAAACCATCTGTCACTAGTAATCGATCTTTTTTTTCGATTCGAATATCTCCTAATTTCGAGGTGTCGACACTGACTAATTATAATGCGAACAAAAATAGGCGTCAGTTGTTAATTAAGAAGCATCAATCAGTTCGTTTGGAAAAAAAACGACAATTTTCGGAGAGCCGCCTAATTGGTGGCCAGAAGCCGCTGAGCAACATTCAAGTGTCCTAAAATGGATGTGTGAGTATGTGCTCATTTAGCCGGAAGAGTACTTGAGTTGGGTTGCTGAACACTTTCAAATTGCAATTTAACAAGACGCAACTTTTCAAAGTGTATATTTCAGAAAGGGAACCACCTAAACAAATACTGAATCAATGAAAAATAAATTGCTCTAAAATTTAAAATATTTAGTTGAATCTGAATGCAGCGATGCCTCGTATTCGAGCCTTTTCTCAAAACTCGACGGATTGAAAAGGATCACGCGGCTAGCTGTTAGCGGCCACATTTCCGCGTATCATGTCAAAATCTCAATATCGGATGATGACTACCACACAGTTCGAATGTCGAATGGAAATCCATTGGTACTGCTCAATTATCAATAATTAATTGAAAATTGTCTATAGGTGCTTTACTCGCCAATGTCGAATACTCCATCGTGGACTCATGTAGATTTCATCGCATCTGCTGTCAAGATATCGCCAGCATTCGAGCATGCGACTGAGGATCTTCGAAGCCCACTACTAATCATGACATTGTGCGATTATGGTATAATTTTTACAGAAAAATTAATAATATTGGATTCTCAATTATTGCTATTTTGTAGATACTCCGATAACGGCTTTTGATGATTCGTCGTATACCGTTGAAGCTCATCACGCTGGCCTTATTTCGATGTACGAGAATGACTTGTGCGTTGTGTTTCGAACGTACCGTTCCGGGATATTCTTCTTTTCAATGGCTGATCAAGGCGATGTTCTCATTGCTCAAATTGTTCATGGAACCGTCCACGTCATTTTCGATTTTGGATCATTGACACCGTCAAGGATCAGCGCCGGAAAAGCGTTGGACGATGGAAGGTGGCACGAAGTATGATGCTAATAGCAATTCTATCAGGAATTGTCCCATATTTCAGATGCGCTGGTTGCACCAATTCGATTCTGTTCAATTGTCCATCGACGGAGTTCTACTCAACCAGACAGCTCCTACCGGTCTTTATCGGAAATTGGACCTGCATAGTGTGGTGAGTTTCCTTCCAACTGCGCCTTGATATTTGAGCCCCCCTATAATTAAGTAGCCCGTTTTCTTTCGCATTCACTCTCGCTCGGTAGCCTCTCTCCCATGAAGTGATGTGCAATGTTTTTATAAGGGATTAATAATAATCATCATCATAATATTAAGGTGCATATCGGCGGAAGACCGGCTGACGACTTTTCGCAAGGCATCGAGACCTCTTTCACTGGTATGACGAGTGGCAAGGGATTTTCGTTGAATGAATGAGGCGTTTTCAGGTTGCATTTCGCGACTTCAGCTCAATTCAATCGATTTGCTTCAATTGGCACCAACGGATATTCATAGTTCATGCATGGTAATATTCTATGCAAAAATCATATTGACGAAGTCGCACGTCTTCCGATGGCGACCAAATCTACCGTAGTATTAGATCTCTCAACATAACATATTAATTAATTATTAGCATTAGAACTCATGATATGGTTTTTTGAAATGAGTGGGTTTGATTTGCCAAATGAACCAAAAAGTTTTTCTGACACTCAATTCTTTCAGATGCCCAAATCTCCGTCTTTCACATTACAAAATGCATCGCGTGCGATTCTTCCATTCACGTTTCTTCCATTTTCATTCGAGTTTCGAGTGGTCCCAATAAAATGTAAAATGGATTAATGAGAATCCGAAATGATTTATTGATATTTTCAGCATCTTTAATTACGCTGTTTGACGCTGAGAATGGAACTCTCGTAGATATTGTGATTGACGACGACCTCAAATTGAATCTTGTCAGTAACATCACAAAATTTCGACAGATTGCAAATCCTGGTAGAAAACTCATCGCGAATGAGATTTGAAACAAATTCAAAATTGTAGGTGTGAATGTTGCAAACGGTGCTTGGCACAGCTTTTCTCTGCGAATTCGAGGGGCACGAATGGAAATTGACATCGATGGATATACGGTAAATAAGCGAGGGGACGATTTTGATTCAAAATTATTCCGTTCGAATCATTCTTCAGACGTTGTGGCTAGAAGGTCATGAAGTTCGCAGAATATCGCAACGACTCTCAAATTTTGTGATGAGTTCCATGGGATGCTACCGAAGTGCTACCATCGATCTAAGCAGTGTTCGAGTGGAAGGCAATGTGTCTAGAGGACAGTGCGACTTTGAAGAAAAGTGAGCTCTTTCAATGAGCTTTTCAAGCAAATTTCCATTTTAGATGTCTTCCGAACCCTTGCGAAAATAATGGAGCCTGCATTCAAACGGCTCTCGATGATTACATTTGCAATTGCACAGAAGGCTACAAGGGCAAAAATTGTCATACGAGTGAGCGAGAAACTCGCTGAAAACCATGACTCGATGCGTTTTATTGCAGCCGATTTGCCACATTCCTGCGAAGAGTGGACATTCACGCGAGGAAATCGAATGAAGGCACTCAAAGGTCGACATGTGTTCATCGACATCGATGGCGGCGGCGGAATGCCGCCGATTAATGTGACGTGCAAGTTGGAACGCGACGAAATGGGTGTTGAAGGGGTTTCTTGAGCATCGTCTAGTCGATGACGAAAATCAATTTCTAGGTAACAACAATTCTCGATCATGATCTTCGACGTCCGATGATTGTGACCGGCGATAATAAACCAGGAGTGGTTCGGCATAGTCTAACGTATGGAATTACGACGGATCAGATGGATAGACTTGTTGAAGGATTTGAGACATGCAGTCAGGTACATAATTATATCATCTTACGAGGCTCTTTAAAAATGCCGCAAATTTCCAGTACATGAGGTACACTTGTCGCGGAGGAGCTCGATTGATGACACAAGGTGAAGAAAGAAGCCCATCATCTTGGTATTCCACAAGGTTTTTCGCTGAAATGTTCATTCTGAATATTCCTGAAATCACATTCAGAAGCGATAAACACGGCCTTCAATGGGGCGAGGCTCCACCGTACAGTCGTATGTGCTCATGTGCCATAAATGGAAGCTGCTTGCATAATAGAATGTGCAATTGTGACAGCGGAGAAGATGCAACCGACGAGGGCGTTAATCCCTACTCGCAGCTTTTGCCTGTCACTGGTCTTTTCCTCGGCGGCACCACTAAATCATCGTCAATCGAGGTCGAAATCGGGCCATTGAGATGCCGAAATAGAGGTTGATGAAAATAAGACCTGCTTAAAATAACCGAAAATCCTGTTTTCAGCGACATTTGATACTGTAACGTTCTCTGATCGGAATGCTCGACTCTCCGGAACACAGACATTCTCACAACGGACTTTTGATGTAGCCCTACACGCAAAGTTCACGCATTCACAAATGTCCATCATTTCGTGGCATTCGACTGATGAGCTCCATTGGTTTCATTTGTATGTTCATGGTGAGAATACAGATTTTTTGAAATACTTTTGAATCAATCAAATATTTTGCAGATGGAAAAATTATTGGCGAAGTTGTGAATGGGGGAGAATCTCAGCAAATTGTTTCCGACAATCGATATAACGATGGAAAGTGCGTTTTTTCGAATTGGGTGTTTTGCATTCAATTCATGATTTTCAGCTTTCACACAATTTATTGGGAAGCCGATTCATCGGGAATGTTCCTCAAAGTCGACGGATCTCGAAAATCTATCAAGCGCAATTTTGTACTGCCAAATGTGTACACGTGGATTATCGGTATATTCGATGATTTTGGGGGCTTCTAAAATTCCACAAAATGATTTGAAGGGTCTCGTACCGAAAAAGGTTCCACTGGGTTTGCTGGTGTCCTTCGAAACATTTATCTGTGTGGTCAAGAGATTCCATTGGGACAGTATGCAAGAAGAGACGGCGAAAAGGGGATCTCGATTGGAGATGATGGGTACTGTAGGCCAGATTTGTGCCAGAACGGTGGAAGATGTGTCGACAAATATGACGGCTATGTGTGCGATTGCCGTCTGACACCATTTGGCGGCTCGGATTGCACCAAAGGTATCCGATTTTTCAAGATCTATATTTTTATTTCAATTTTCATAGAATATGGTATGATGGTGCCTATTGGGTCCACAATTCAAATTCCGTGGCAGAATCCGGCTCATTCCTCGATGTGTCATCGAATTTCAATTCAAACTGCTTCGAGAAATGTGTCACTTATTCGATCGAAAGCGCTATTCGCCGATTCTACATTCAACATGACCATTGATGACGATGGTATGTTTCCGAATATTACAATTTATTTTTCAATGATAATACTTTCAAGGTTTTCTAAATATGAACGCTTATGATGGATTCTTCTTTCATTTTAAAAGATCGGCGAATCGCCAGAATCTCAGTGATGACGTCATGCACGATATTTCTTTTTGTGCCAGCAGCAATCTATTTAATCTAACGGTAAATCAATTTTTTAGAATTACAATTTACTATATTATTATTATATTAAAATCGCAAAAAAAGCGAGCATCCTGAGCCGATTTTCGGTGAAATTGAATCGCAGGTTATTCGTAGTACTGCACCAGAATTTTATTTTTTTTTTAATTCAAATTTTTTAAATTCAATTTTTTTTTAAATTTTTTAAATTCAAATTTGAATTACCGCCTCAGAATAGGGCTATGGTCCATAATTACTAAGGGTAGTCTTATTTACGCAACCAAACTATTTAAAAAATATCGTCAGGCTCTGGGTGCTGGCGGATCATTTCGTATTTGTAAATTTTACACAACATGAGGTATTCAGATTGATGGAATCGAGGCGATTAAAATTGAAGGGAATTGGACATTTTTTGAAAGTTTCAATGTGTGGCATTTCCTTGATTCAGGTTTTTTTTTAAATATTTCATTTTAACATTAATTATAATGGTTTATTGAATTTTAAGAGTTCGAAGGATGCGTTTCACGGCTACAGACCGGTACGGCATTCCCGTTAAAAAATCCAAAAAGCGCACGTCTTAATTATTCGGGAAAAATTCGATTTGGAACTTGTCCGGTGGAATCGATGTACGTTTTCTGCATTTTTTACACTGTTGCTTGGCTGTGCGGCGAATGCAGTGTCTGTGTGAAATGTAATGGCGACAAGAGAGGGCGCTCATATACACAAACAAACCCGCGGGATATCGTGGCCTTGTGGCCTAATGGATAAGGCGTCTGACTTCTAATCAGAAGATTGCAGGTTCGACCCCTGCCTGGGTCAAAACTTTTTCTGCAAATTTTATTTATTCGTCTATTTTACTATAAAAATGTTTTTGCAGTTCTCGCCACCAAATGTATGGATTTCATCCAACAACCCAAGCAACAACCACTCCACAAGGAACGGAAGAAATTCGAATATTTGCAATTTCAAAGCATAAACAGAAATTAATATCCATAGCAAGTAAGATAGTAAACCAAAATGAAGAGGTTTCGTAAAAAATAATAATAATAATTTTCAGCCATAAGTGGCGTATTTGTTCTATTATTATTCGCCACATGCTTGTCAATGCTAATTTGCTATATGAGAACTCGACCGGATGGCGTGTACAAAACGAACGAGACCGGCGATAATTGCTCGCCGAGCCGAAGCGAAGAACCACTGGTCCGCAATCATAATAACAACAATGGAAACTCTATGCCAAATGGTGCTCAAATGTATGCATCATCCAAAGAATACTTTTGTTAATTTTGTTTAGCTCGATTTTTTTTTCAAATATACGGGTCCTCTCACTTATCCTCAAAATAAGTCTTTCCAATAATATATTTTAACGGGTTGTAATAAACAATTTATTATTATTACTTATATAAATAATAACAAGCAAAACAATATTTACAGCCAGGAAATTGAGAACTGAACGAAAATGGGATGTGGATTTACTTTCCAATATCAAAGATTGGGTTTCCGTCGATGTATTTGGTTGGAACACGGATTGGGGCACGGAACGAACGACCTGAAAATGTTGAAATTTGTGGTTTCTTGAGAAAATGTAGGGAATTAAATATTCTTCACTGTTTCAAATGATATTCTCCTTACAAAATAGTTTGGACTGTTTCTGTGCGAAAAGCATTCAATAAAAATCACTGACCATCCTTGAAGATCGCGTCAGGAACTGCCATCGCATTGTTATTATTGTTATTGTTGAAGTTGCCATTTCGGGCGACGAAAATTCGGCGAGGCTGATTGTAGAAAAACTGACGACACGGTTGGTTTCCGCATGGCGATGCGGATGGGACGACGACAACTCGCGGAGCCGAGTATGATGGATAGCATGGCGGGGAGAAGCATCGGTTCGATGATGGCATTCGGATCACCTTGTAGATTGGTTGAGGTTGCTGCTTCTGAACAGCGGGGATCGTCTTTACAATCACTGGATATGGTGTAGTTGTGATTGGGACTGGGATCGGGGTAGCCGAAGTGATGACCGGATCGAGCTGGCATTTTCCACTGGAGCATCCAATGTTATTAGAACCGACAACAGGGCTCTGAAATGAATTATTCTTCAAGAAACAAAATGGAGATATAAATTACTTGATCCTTTGGGGTTTGAAAAACGATGTTCAGTTTAATTTGTCCTTGGTTTGGATTCATACTGATCGTCTGCTTGTCGGTGACCTGGGCAACGCAGCAACCAATAGTCAAAAGTAGGCAAATGAGTCGGCTCATGATCGAGGGAAAAGCGAGAAAAAATGCTGTCGAGAGGAAAATGGTGATGAGTTTTTTCCACAAACCGACGACGCTTTTATACGCGAAAAATTTTCGGGCACACGCCCCAATACAGATTACTCTAGCGTGGGCATTTGCGTGTGCCGCGCATTGACGAGTCTCGTTTTGTTTGTTCGGATTGTATTCGGCCCATGTCATACTGATAAGTGTTCTTACGGAGCGGTTTTTTCCGCAACTTCCCCCCTCCCGAAAAGCATGCACAAAGGAAACACATTTTGAACTCTGATTCCAAATATATTTTGGATATTTTATTCACCACAAAAATAATAAAAAATAAGAAAAGGACTGTAGCGAATGAAAATTCCGAGAGACCGAAATCCACAAAATATTACAGTAATATTTAATGACATTTGCAGAAATATGGTTTCTTTTGTACAAATATCACTTATTTAAAATTATTTCAACGTTTTATTATTGTTCAAACTTCCCAGATTCGTAGGTCCTCCTTCGGAAAACGTGAAAAAACCTATAAAACACTAGTCATGTTGTGCAAAAGCTATTGTCGACGTCAAACGATTGAAGGGAGTTGTGGGACCTTCACATTCGTGAAGATTTAAAATTTTCTTTGAATAACTATTGCGCATACACTATAATGCAATGTACGCAGTCTCGCGTATTTTTCGATGTCTCGAGACACATAGCCAATATTTTTTTAAACTTCCTTCTGTCGTTTGTCGCCGACAACAGATTTAGAAAGTTTTTGGAGTTTTTCTCCAAAATCTGAATGAAGAGGATAGTTAGATCGATTCAGATTTGGATTCATTTATTAAATATTTATTTAAAATCATTTTCAAAACAGTAAAATGTACATTTTAAAAATCCAGTTTTTTTCGACCCTGATTATGCTTGAATATATTTACCCTCATGATTCACGTATTCCATTCTTTTAGCTAATTTCCCAGGGTGCAAATATTGTTGAAGATAAGTGCGATGCACCTGCGACAAAAAATCATTTCATGTTGCATCATTTCGAAAGCGGACGAGGCAAATTGCAAAAAGCAAACGCCTTCCGTCAAGTGTAATTAGCGTGTGCGCGAAGAAGCGACTTTTGGTCGAATCGGGTGTCCGCCATGTGAGTGTGTGTGTGAACATGGTCTTACGACGCGCGAAAGCATGGAAGTACGCGCAAAACTCAAACAAAACTCATCCGGACAGGTCAGCCGAGAGCACAATGAGTCAACTGGACCAGTTAGTCTGAGCCCGAGTTAGTCAACTGTCTGACATCAATATTTATTTGACAAGTTTTTTTTCATTCTGTTTCTTTTGCATGTATGCATTTAGATTCAACTCACAGCTAATAAGTCTGATTCATTTTGTAGACAAAGAAAAAAATCTGCGGCTCAAGAAAAATTCGAAATTTATCGTCTTAAATATTCGAAAAATGTCTCTTCACAATTAATGATGGCTTATTATATACATATATATTTAAGAAAAAAAAGTAATTATATTTTAAAAAATCAATTGCAAAAATTAAATTTATTAAGAAGCAGTTCAAAATTTTCCATTTTCGGTACCAGACCGGAACACATTGATCTATTTGCATTCTTTTCTGATATCATCAAAAGCAAACAAGGAAGCATTGAAACAGGGCGAATTTTGGCAAAAATTTCACACGCCGCAAAATTCTTCACATTTTATTCGACAGAAGTTGAAAATATGGACTACCATTAATAATAACACTAATATTAAAATGGTTTTGCCTCCTACCAACTTATTAGAGAGGTCTCACAACCACAGGGATCATAACTGGACACAAGATTATATATATAAATATATATATAGACAAAAACACGAGCATAAGTGTAGTGTATATTTGACATGGAGATAATAATTTCTAAAGCGTTCATAAAAAGAAACACAATCGACTAGCAAATGCTGGCTCTGGTGGCTGCAAACAATGAAAATCTGAGATTCAACAGGAATGATGCTTCAATGAGGATTCAAGTCAGACGGCATCCTATTCTACAACAATCCATTTTTGGTCATCTCTTCCTTCAGCATATTAAACACGCTGAGTTGATCGTTGGCGTCGAGCCAAAGAATCTGTTGGACCAATTTCGTCGGGTTCGGTATTCTGCAAAAAACCAAACAATTATTGTCTGAATAATTCTAGTTTTTTCTTGTTGCGTGATTTCTTTTTGTTTGCGGGAACATTGAGATCAGATTTCCTCGACAGACGAACCTGATGAATGTGTGAATATAAACATTGACAAAAGTTCCCATCAAAAGCTGGCAGTCGAAACGATCCATAAGTCCACCATGTCCGGGGATCACATCGCCGAAATCCTTGATCTTGAATGCTCGCTTGAATCCGCTCGCGAAAAACCCGCCGAACGGTCCCAGAATCGAAGCGAATAAACTCATTGCAATACTATGGAAGATGAACGGGAACATCCGAATGACCGGATCTTTTCTAAAAAAGAAATGTTAATATTTTAATAAATTATTTCAATATTTCAAAAATGTACCGAACAATTTTGTAAAGAAATGAGAATGGACGGGGAACCGCATATTCTTGAAGTTGGAACGATGGTGGAATTGTACAGTTGGTATTATCCTGTTGGTAACTTTCGATTGGGCATACAAAGAATGGACGATTGAACAAGAGGAGAGAAAGCTTAAAAAGAGGAAGGACCATGAATTTTTAATTTATAGACGAATAGAAGTTACTAACCAAAACTCCAAACACGACAGTTGAGAATGCTCCGCCAATAAATCCTTCCCATGTTTTCTTCGGCGACAATTTGATGAGTGGAGTTTTTCCCCAAAAGAAGCCAAACATGTACGACATTACATCGCAACATATTATCATCGAAACCGGAGCCAAAAACCAAATAAGGCCTTGGAAGATGTTTTGAATTATGAAGAATGATTGGCTGACGATCAATAGAAGGGTGATGTGAGTCCAAGCAAACTGAAAATGTCGAAATACAGTGATTTGGATGTTTATTTGAAATGCATTTTTTGGTTAAAAATAAATTAGCTTTTTTCTCAAATTGAAAAAAAAACCTATTTCGGCTCTTTTCTTTAAACTTTTTAAGGGAGAGAAAACACAAAAAATAATATATTTTTGGTTCTGTTTTTTTTTCTCTGAATTAGCCAATAATTTATTGATGTTATAGGGAAATATTCATGAAAATTCTTAATAAACGTAATTCCAAAATTAAGAGATTTGAAATAATCGATTGAAGACGCATAACACGAAACACGAGCGGGCTCTTGTGGCGACTGATATTCGTAGCCGTTTTTTTTCAGATATAGATTTTTCTATTATAAAATAATAGAAGCTTACCAACGAGAACTGTCGCATATAGTATCCTTTCTTCAACGACAGAACAAACGAAACGAATCCGATACAGTAGAGAGAAAAAGAGATCATTCGATGATAGGCAACAAGCCAGTTGAGGAAATTCTGCAAAAGAAAATGCTTTTGTAAATTATTATTTCTTGAATCTTACATCCTTCCGTAGCAATATTTGGAAATAATCGATGAGACTTTCACCGAAGAAAAAGTAATTGCTGGTTACCAAGAAATACCTGCAATTGAAATGCGTTTTTGAAAATGATTCAAAAATACTTTACCATGACAATAGACGGAAATATGGGAAATCATACATTCGATACACAGCGAGTCCAATTTTTATAATTTCATGGAAACACTTGAATTGTATCGAAAACACAAGAAATGTGAGCCATGTTGCTCCGCGATTAACAATAAAACAGAACGATGAAACCATCAATATTGTGAAAATACCGCGGACTACCCAATTTCTCCATCTGAATTTCTATTTCACAAGATTTTTTGAATTATAATTTCTCACCTGGGAGGAAGAGACTCTAATAAAGAATCAGCGAATTCTCCAAGACTTCCTTTATCCTGCGGTATTACTTTCATCATCTTTTCCATTCTGAAATATTGCAAATGGCACTATTCAAATATTTTTTGAAAAAAAATAACTTAAAAACTGGTTAGAAGTATTTTTTCGTAATCTGCATAGAGGTTTTAAGGATATTTCTTGGAATTTTTGAGTATTTTTTTTCCAAAATCCATAAGTTTTAAATATAACATTTCCGAACTGAAGAAAATTTAAAAAAAGTTCTATTCACTCTGCTTCCGTCGCTATTCCTATTTAAAAAAAAAATAAAAATTACAATCAATACCAACTTTCAAAATATTCTATATTCGTTATTGTTGTTATTAATAGTCGAAGACTGACCAATTTGTTCTTCAAATTTTTGAGTGAGAAAATAGTTTTTCATGTTCCTTTAATAGTTACTGTAGGTTTTAGACCGAAGCGATCAAGTTTTAATTTTCAATGAATACACCACTTCCTCCACCAAATTCGTCCGGCCTCGACAGTATTATCTTGACAAGAATTTCAAACTCTAATTCCGTAAAAAAATAACAAAATGGAACACATAATCACAATCACAACATTCGACCTACCCATCGTTTTGTTTTTTCTGACCAGCATCGCTGAAACTTCTCATTTTTCACGAAAGTTGAGCTCATGTTTATCACAAAATTTGTTAAACATTTTGCGAAAATCATAAAGATTTCGTCACGTTGCATATTTTCATATCAATTTAATAAACAAAAAAGAAATTTTTGACATTGAAGCAAATTTTATCAGTAGTTTTATAATATAAGGTATCACAATTCTTGATAATTCCTTTATGGAGTGGGCATATTTTCAATATAATTCACCTCTTTTGTTGTATATATTCAATTCATCAATTTTTACTACATAAATTAATATGTTATATTTTTAATTGTAGTTTTTAATTAAAAAGCAATTGAATGCGTTTCGCCACCAACCTTTCTTCATCTTGCAACAAAGCGTCCATATCACTTTCATCGCTAGTTGGCCGCACTTCATCTTTTTTTGCCTCTAGAAGCGTTTTTGACGGTGTACTCGTCGCTTTTCGATTGCGCACATCGGATTCCGGGGGCGGCTTTGAAACAGTCGCATCCGAGCCTGGATCGGCCATGACACTACAAAACATAATCATTAGTAGAAATCGAACGTTTTTTCCTAGAAAAAAAAATGAAAAATGGTGAAGTCCTGACAAAAAAGAAAAAAAAAACAACAAATTAGATGATATTTATGAAAATGTCGAGGAATTTCAAGGAGCAAAAAATATTCAAAATCATTAAAAAAAAATATACATTTTTCATCACTTGTTGTGGTTTCGTATCGTTTGAAACAATAAAATGAGTAATCAAACATCAACCCGCTTTTATTTGATTTTTTTTTTGAAATGTAATTCGTCCCCGATGTTGAATTATCGTTGATTGTACAAAACCGCCAAGGGTTATTTCTTTTAGACATTTCGCAGACAGATGTCTCCAATGAAATCATGAAAAAAACGCAGAAATGCGGCAAGTTTCACTAGCTCTCACATGGCAAGCAAGTAAACATGGGACGAAAAAAAAAAGAAGAAAACGAGCAGAGAGACAGAGAATGAGTAGGAAAAATGGAGGCATCAGAAGAAAAAGAGACTCCGACTGAGAATGACTGATTAAATCGATGCTATTGAACATTGGCACTTCAACTAATTTGCATGTCATTGAATTGTGAGTTACCTTGAACACGAAACATCATTTTTTTCATAATGTTGAAATTAAAAATGGTTTCACTATTACGGTAAATTTCTGTAGAGCACCATGACACAAATTCGCACACTTTTTTTTAATTTTAGTTCAGAACGTTGTCGGTTCGACAACAATGTATGCGACAAAATTGAATATTATACTATGCGCTGTTGTTAGTTTGTTATGCGGAAATCAATACAACAGCAGCCATACGTCGTGTTTTTCTGCCGTTGACATATATATTTGCCCAAAAGCAGACAAATTATGGCGACTAATGAAAATCAATACGAATTATGCGACGAGTCACTGCATTTTTTCTGTTGCTTAATGGATGCACACAACATTCAAAGCTTTTATGGGCAATCAGAAAAAATTATTGAATGAAAGACTGCGTCGTGTTTAGGGTTAAAAAATAAATCAATGGGTGTGGAACAATTGATTTCAGAATTAATCTGACACACACGCACACAAACATTTCAAACCAGCGTGTATCATTCGACGTGAATTTACTATTGTTTTATAATCAATAATACAAATATAATCACGTGCCATGATACTTGCAAGTCAAAATGTGAATTCAAAAGACGTCGCGTGGTTTATTTCTGAAAATCGAGTTTTCAACGATGATATATTTGACACTCTGTTATGGTGATTTTAAACGCGAGAAATAACGAAGTACTAATGTACGACAATACTGAAAGCATTCGTAGAACTCGTGTTGTGATGTAGAACTAAAAATTAAGAAGATCATATTCGGACAGGTAGGAATATTTCTAAATTTAAATATTTAAAGGGTAAATGGTAATCTTAAAAAGCATACAAATATAAACTGAAAAATAACAAAAATTATACATTATTCGGTTGCGGAGAAACGAGATGCAGACAAAAGAGGAATTTCTCTGTTTTAGGCATATTTCCACGCCAACTTTGAGATTTACGAAAAATTCACCAGCACTGATTGTCGCAAGGAATCGATTTAGGGGCATGTGCCTTTCTCAATGGTCTATAGCCATTTCATATTACATTTTTTCTTTCCGAATTTGACATTATCCTGCGCAACTGAAATTTTAAAATTATTCAAGTAAACTGCGAAATGCGACAGAAACAAAACAAGTTAGTCGAGATTGCATAGTGAGAGGACGCGCAGCTCGTAATTCTACACGCGTACAGCAATCGCCGGCTAAATTTAGAAATCGCACATGACTTTTGAAATGCAATCAAAGTTGTAAACGTCGAGCGATGATAATAAATAAATACTTGAGAACACGGTGTCTTTTTGACACGTTTGCTCATTAAATTTTGACTCATAAAATAAAACGCGATATTGAACTGTAAAAATTCATTGCAAGATTCAAGAAAAAAGTTGACATCCAGAAAAATGTGTGGATGAAACGCAAGATGGAGTAGAAGAAGAAGAAAACGGCGAAGAAATAAAATACAAAAAATAGACGAACATTAGCAAACATTTGTGGGATCAGCTTCGAAATTCTTCTACGCAATATTATAGTTTGCATCAAAAAAGATAGATGAAAAAAAAAGAAAAATAGTCGAAACGACGATAAATCAAAAGCAAGAAGGTTTACAACCAGTTAAGCGAATCTAAGGATTTAGTCCAGTAATAATTTTTGAGGAAGGACAGTACCGGTATATGAATTTAAACAAAAAAAACGCGATTTCTTTTTACATTTGTTTCGAAATTCTCGAAATTCGGGGAAAGAGTTTATCGCTCATATTTGGTTTTTGGGTTGTGGACAGGATAAAATGGGGATGGAGTCTCTTCTCATTTCTTCATTGAGAATATACAATATGTATGCTCTTTCTTATTAAGGACAACAGAAGCAAGTTGTCGATTATTATGATTTTCGGCTTCTATCGACTATTTGACAGGCGTTGACGCTGACGGAGTTGCTGAAAACGGTTAAGTTAAAGGTATGTGATGAAAAAACTGCATCGGAGAACCTCTTGCACTGTTCGGAGTCGCCGATGATGGCGGGAATGACGGTGGATAGCACGGCGTCAACTGGGGCACCCATCCCGATGGCCCCGGATTGCCCTGCAAGTTCGGATCCATCGAAGGCATTCCGTTTTGTCGTGCCACCATGAGCATTGAGTCTAAAAAAATTAATTTATTTGTAATCACATCGCCGTAGAAGTCTCACTTGGTGGGCATGAACCAGGTGTCACCATTCCTGGATGGCCAGGCATGGGTGGTCCGTTATATCCAAAAGGTGGTGGTCCCTGTTGCATCGCGTTTTGCTGAACAATTGATTTTAGTTTGATGCATTAAATGACGTCTAAAGTCTTACTCTCATCATCATCATGTGTTGATGGAAAGCAGCCGGATTCTGATGGGCAGGATGACCTGGCGGGAATGGCGAATGAGCAGGCGACGACTTCATTGGTAGCATACTTCCTCCAGGGGACATGCCGCCGGCTGAAAAATCAAGTGTTCAAATATTTAAGTCCGTATTATGAAAACACAATGCTTATCTCACTAATACTTAAGGATAGTGATCAAAGTGCACACGTAAATGTAACAGATAAGAATTTCTCAAAATTTGACAGCTTGGCAGAATTCGAAAATCCATATTAGCATACCCTTTGCCATTTGAGCCATATGATGAGCATGCATTTGCGCGGCATATTGTGGATTCATCATTGGATGCATCGGCATTCGACCTGGCGGTGCTCCTGGCATAGCCTGATGCGGATAAGAAGGTGATGGGAACGGCATCTTTCCAGGTGCAGACATCGGATATCCAGGAGGCATTCCATGAGGATATGGAAAACCTCCATAAGGCGGGTACGGCATTCCGCCCGGTGGTGGTGGTCCATAAGCGCCCGCAGAGTAAGGTCCTGGCATGCCTGGTGGCATTGGCGGATACCCTGGCGGCATTCCATTTGGTCCATTCGGATAGCCGGGCATTGGATACTGTCCCGGCGACGGGAACGACGATCCCGCTGCCATTTTACGCATATGCATTTCGCGGGCCATCTCCATATCCTTCATCATCATCTCCTCTTCAACGCTTCGTTTAATATCTTCAAGTTTTTCGAGTTTCGCCGCTCTTTCATCTCTGCAAAAAATACACCATTTTTCATTTGGTACTTTTTTTCGGCAGAAAACTCACTTTTTCGCGTTCGAAGCAGCTGACGTCGATTCGACGACATCGTTGATGACGCTCGAATTATTAAAATGTTGCGCCGCCGACATCATTTCAAGCCGTCTTAAAAATTGAATAATTCATCTTTTGAAAGTTCTCCTAATTACCTTAGTGGATTTTCTTCTGGCTCCTCAACTTTGATCATCTTCGGCTCAATTGGTGCACTCGGACCCGCATCGTCTAGACGTCGTTTCAAATTCGGACGGTTATCAGGAAGTTCAAAAAACTTCGAATCAACCGAAGGCGAGATGTCATCGAGTTCCACTTTAACACTTCCGTCAATTTTTGGTCCAACTGATCCCGGACCGCCATCGCCTAAGGCGGGATAGTGCGGACTGTACGGAAATCCATTGTGCACTGACGACGACTGCATGAGCGCCGATGAACTCTGATGGGACGATGGTTGCGACGATAATGGAGTGCTTGCGTCGTTTTGTCCGCGGTTCATTTCCGAACTCTCGGTTGATACCGAAACCGCCGACGATGTGCTGTTTCCTCGGCTTGCGCCTAACGCCTCGCAAGCTTCTTCCTCTTTTTTGGTTCGAATCCACTGAAGAAGTGTTTCAAATTTTTCCTTCTCCTGCTCGATGTCCAAAACTGCTTGATTCGCCATTTCAGTCCTAAAAAGCGCTCATAAATTTCGAGAAGCAAAAAAAAAAACGAAAAACGCGACTTACGTGAAATAATAAAAGTCGGCATTTGGTTGCTCAACATTTCCAGCGGCCGCCTCCGGAGGGGAGGTTGCCTCGTGACTAGAAGGCACAGATCGGGCGAGCGCCGGAGATGCTGAGCTGTTCTGTTCCTTGTACTCTTGACTTGTCGATGGCATGTCGCTCGGTGTCACCGACGCCGGTGTCGCGGGTTTCGACGATTTCTCGTTGCTCGGCGACGAAGTCGAGCACTGTGGCGAGCCCGTCGACATTTCGGATTCCTAAAAATTAAACCAATTTGAGTTCAAGTCAACATCCCGTTTTTTTTTACACAAAACGATGACACATTTCTAATAATATTCAACTAGGGTCGTCAATGCGCACACAAAACCCGCGCATGTCGTAATGAAAAATAGAAGGAAGTGGAGCAAAAGGAACGAGAAAAAAAAACAGTGCAAATTGAGCAATGTGGTGTTTAATGGGTTTTCGAAACACGCATACACCGTCGACTGCGGATAACAGCGTGCCATTTTCATCGCCAAAGTTTGTGAGGAGGCTGCTATCGTCGGGTCCCGCTTACCTTTATAATTCGCGGTTAGTAGAGAACCTTGTGGCTTGCACAACACATGAAACTCCAACACTTTTCTATTATTTCAGGTTATTAGTTGACAAAAATATGATGGTTGAAGGGTGTGGATAGTAGAAGTGAGAAACCTGTAAATATGATTATGAAATTCTGAGTGGTGGCGTTTTAGTGACGAAGGTAAAGCAAAAACCCGATAAACCAAATTTTTGTATGTGTGAGTGTTTTATCATGTAGGAACATGCGAATGTGATGATTATATGGGAAATTCCGAACTACTGATAACGCTTCAGCAACTCGAAGAAAAACAGGAATCCAACATGGAAATGGGCGGGGCACGGGGAAAGAGCATTGACATAAGAAATAAGGTGATTTAATCACCAGCTGACAACACTTTTTCTTCTCATTAAGGAACTAATTTATGAGAAGAGTTCAGATTCTCAATAATGACGTGCTATAGTTCTACAATCTTGGGTAATTCAGAACGATATTGAAATAAAAAACGCAAAGAGTCAATGAATTGGTTTCTGTCTGAACCTCAGAGGCCAATCCCGAAAATCGGTAAACGCCGTCGCGAGTTGATAAGAAACATATAATTTGGGGAATGATAGAAACATGAATAGCTAATAATCGGAGTGACCCGACTATGGATTTAATAGACCAACAGATGACGATGTCAGAAAAAAAACGGAAAAGTGCGTTCGCCATCGCGGGCGACTATCTTCTCCTTTTCCTGCGTCGTCCGCAGAACACAGAAACCCGCAGCAGCAACAGAAAAAAAAGTTGGCGGCAATAAAGCGCGCCTCGGGGTTTGGGGTTGCATAGGTAGTGTGGGGGGAATCGAACACGAAAATAGTGTGGCGAGACGGGCCGCTGATTGCAGGTAGAGAGAAATCTTTTTTTTATTTTTCGAAAAAAAAACACACACGCACGGACCGACGCGATGATGATGATGTCGGCGGAAAAATGGACGGAAGAGAGGAAAAAACAGTCACAACAAGGCGAAGGACGAGGCGGAAGAAGAGAACAAGATGGGGATGGTGGAGAAGAAGAAAGTTTTTTTTTAGCCATCGGCCTCGCACACTGATAGACACCATACGAAGACGATGAGACACGCTCGACGCTAGTACAGACGACCTTCAGTTTAGACTTCGATTCGATTCGTTCGCGTGTATGTTTCAAATTCACTCATTGTTAATCAAAAATTTTAGAACTACCGGAAACCGGATTCACTGACGAAGGATTTCAGCTAGAACATCTTCAAAAAAGTTTAGTTTGAGGTTCCTTTGGATTTTATATTTCTCATAATTAGCATGAATGGATAACTAAAACAAAAAAACAGGGTTTCGTTGACCTAATAATCAGAAAAAATTTAAACTAGTTTAAACTGCGACAGCAGGTGTGCAGGTGCAGGGCCTTTTGTTAGAAGCCTATTGTGTCAAAATCTTCAAATCATCCTAACTCTTCGCGAAATTCTGTTTGTTGAATAACATTCCACAGAAAGTTCTTTCGTAATTCTGTACTTGAGCCTCTATAAATTTTGAAAACACCAAACATCTGTTTAACAGAGAGACTAAATTGGGGCGAGACAATGAATGGCAATGGTGTGATGGAATATACGGAGATGACCTTGAAATGTGAGATTCGAGAGCTAAGTTTCATTTAAATTAGGACATCATATTGAGGCAAATTGGGGCACGTTGCTGAATTACTGAAAATGAAATAACTCGGCAGCTTCCTTAAACGGAGATGATGAACTAAAATATGAATTTAGTATGAGAAGATACCAGGCCGGCATGTTAAAAAAAAGAGTTAACATTTTAAAACAATTATCGTTTTTACCGGAAAAAATAATCAGAAATTTTAATTAATGGAATTGTGGGCCATAAAAACTGTGTATAACAAATACTAGTGATTTGTTGTGTGCGATGGGAGACGAGGCGAAACGACAAATCGGGGGCGTGGCGCGAGGTGCACAACACACCGCGGGGCCGGCCCGCGCCCCTTCTCGCGCCACCACCACACTCAATAGCATACGTTTTGTGGAGAGGCGTACGCTAACCGGGTGCAATATACACACTCACATAGACGCACACACAACACACCCGCGCGCGCGCGTCTACGCACACAGACACACATACACACACACATGGTGAAAGGTGATGGTGCCTCGGCGTTGGGTGAGAGCGACGCGCCAAATTCAAACCGGTGTCGTTGTCGTCAACGAACCACAATTGCAACAACAATTAGGCCTCCGACAAAACCGACTAAATTTATAAATATACTTTCGCCGGTTGGCGTCGTCGGATTCAAATCGCCTCTAATTGGTATTAAATGACCGTTCGGTTCAAGATCAACGGAGAAAATCATCAAATATTGTGAAGTAATGTGACGCGGTAGAACTAATTTTTCAACAATTCGCTGCAGTTTCGCTAAATTGATAACATGACTTGAGAATGAAACTGTAGAGCAGATATAGTTGACAATCTCGAATGGTGGCTGACACCATAGAAATGACTTTACAAATCGAATACAATGATATATTCCGGAAACTGTAGCTCTTGATAGTGCTAGATAAAATTGTTCGTTGAAAAATTTGGAAAACGCTCGTATAAAAATGTTGAAAACAATCATTTATAGAATGAGCCGGCATTGTTCTGCAATGCATTCATTGCGCATCGAACAAGGGTATTTCAAATTCTTCAAGAAGATTCTCAATTCTACTGTAGCCTGATTTCAAAATGGCACAGATGTTGAATCACATGAACACATATTGCTCTCGATACCGTAAGACATCGCGAGGTACGAAAACAACCCAATATTAGCAATTGAGAAAAAAATCTCGAGCCCATAATTATAAAATCATGAGCTCTCACGTGCGTGACGCCTATAGTGCACTTCCCATATTCGAATCACGCTTTTTTTCGCTAGTTTTCTATCCGTAAAAGTGCGAAACCCTCGATGATACTTCAGGAATTCAATTTGCCGAGGACCAACACCAACGTATCTAATGCATTCAGAACATGCGAGATGAAGAGAAAAGTGCACCGAGAAAAGAAAACGTTCAGTTGGCATCGCATAGTAACATAAATGTCGGTCAGAATTCTTGGCTTCTCAAGTGACGACAACCCCAACAAGTTATGAAGTTATATGGGCGGACGATTAGGGAAAAAAACACATACAAGAGACACGCCGTCATGGCTCTCGGATGCCGCCGACTATGCACAAACTCGTCGCACGGCCAACCTCTCAATCCGCCATTATCTTGGAAGCCCGCTCCTCACGCTCCAAGATGAAGCTCGAAAGAAGCGAACAAAAAATGAGGAGAAGGAAAAAGAGGAGGAGGAGGATGGGAAGACGAACGAGAGAAAAAGTAGTAGTAAAAAAACTTTCCGAATATTAGACAAAAAGCCCGAAGGCTTTTGATGACGAAAAGAAGAAGAAGAAGAGGATGAGGAAAGCGATGCGCGAAAAACCAAGACAAGGCACAAAAAAAAAACAGACAGAAGACAACGATTGAGAGGCACAAAACCATGCGAATTATATATTCTCAATTGAGTTCATCAAAAACTGACATATCAGACGTTTCTAAATCCATCGTTTTCTTTTTTCTTCACAAATGTTTGGAAAGTTTTTGATGATTCGCGAATTGTGACAATCAACTATGCGATAAAATCTATAAAACCTGTGAAAAAAAAGATATTTGAATAATTGAAGTTTGGTAAACTCGAAACAAAGACGGAGAGGCGTGTTTATGTTATTAAGGAAAGAGAACGCGTTGAAAAACAAAAGAATTGAAAATAAATAATATTTTTATTTATGCTAATGGCTTCCACTTGTTGATTTGCGTGTCCAATCGCAACGATCTATTTTGCGAAAGGCAGCCTACATGATTGAGCCCGTAGAAAATATCGAGAACACAGTATGTCGCGTTGGCTGATCATTTGCATTTGAACATACAACACAATCGACAAAAAAAAAACATATTGATGATCAAACATGGGAAACGAAAATATGCGTTGGAATCAGAAGACACGAGGAGCGGGCCGGAATTTCTAGATGATTCTGCCTCGGCGCAGTAGCAGTCACGTATCCCGCTTGCATTTATTCGAATCTCACCCAAACATCTGCTCTCGACCACCCGAATCCTGACCGGCTGACTCATCGACTCGTGCGCTATTTCGCCACAAATCGCCGGAACACACTCATCGAACCGAACACTATCTCAGTCTAAAAAGGCAAAAGGCGCACATGCAGCACACAAGAATATTCCAATTTCATTGTTTTTCGGCAATGTTCATCCCGCGACTTGTGTGAGTGTGCTGCGTTGGTGTGCACCTGCTACACTTATAGCCTCAGATTTTTTTTCGTCCTCTCGTTTTTTATTTCTATCTTGACAATATTCATTTTTTTGTTTGGTTCGTTGACTGGCGAGCTACACATTTGGTTATGAATCGAACATGGAAAAGGCTGTTTTCGGAAAACTATGACGTTTAGCAGATTTGATTCTTTGGGTTAGACTGGTGTGTTTATAAAAATCGCAACCAAATTAGTTCTGAAACTTCGCATCACGCACATAACAGACGACAACGGAAAACATGTTAAACCGCACGAACACTCAGAAAGGTCATATTACAAGGTCTTCAGGTAGCAGGAAAAAAAATTCATGCAGATGGTAGGTAATCAGCG